TCGTATGGGGACCAGTGTATAGAACGCACCGCGTGTTCACCTCCGCGATGGCCATCGTGGCGTCGCGTTCGCTCGTCGCGCGCATGTGCATCGTCGCGCGCGCGTTTTGCACGGCGGCGTCGTCCGCGTCGTCGTTCGGTGTCGGAAAAAGCCCTTCTCCGACGGTATCCGCCGCCGCCGCCGCCGCGCCGGCGGCGGATACCGTCGGACAAGGGCTTTTTCCGACACCGAACGACGACGCGGACGACCCCGCCATGCAAAACGCGCGCGCGACGATGCACATGCGCGCGACGAGCGAACGCGACGCCACGATGGCCATCGCGGAGGTGAACACGCGGTGCGTTCTATACACTGGTCCCCATACGACCGCGTTGGCGTGGTGAACGCCGATCCTTAAGGACTTTTGCCGGAGCATCTCTCCGCCCACCCCTCGCTTTCAATCCCCGCCCTCTACGCCTTTGAACTCCGCTTCTGACGCCTTTGAACTCCACAGGTTCCCCCCGACGCCGCTCGGCGTTCCCGCGCAGACGCTCACTCGGCGGTGCGTCCTCCTCGACGGCATGGTCTCCAGCGGCGAGCTCTCGAGCCCGCGATCGCGCGAGGAGTTTAAAGAGGATCTCCGAGAGGAGTGCGCAAAGTGCGGCATCATCGACGCGATGGTCGTGCCGCCGCCGCCGCGGGAAGCGATAGACGCGGGCGATCCCGGACGCGCGTACGTGTCGTTTCAGGCGGAGTGCAGCGCGCGCGCGGCGAAGGACATGCTCAACGGACGGGTCTTCGACGGCCGCGTCGTCGCCGCGTCGCTCGCGTCCGACGCGGAGTTCGAGCGCGCGAGGAACGGCGAGTGGCTCCCGCCGCGGCCGCCGCCGGGCGATCCGTCTCTGTGCGGCATCCTTCGCGTGCGCGGGATGCCGCCCGAGGCGACCAAGGCGGACGTCGTGAACTTCTTCTACGGGATGGGCGCGGAAGAGGACAAGGTGAAGATCATCATCGCGCCCGGGATGGCGAACCTCGCGGGCAGCCATCCCGGGGCGATGTCCACGGGCGAGGCGTTCGTGGAGTTTAGCGGCGACGACGCGAACATTCAGCAGGCGGCGCTGAAGGACCGCGCGGTGCTGGGGGGGAAGCCGGTGTCCGTGTTTCGGTCGTCGTTGGAGGAGGTGCAGAGAGTCGCGCTCATGGGTCGGACGATGATTTGATCTGATCTGATGTTGGCGTTTGATGGGTCGATGGCGTTATGCGGATCCATACTTCCATAGCACTACGTATGATATCAACGCACGACGCGGTACAGAACCAAGCGCTCTCGCCCTACGACCGCTACAGCTTGTATATCCTCGCGCGCCTCTTCCCGCCTTCGTTCCCGTCCGCGTCCACGGGAACCCACTCCAGCGAAACGTCCAACGCGCGGTGATCGTTCCGCGCGGCGTCGCACTTCGCCATCCCCAATCTCACCTTCACCCCGTGCGCGGGGCGCGCTTCGCCGCCGAGATCCGATTCCGATTCCGATTCCGAACCGCCGCCGCCGCCGCCGCCCGTCGTCGCGAGGCACCCGTCCGGATGCAAAAATATCGGCTCCGGGAAGTGCAGCATCGCCTGCGCCCAGTGCGTCTTCTCCTCGTACGGACTCGTGGACAGCGTCGTCGGCGCGTCGACGCAGAACCGCGCGCTGAACTCCGTGTCGAACCACATCACGACGCCGTGGCAACTCACCGGGCCGTTAGGGTTCGGGTCGGAATCGCCCGAGAAGCCGTCGGCGCCTCGGCCGCCGCCCGCGCGCGCCGACGCGTCTTCTTCGTCGCCGCGGACGCCGTCGCCGCGCGCCGTCAAGACGCACTCCGACGACGTGAACTCCGTGTCCTTCACGGTCATCGTCGCGAGGTCGAGCCTCTGGACTTCCGCGGAGGATGTCACGACGTGCTCGCCCTTCACCGGGCACACGACCGCGAAACCAGAGCGCGCCGCGTCTTGGATTAAACGCGACTGCACCTCCGGCATTCGAAACCCGTACACGTCGTCCCAGAACGGGAGGCTCGTCGCGTTGCGGCCGAACCCCGCGACGTGAATCGTCGCGACGTCCGGGAGCACCGCGCCGCCGGGCTTGAGCAGCGCGTCCCGCGCGGCGATGACGGTGTCGAGCATGGACTCGTACAGGAGCCCGTATCCCATCCACTCGGACACCAAGACGTCGAATTTCGACGTCGACCCGTCCGCCGCCGCCGCGCGTAATAACCTGCCGCCGGCGCCTTCTCCTTCTTCTTCTTCTTCTTCTCGAAGCAACTCCTCCAGCTTCCCGTGCACGATCGTCACCTTATCCGACAATCCGTTATCCCTCACGTTCGCGCGCGCGACGTCCGCGATCGCGGCCGCGCCGTCGACGCCGACGACGCTCGCGGCGCCGCCTCTCGCGGCGAACATGGACAAGATCCCCGTCCCGCAGCCGACGTCCAACACCGTCGCGCCAGCTGTCAGCGTCGGGTTCTTCTCCAACGCGACGCGGTACGCGCGCGTCCGAGGGACGTCGTCGAGCATCGTGCGGTGGATGTCGAACGCGGCGTACGAGCTGAAGTACCCGTCGTCGACCTCCTGGACCGCGGTCTTATTAGGGCCGGGTGGCGGCCGACGCGCAGCCGGCGGCCGACGCGCGGGCGGCGGCGGCGCGGCGGCGACGCGGGAGCCGCCGAGAAGCGCCAGACCGACGTTCGCCGGCGCGTCTTCGTTCACGTCCACCCCGAGAGGCGTTTCCCCGAGCTTCCCGGCGAGCTCGAGGACGCGCAGGCGCATGGCGTCGCGCTCGGCGCGCGCCGCCGCGAGCGCCGCGCGAAGCGTCGCGGCGTCCGCGTCGGCGTCCGCATCGTTCGCGTTAGCATTCGCATTCGCATTCGCCGCGGCTTTCGCCCTGCGCTCCAGCTCGTCGTCGTCGTCGTCGTCGTTCACATCGCCGCCGCCGCCCTTGACGTACTCTTCCCAGTCGAACAGCAGCGGGTCGTTCTCGAGCGCGGGGACGAGGTACTTCTCGTCTCGATGCTTCCCCGCGGCGATGCCTTCGATCGCATCCTTCGCCGCCGCCGTCGCGTCGCCGTCGCCGCCGCCGCCGCCGCCGCCGCGTTCGCGCTCCGCCGCGACGCTTCGCGCGTAGTTCAGACACTGAATCACGCCGTAGAAGTCGAGGTCGTTCGCTCTCACGATCGCGCGCAGGTCGAACCCGTGCGCGTTCGCCGCGTGCGTCAGCGCCGCGGCGGGCGTCGGATGTAGGACGCCGCCGCCGAAGACGCATCGCGTCGCGCGATCTTCATCGTCCTCCTCCTCCCACTCCGCGAAGTCGCCCTCGTCCCCGGCGGGGTAGTCTGGGTTCTCGTCGTCGACGTAGTCGTCGTGATGATGAGACATCGCGAGCGGCATCCTTCGCTCGCGACCGCGCGCGGGGGTCGAGGCGCTCGCGGTGTGATGGCCGATCCGCGCGCGCCGACATTTTATTACACAGCTGTGCGTTTCGTCGCGCTCGAGCGGAGCGCGCGACGACCCGACGACCAGCCTCGGTCCGTCGTCACTCGCGACGTCGCCCCGGCGCGCGGCACGAGCGCGCGGACGCGATGGCGCCGCCGCCGCGGAAGATTAAGCTCCGGAACAAGGACTTCTTCGAGGTGGGTCCTATCGCGCGCCGCGTCGTCGTCGATCCTCGCGCGTCCTCGCCTCGACGCGCGATCGTCGCGCGCGTCGTTGCGCGTTTAGGGTTGATCGTTCGATTCCATCTCGAAGCCGCCTCCCTCCGGTCTCCTCTCCTCCCTCCCTCCCTCTGACGCGCGGCGTCCTCCATACCTACCCTCGCCCCCACCACCGCGACGAATAGAGCGATGAGTACCTCCGCAAGCTCGAGGGCGTGACGTCCCGCCTCGCGGGCGCGTTCCCCGGTCAGGACCCGACGTCGCGCGAGGACGTCGCGAAGACGATCATGGAGATCCTCCAGGGGCACGAGGACACCCTCGGCGCGTCCTCCCCGACGCCGCGGCCGATGATGAAGCTCCCGGCGCGGTGCTTCCGCGACCTCGCCCCGGGCGGCGCCCTGTTCGTCATCCTGAAGCGGTGCTTAAGGCGGAAGCACGAGGGACGGTGGCGGCGGTTCGACTGGCAGAGCGAGCACAAGAGACGAGAGTTCGTCGGGATGATGGTCGAGTGCGAAGACGACCTGCGCGCCAAGGGGCTCCTCGGTCACGCGAAGATCCACGTGTCGTCGGACGTCCCGGCGGAGAAGCGCGCGGAGTTGACGCGCGCGATCGCGGCGTGCGGCGCGGTCGCCGCGGTGTCGCAGTACGAAGACGGTGTCACTCACGTCGTCCACGAGGAAGACATCGCCGCCGCCGCCGCCGCGGCGGCGGCGACGAGCGACGTGCTCGTCCTCGGCGTCCTCGGAAAGGAAGCGCACGTGCACTACAAGCGCCACCCGGGGAGTTACGACGCGTGGATATCGCTGTCGAGCGCGCAGGCGAACGCGGCGGTGGGGTCGAACTTGACGTCGCCGCCGCCGGATGAGTTCGAAGACGACCCGAACCTTCGGCTGGGGCTCTCGCGACGCGCGGAGCCCGCGAAGCATGTCATCGCCGCGTGGTTGTTAGACAGCGCGCGGTTCAACGAGTACTGCGAGGAGAGCGATTACGCGTGGGAGGACCCCGCGGTGCGCGCGATGCGCGCGATGCGCGAGGCGGCGGAGGCGGCGACGCGGAACGCGATGGACGCAGTCGCCGCCGCCGCGTCCGCGGGCGCCGCGGAAGCCGCGGGGCCCGGCGCCGGGGCTTCGCCGAGCGTCCTCGGGGAGAAGCGCCCCGCGGTCGACGACGCGGCGGGGACGAACGAGGAGACGACGGCCGCGAAGAAGAGGGCGTTCGCGCCGAAGAGCGAGGGCGGGGAGACGCTGGCCAGCGCGAGGCTCGCGGAGCGATTAGGCGCGAACGTCGTTCGGAGACAACTCACGACGCCGCACGCGTGCGTGGACGACGCCGCGGCCGCGAGCGCGGGGACGCCGCGCGATCCACCCGGGGAACCCGTGGTCGGGTACCACGGGTACGTCAGCGTGGGGGGCGTGATGATGAAGCCGCCGAGAGGGTCGACGATGGAGAACATCTCGAGGGGGCAGACGCCGGCGGCGAGAGACGCCGCCGCCGCGGTGGAAGCGTTCGCGAAGACGGCGACGACGTCCAAGCTCGCGGAGGCGGAGACGACGATAGAGACGGGGACGGGAACCGAGGTGCGGTATCCGATCCCCGAGCACTCGGGGTGGTTCGCGTGGGGGCGGGACGAAGTGAGCGATTTCGAGAAGGACGCGCTGCCGGAATTTTTCGGCGGCGACGGCGGCGGCGGCGGCGGCGGCGGCGCGAGGGAGACGTACTTGAAGATTCGATCGACCGCGATGGCGCGGTTCAACGCGCTGCTCTCGTCGGACGGCGCGAGCGCGCGGTTGTCGTTCGCCGCGGCGCGGAAAGGGTTAACGTGCGACGTCGACGCGTGCCAACGCGCGTACGAATTTTTTAACCGCTGGGGGCTGATCAACTGGTCCCCGGACGCGGCGGCGACGGCCGCGACGCCGGCGGAGGTCGAACCCGGCACCAACACCGCCGCGGCGGCGGTGCTGTACCGCTTCGACTACCGCGCGAAGCGCCGAGACGGCGGCGGCGGCGGCGGCGACGACGCGGCGGCGGGGGGGCGCGTCTGCGTCGGATGCGATCGCGCGCTCGGCGGCGTGGGGAGAGTCTACTACCGCTGCGCGGATCCGCCCAAGGGCGTGGTGGTTCCTGGCGGCGGCGGCGACGGCGGCGGCGACGGGCCGATCGACGCGTGCGTGAAGTGTTTCACCGGCGGCGTCCTCCCCGACGGCGTCTCCGGCGCGTCGTTCGTCAGGAGGACGTCCACGAAGGAGTCGGAGAAGGAGGACGAGAAGGAGGCTGAAGAACGCGCCGGCGGCGCGGGGGGCGACGCCGACAAGGAGAACGGCGACAAGGAGAACGACGCGGAGAAAGAGGCGTTCATGTGGAGCGACCAAGAGACGCTGCTGATGTTGGAAGGGTTGGAGACGCACGGCGAGAACTGGAGCGACGTCGCCGCGCACGTCGGGTCGAAGACGGTCGAGGAGTGCGTCCGAAGGTTCGTTCGCTTACCGATCGAGGACGCGTTCATCGACGACCTTCAGAAGACCAAGTCGGGTTGCGGAGGCGGCGGCGGCGACGACGACGCGGTCCATCGCCCGTTCGAGCGCGCGCCGAACCCGGTGATGGCGAGCGTGTCGTTTCTCGCCGCGTGCGCGGGGCCGCGCGTCGCCGCCGCCGCCGCTCAAGCCGCGCTGGCGTCGCTCGACGACGAAGAGGACGCTCCGACCGCTCCGACGACCGCGACGACGGACGTCGACGGCGCGGATGACGGAGAAAAGAAACCACCCGCGCCGACCGACCCGCACTCCCTCGGCCCGCCGCCGCCGGTGACGGAGGATCGATGCCGCGCCGCCGCCGCCGCTGGCGTCGCCGCCGCGGCGAAGCGCGCGAAGCAACTCGCGGATCAAGAAGCGCGCGAGATTCAAAAGCTCGTCGTCGTCATCACGGAGAACCAGACGAGGAAAGTCGAGCTCAAGCTTCGATTCTTCGAGGACCTCGAGGCGGGGCTGAACCGCGAGCGCGAGCAGCTCGAGCGCCTGAAGCGGCACATCGCGGGCGAGAGGGCGGCGAGCGCGAAGTTGAAGCGGGAGCGGGAGGAAGCCGAAGCCGCGGCGGCGAAGACGGACGAGCCCGCCGCGGCGTGACGTGACGACGCGCGCGGCGGTTCGCGACGGACGGACGCGCGTTCTAATAAATTCGTCTACTGTGCGCTTAAGGTTACGTAGCCTCTAGGGTTGACTATCTATTGACGCGTCCCCCCTACTGATAAGGTTACCGTCTCGTTTTCGGCTCCGCTAGTTCCGAGATCTGGTTCCTCCCCCCCCGCGACGACTTCGCTCTCGCGCGAGTGCGTCTCTCGCTGCCACCGCAGCGCCTCGAAGTGCAACAGGTCGATCTCGTTCGCGATGATCTCGTAGTCGTCGTACCTCAGCTCGTCCATGAGCCGGTACTTGTCCGCGAGGATCTGCACGTCCTCGGGGAACCCGTAACCCGTGGACAACCTCGCCGCATTCTCCGCGCATCGACGCAAGCGCTCGCGCTCCTCGCAGAGCTTCTGCATCTCCAAGTCTAACATCTCGTCCGTCCCCGTGCTCGCTTCCTCTCGCTTCGCCTCGAGCAAGTTCGCGACGACGTCCGCGCCCTTCGCGAGCGCCTTTCGCTTCAGGGTCTGCTGCTCTTGCACCTTCAGTTTGAGTCGCGCGCGGACGCGGAGTATTCGATCGTCGATGTCCGTCTGCACCTCGCGCATCGCCCGCAGCGTCTCGTCCAGCGTCGTGAGGTGATCCTTCGCCATCTCCTTGAGCTCCAGAAACTTCGGCGCGAGCTTCCTGCGCGTCCCGCGCGACGTCGCGTCCGCCTCCTCTCTCTTGTATTCCATCCACTGCTGCGTGAATTCCGTGCCGATGACGGCGATCGGGAGCGCCAAGAGAAGCAACGACACGACCATCGCGCACGACGCGACGAACTTCCCCTCCGGGTTGATCGGGACCACGTCGCCGTACCCCACGGTCATGATCGTCACGATCGTCCACCAGAACGAGTGCCATATGGATTTGAACGGGCTCTGCGTCCGTTCGCATCCGCTCGCGAGCGTCTTCCCGTCGGACGCGAAGAGTTGGTTTCCGTTGGTGCCGTCGCACGAGATGTCCGTCTTCCTCGAGTACACGTCCTCGTCCTCGTAGTAGCTCCCCTTCTCCGCGAAGTATATCATCGTGCTGAAGATGATGACCGTCATCGCGAGTAAAAAGATCATCATCGCGAGCATGTCGACGCTCTGCCTGAGAGAGTTGGTCACCACGGTGAACTTTCGGTTGTGCCGCCCGAGCTTCATGACTCGAAACACTCTGACGAGCCTCACCGTTCGGAACATCCGCGAGCTGTTCAGACCGCTGCCGGTGAAGATCAGACCGACGTAGAACGGCAAGATCGCGATGAGATCGATCGCGTTCATCGGGTCCTTCATAAACTTTTTCACATCCGGCGTCGACGATATCCGCAGCAGGTACTCGAGCGTGAAAATTCCGATGCAGACGCACTCCACGACGAACAGTTCAAACTTCCGCCGCGAATTATCCTCGAACTCGTGCGTGGTCTCCAAACAGAACGTCACGCTGCTCAGGACGATGAGAAGCAGGATGAACACCGCGCACGCGAACGCGAGCCGGGACGAGTGCGGGTCTTCGAAGAAGATCCACACGCGCCCGCGAAAGAGTCGAACCGCCTCGCCGAAGACGTCGCCGCGGTCGTCGTCGACGCTCTTGTTGCTCGTCGCCCTCGCCGCCGCGGTCAGGCGCACCGTCTTCGAACGAAACGGCGGCGGCGGTTTCGGTTCTATCGGTTTCGGTTCTATCGGTTTCGGTTTCTTCTCGCTCCCTTCCTCCTCCTCCTCTTCCTCCTCCTCCTCTTCGTTCTCCTCCTTGGTCGTCGCGAGTCTCTCGAGGCGCCCCCACGACCGCGTCGGTTGCGTCGCCGCTCCGGGATGGAACGCGCCGTCGTCGTCTGGGTTCGTCAGCGTGAACGGCGAGACGTATCCACGCACGTTCGCGTGCGTGTACACGTCGTGGATCACGCGCAATCGTCGCTCGTCCCTCATGGTCTCGGTCTCCATCGAGAACACGAGGTTCGCGAAGCGCGCTTTGAGCGAGGGCGCGCTCTGAGCGACGGCGTCGGCGTCGGCGGGCGCGTCTGACGCGCCGTCCGCGGCCGCGCCGTCGCTCGCGGCGGCGTCTCTCGGGCCCGGGTCCGAGTTCCTCCTCGACATCGTCTTCGTCGTCCTCCTCGACGAACCCGACGGCGTCCTCGCGTAGGGCGCGGCGTCGGGCGCGCGCGGCGTCGGCGCGTCCACGCTCGCGAGCGACAGCGCGGGCAATCGTTCGGAGTGCCTCTTCCTGAGCGACGGCCTGGGCGTCGGCGCGGGTTCCTCCTCGCTCCTCGGGGAGAGGTCCACGGACGACCGCTGCGGGCTCAGTATGATCGGCATCGCGCGACTCCGTCACCCCCGCGGGCTCGCGCTTCGCCTACTGAGGACGACGACGGGCGGGGCGTTGACTCAGATCAGCAGCACGTGGCAGGCTGCGTTCGTTAAAAGGCGGTTCGGGGTGGTGACCGTTTGCGAACTCGAATGTGTCGCGGTTCCGCGCGGCCATCTCGCGCGCACACGCGCGCGCGCCGGGTTCGGACGACGCCCGCCGCGATAATGGCCGCGGCGGACGCCTCCGAGGCGCCGCCGAGGAGGGGCGACGCGGAGATGGACGCCATCGCGGAGGAGGAACCCGCGGTCGCGGGTCCCTCGACGGCCGATGAGCGCGAGCCCCGCGACGACGACGCGGACGACGAGAACGAGGAGGAAACCCCGGACGCGCTCTTCGCGATGCTCACGCCCGCGTTCTTGGAGCACAAATCTCGCGCGTCGCTGGACGCGGAGGAAGCGCACGGGCTCGCGCGGATGCTCGCTGAGGTCTCCGACGAGGGCATCGCGGAGACGCAGGTGGACGGCGCGCTCGCGCTCGCGCGCAACGTCATCCGCGCCTTCCTCCGAGCGAACGCGGAGGGGGCGTCGTCGTCGGACGACGCGACGACGCGCCGGAGCCGAGCGAAACCGAAGAAGCGCACGCCGGAGCCGTCGCCGCAAAACGACGTCGCGGTGACCTCCTACGTCCCGTCCACGGCGGCGTCCGCGCACGAGGTGGCGCGCGCGGCGGCGACCGCGCGCGCGCACGAATCCGAGATTCGAGCGCTGGAGATGAAACACGCCGCCAAGCTGGACGCGCTCGCGGACGACCTCGCGGAGACGGAGGCGCACTGCGCCGCGCTCGCGACGGACAACGCGCGCCTCGAGGACGCGATGACGCGAGCGATGGAGGACGCGGCGGCGGCGCGGCGGGGGGGGCACGGCGGGATGATCGCGAGGGGCCCGGGCGCCGCGACGCCGACGACGACGAGTCCCGGGACGGAGCGCGCGCGTCGCGCCGAGCTGGACGCCGCCGCGGACGCGGTGGACGCCGCGGACGCGGAGGCCGAGCGCGCGCGCGAGGAGTGCCTCGCGCTGAGAGAGCAGCTCCGCGACGCGAGGGAGGAGGCGGTCCGCGCGACGCGGAGGAAGGAGACCATCGAACGCGCGCGGCTGACGCAATTCGCGGATCAAGCGGAGAAGGACGCGCGCGTCGACGCGTTGCGGAAACAGCTGAAGGCGACGCGGAAGGCGCTGACGGCGCAGCGCGAGGAGACGGAGACGGCGCTTCGAGAGCTGAAGGCGGTGAACGACTTCGCGGAGCAGCGCGAGGTGGAGCGGTTGATAGAGGTGCGGAAAGAGGCGCGCGAGAAGGGGAAGGAGAATCTGCGGAGCGCGACGCACGTCGAGGCGGCGTTTCGAGCCAAGTGCGTCAAGGGGATGCAGGACATGCTGGAGGTAAACAAGAAGCTCGAAGCGCGCGTGCTTCAGGAGCGAGAGCGCAGGGTGACCGCCGAGGCCGAGGTCGGTCAGCTGAAGCGGACGCTGACGTTTCAGAGGACCGTCGGCGCGATGCAGAGCTTCATGCGACGGGGGAGGGTGGAGGACGTGGAGGACGAGGGCGCCGCGCGGATTTTGGACGACGCCGCGACGGTGATTCAACGGCGGTACCGCGGGATCGCGGGGAGGAAGAAGGCGAGGGAGATGTGCCGGGAGATTTTCGAGGAGGATAGCCCGTACGACGAGCACGACGGCGTGGACGCGACGATCAAGGATTTAGTCGACGCGACGGTGGAGAGAGCGCTCGCGAGGGCGGGAGACGCGTAGCGCGGGTATTCGCGTTTTTTTGGCGTGGTTTTCGATTCGCGCTCGTTCGTTCGTTCGTTCGTTCGTTCGCTCGTTCGTTCGCTCACATCGTACTCGGTTATCGCCCGCCGTCCTACCCATGTTCGTTCATGAAGTCGCGAAATTGACGAGCAACCTTCATCATCGGATCCATGTGGGCGTCGTCCTCTTCTTAGTCGGACGCTGACGAGCCAGGCCGAGATGAGGTGAGATGATGAGACCAGATTTCAGTGACCCTCGGCGGTGGGAGCCTCTTGCTATCCTAACCTAACCTTAATTATACTCGTACCACTCCACGGTCTCGACCTCCGGGTGCTCCTCTTTATACTTCAACGCGTACGCTCTGATCTCCGCGTTCAGCCTGTCCTTCTCCTCCTTCGTCGCGAACACCCCGATCTTATGCTTCGGCTGTTTGATCACGACGTAACAGATTATGATCGCGCACAGCCACCGCATCGCGTGATTGATCCAGATCACGTACGGCTTGTGACAGCTCACGCCGACGGGGATGATCCACAGCAACCGCGACGGCGTCTCGCGCTTCGTCGGCGGCGCCGCGACGACCCACCCGGTCTGGCCGACGTCGCCGCCGCCGTCCTCCCACGACACCGTGGGCACCCCGGCGATTATTCCATCCTCATCCGCGCCGTGACACCGCGCCACGACGATCGGGTGGTCGATCCACGCGTGGTAGTACGCGCTCCAGAGCCACTCCCCGGGCTTCGTCTTGTGCACCGGACCGTAGCGGTTGTGGATCTGGACGTCAGTGAAGGTCGCGGTCGCGAGAACCTTGGCGCCCGAGCCGACGCGTCGCCACGCCGCCGGCGCGGTGAACGCGAACGCCGACGCGTTCACCTGCACGAGGGCCATTCCATACAAAAATAGTTCACCGGTCAGTTGAAAGGTGACGCGATCAAATGTTGAAACCGAGCGGTGGGTGAAAAAAAATTGTATAGAACGCACCTGCACGCTCGTCCTCTCGCCGATGTAATATCCATCCTCGAACACCGCGAACGTGCGGTTCAGCAGGCTGGCGTCGTTCTGTCGGATCCCGCGGCGCGTGCTGAGGATCGCCGCGCGCGCGAGCTCGAACTTGTCCGCGTAGAAGGGCGTGTCGAGGTCGTACACGACGCCGACGTGACACCTGTCGCCGTCGCGCATCTTCCTACGGAACGACACGGCGACGTCGACGTCCAGCTTGCGGTGCTGCCCCGCGCCCTTGAGGTCGTGGCGCAGCGTCTCCACGCGCGCGGAGGACGTCGACAAGACACCGCGCGACGCGTTCGCGTGCGCGAAGAGGTCGCGCTCGCGGAGACCGAAGTGCCTCGCCGCCTTCTCGCGCGGCGTCCCGAGCGGTTTGGGCTTGACCGTGACCGGGAGGTCCTTCCACCGCGGGATCATCCCTTTCTTCCTCGCGGGCGGCGCGGCCGTCGGCGCGTCCGCGGCCGCGGCCGCGCCCGCGGTGGGCGGCGTCCGCGTCAGGAGGAGGAGGACGAGCGCGAGGAGGACGCGCATCGTCGCGCCCCTCGCCATCGTCGCCGCCGCGCGCGACGAGATTCTGACGTTGCATTCTGTTTGACGCCGACTTCAAAAAAATCGTCGTCGCGCTCGCACTGCTCGGGTCGCGTCATACCGCACCGCGCTCATCGCGCTGCCCGTCATGTCGCCCTCCGCGGCCGCGCACCCGGCCTGGCGCGTCGCCGTCCTGCGCGCGCTCGAGAAGAACAAGGCGCGTCGTCTCTCGCGTCGTCGTCGTCGTCGTCGCGCCATCGCGCCATCGCGCGTCGCGTCGTCGCCACCACCCCAACCCTAAGCCCTCCTCCGGTCCGTCCACGTCTTCGCTGACCCGACCCGCGCGCCCTCTCCACCCCCCGTCGTCGTCACCCTCCGCAGAAGCACATGCCGTACGCGAAGTACTTCCAGCTCGCGACGGTGAAGCCGGACGGCAAGCCCGCGAACAGGACCGTCGTCTACCGCGGCTTCCGAGGTCCGTCCCGGGTGCCGTCCCGTCGTCGGACGTCGATCGCTTCTCCGTCCAGTCCGACGCGTCTGATCCTCCTCCTCCTCCTCCTCCTCCGTATCTCTTCGCTCTCGATCCACGCCAGGCGACACCGCGGACGTGACCGTCGTGACGGATCTTCGAAGCGAAAAGGTGGCGCAAATACGCGCGAACCCCGCCGCGGAGTTCGCGTGGTATTTTCCCGACTCGCGCGAGCAGTTTCGAATCGCCGGCGACCTCGTCGTCGTGGACAAAGGCGCGTCCTATGTCACACTGGTCCCCATACGACCGCGTTCGCGCGGTGCACGCCGTTCCTTGAGGACTTTATCTCCCGGCGGTCGTTTCTCTCCGCCCATCTCCCCTCGGTTTCAAACCCCGCCCGCGACGCCTTTCGACTCCGCTTCCGACGCCTTTCGACTCCGCCCCGTCGTCGCTTCGTATGGGCAATTACCCTCCCCGTAGACGGCCCGGAGGCGCTCGCGGGCGAGCGACGGGCCGCGTGGAACCGGATGAGCCCCGGCGGGAAGGCGCAGTTCGAGTGGCCGACCCCGGGGTTCCCGCGGTTAGACGACGAGGAGGCGAAGGAGGGCGGCGGCGGCGGCGATCCGTTCGACGTGGACGACGAGAAGACGCGGCAAGGTTCGCCGGCGTCGGAGAATTTTTGTTACGTGGTGATGACCGTGAACGAGGCGCGTCCTCCCTCCTTCTCACACCAGACTGGTCCCCACACGACCGCGTCCGCGTGGTGAACGCCGATCCTTAAGGAGTTTTGACGTCCTTTCTCTCTTCCCACCCCTCGGTTTCGATCCCGGCACACCGCGATGCCTTTCAACTCCGCTTCTGACGCCTTTCGACTCCGCCCCGACGACGCTTCGCGCGGAACGACCCCGATCAGGTGGACCACCTGAGCCTTCGCACGAACCGGCGGTATCATCACGTGCGGAGCCGCGATGAAGGCGCGGAGGGGGACGGCGGAGGATGGGTCACCACGGAGGTGAACCCGTGAGCGGGGCGTAGCTCGCGGACGGCCGCGCGAGCGCTCGTACGTCGTCGGCGACGCTTCATAGTCTACGGCACTTCCGGGACGAAACGAACAGAACTCTCCCAACTTCCTGTTTCGTTATCCCGAGATCTCCGAAACGACGGCTCCCTCGCCGCGGCGCGTCTCCCGCGCGCAGTCTCCACCGCACATGCGCTGCGCCCGAAGCGCGCTCAGAAGCACCGCCCGCGTGCTCTCTTTCGCGTCCTTCTCCGCGTCCGCGTCCGCCACTTCTCCGATCATGGCCAGCGCCGCGACGACGACCGCTCGCGCGCCGGTGACGTCGCCCGCGACGACGCTCGCGAAGCGCGCCTCTCGCCGATCCGCCGCGCTCGCGGCGCGCGCTCCTCGCGGCGCGCTCACGCGATCATTCGCCGCGAGCAACGCGCCCGGGTACGCCCCCGGCGACGTCCACCCGTTCGGCGACGTCGTCGTGACCGCGTCCGAGAAGACCGCGGAGCTCGCCGCGGACGCGCTCGTGCTCTCGATGTGCGAGGCGGACGCGGCCGCGCTCACCGCGTCCGACGACGTCTTCGAATCCTACGGGAAGGGCCTCGCGGCGATCGTCCACGACGTCGCGACCGCGGAGGAATTCAAGGGCAAGGCTGGGTCGAGCGCGTTCGCGCGCGTTCCCGCCGCGATGGGCCTCCCGTTCAAGCTCGTCGGCGTCGTCGGCGTCGGGAAAGCGGGCGAGATCGGCGCGGACGCGTGGACCGCTCTCGGCGCCGCCGCCGCCGCCGCGGCGAACAAAGCCAAGTGCGAATCGCTCGTCGTCGCCAAGTACTGGATGGGCGACGCGCCCGAGGAGTTCGAGACCAAGGCGCGCGCGATCGCGGTCGGCGCGTACCTCGGCGCGTTCGACGACCAACGCTTCAAGTCGGAGAAGCAGGCGAAGACGTTGCGATTAATCTCCGTCGCGACGCCAGCCGGCGCGGACGTCTCCGGCGCGCTGACGCGCGCGAAGGCGACCGCCGCGGGCGTCGCGCTCACGAAGCAGCTCGTCGCGGCGCCGCCGAACGTCGTGACGCCGACCGCGCTCGCGGACGTCGCGAGGGCGATCGCGGCGGAGTTTAAGGACACGATGTCGGTGAAGATTTTGGAGAAGAAGGATTGCGAGAAGCTCGGCATGGGGTCATTCCTGGGCGTCTCCGAGGCTTCGGACGAGCCGCCGAAGTTCATTCACCTGACGTACACGCCCAAGGGGAAGAAAGCGAAGGACCTCACGAACGTCGCGGTCGTGGGCAAAGGCCTGACGTTCGACAGCGGCGGGTACAACATCAAAGCCGGCGCCGGCAGCATGATCGAGATGATGAAGTTCGACGTGCGTCCACTCGCCCGCCCGCGCGTCGTCGCCGTCGCCGTCGTCGCGACCACCACCACACGATCGTCCACGTCATCACATACTGACCAATCAATCATGTCCCTTCCTTCATATCACCATCCACCACGTCATCGATCGATAACAGATGGGCGGCGCGGGCGCGACCCTCGGCGCCGCGCGCGTCGTCGCGGAGACCGCGCCCCCCGACGTCGCCGCGCATTTCATCGTCGCGTCGTGCGAAAACATGATCGGCAGCCGCGGCCTCCGCCCCGGCGACATTCTCACCGCGTCCAACGGGAAGACCATCGAGGTGAACAACACGGACGCGGAGGGGAGGCTCACGCTCGCGGACGCGCTCGTGTACGCGGAGAAGACCGCGGGCGCGACGAAGATCGTCGACGTCGCGACGCTCACGGGCGCCATCATCGTCGGCTTGGGTGCGTTCGATCGCCAGGACACACGTTTTTCACCCACCCGCGGTTTCAACATTTGATCGTGTATCCCCGCGTCTGTCCCTTACTTTCAAAAGAACTGACCGATGAACATTTTCGCGCCGTCGAATGTCATCGCCCGCGTCAGGCCCCGAGGTCGCCGGCGTGTTCACCCCCGACGACGGCATGGCGAGCGAGATCGACGCCGCGGCTCGCGACGCCGGGGAGGCGTTCTGGCGGATGCCCATGCGCGAGTCGTACTGGGAGCAGATGAAAAGCGAGATCGCGGACATGAAGAACACCGGGACGAGGGGCGGCGGGAGCATCACCGCGGCGTTGTTTTTGAGGCGGTTCGTCGAGAGCGAGGACGCGAAGTGGGCGCATCTGGACATCGCCGGGCCGGTGTGGGACGACAAGAAGGGCGGTGCGACCGGGTTCGGCGCCGCGACGCTCGCGTCGTGGATCTCGAACGCCGCGAAGTGATTAATGTCCACGGTGGCGTCGCGCGAACCGTTCACTAAGTGACTGCATACCAAACGTCATTCATCACAATCATTCTCGGCTGTCGATCGTCCATCTCATCTCGTCAGCCATCACACGAGCCCCGCCAACACGACGCCGACGAAGAACGCCTTCTCCGCGAGCGGGTGATCCGACGCGGGAAGTATCCGGTGCACGCTGTCCCAGAACCTTCTCTCCCACCGCTTCACGACGTCGTTCGCCTCGTCGGCGTCGCGCGGCGCGGTCCACTCCCTCGGCGCGTACGGTTTCACGTACGCGTCGTACGCGCGCGGGCCGAGATCTCTCGGCAGCGCGTTCGTCTGCGTCAGGATCCACATCGTCCCCAGGAAGAACGCCACGGGCGTGAAGAGGTTCTTGAGGAGGAGCTTGAGGAAGTAGAACCACGCGAAGCCGTAGACGAAGCACGTCGCGAGGTCGCCGACGGGCGGAGCTTTCGACGAACGGCGACTCGCCGCGCGCGCGACGCCGGGGGCCGCGAGCGAGGACGCGAGGACGAAGAGCGCGGTCGGCGCGGCGACGCGGCGGCCGCGGTCGCCGCGGTCGTCGTTCCCGCCGCCTCCGCCGCCTCCGCCGCCGCGGTTTCCGCCGCCTCCGCCGCCGCCTCCGTCGTACAAGGCGCGCGTCGACTTCTCCTCGGATCTCGCGAGCAGCGCGCGCGGGACGAGGGCGTCCCGCCGCGTCGACGCCGCGCGCGCGACGCGACGGCTCGACGCGCCGTCGCGCGCGAGGAGTCTTCCTCGAGTCGACGCCCTCGGCGTCGTCGACGCGTGCACGAGCGATCGCGTCATCGCGCTCGCCGCGCGCGCGATGGAGAGTGACGTTCCGATCGCGCAGGGTGCCTACAGCCAGAGAGCAGCAGAAAAAATCTGCGGCGGCCAGCTGCAGAATTTCACAACAGAATCGCCGGCGCGGACTCGACGGCCAAGGCTCCGGGCGTCTCGCCGCCGCACCCCGACCACCCACCCGCGCGTCCGCGCGCCGCGAGACGTCGTCCGTCGCGTCATGACCGCGTCGGGCGCGCCGCCCGCGGACGCGAACGCGAAGAAACCCGCGACGACGACGCTCGCGATGGGTTTCGAAGGCTCCGCGAACAAGGTGGCCGTCGGCGTCGTGCGCTCCGACGGCGCGATCCTGAGCAACCCGAGGAAGACGTACATCACGCCGCCGGGGACGGGGTTCCTCCCCAGGGAGACCGCGGAGCACCACAGAGAGGTGATCCTGGACCTCGTCCAGGCGGCGCTCGACGAGGCGGGCGTCGCGCCGAAAGATCTCGACGTCCTGTGTTACACGAAGGGGCCAGGAATGGGCGCGCCGCTCGTCTCCGTCGCCGTCGTCGTGCGAATGTTGTCGCAGATCTGGGGAAAACCGATCGTGGGCGTGAACCACTGCGTCGGGCACATAGAGATGGGGAGGGTCGTCTGCGGCGCGGTCGATCCCGTCGTGCTCTACGTCAGCGGAGGGAACACGCAAGTCATCGCGTACAACGAAAAGGCGCGTCGAATCGAACGCGTTCGACGCCGCGTCGGCCGAGCCCGCGATTCGCCACGCTTCCCCGCGTCTACACACGTCCATCATGATTTGACAAACAGATGTTTGCCACGTTCATTCGATTCTCGATGCCCAATCTGTGACGACTGGCTGGTTTCCACGCGTACACAAATCCATCCTACGTGGCGTGTTCCTGACCGATAGCGTCCTCCCCTTCGCGTTTGTTTCCGCAGAGATACCGCATCTTCGGCGAGACGATCGACATCGCGGTGGGGAACTGCCTCGATAAGTTCGCGCGCGAGATCGGCCTCAGCAACGACCCGTCGCCCGGGTACAACATCGAGCAGGAGGCGAAGAAAGGCACGAAATTTATCGACTTACCGTACGCGGTCAAAGGCATGGACGTGTCGCTGAGCGGCGTGCTCACGTTCGCGGAGAAGGAGGCGAGGCGCGTATTCCTCACACTGGTCCCCATACGACTGCATCCGCGTGGTGAACGCCGATCCTTAAGGACTTTCTCTCCGCGCATCCTACGCTTTTTCAACATTCGACCCTATGACGCCTTTCAATTCCGCTTCTGACGCCTTTCAACCTCACCCCGACGACCCTCGTCAGGGAGCGCATGCGTCGCGGCGAGTGCACCGCCGCGGATCTGTGCTTCTCGCTTCAGGAGACGATATTCGCGATGCTCGTGGAGATCACGGAGCGCACGATGGCGCACTGCAACACGCAGGACGTCCTCATCGTCGGCGGCGTCGGGTGTAACGTGCGGCTGCAGGAGATGATGGGAGAGATGGTGAAACAACGCGGCGGCGCGCTCTACGCGACGGACGATCGATACTGCGTCGACAACGGCGCGATGATCGCCTACGCCGGGCTGTTGGCGTTCATGGAGGGCGACGTGACGGCGATGAAGGACACGACGTGCACGCAGCGATACCGCACGGACGACGTGCTCGTGACGTGGAGGAAGGATAAGGAGTAACGCGCGAGCGATGGAGACGTAGACCTCGTTCGTCGTTACTCGTACGATGGCGGGAATAATAATAAAAAACGAAACGCCCGGCGAGGCGCCCGAACTGAAGCGGACGCGGCCGCGCCCGGCCGCGACACGCTGTCATCAACCGAAAGAAAGATCGGAGGAATATCTCGCGCGTTCCCTCCGGCTCCGCACTCGACTCTGACGCGCCGCACGCCGCACGTCGAGAGATGAGCTTCACGCTGTGCGCGAGCATGCACGCGACGCGCGCGAGCGCGTCTTCGTCGAGCGCGCCCGCGCGCTCTTTCCGCGCGCGCGCCGCGCGCGCGGAACGAAATGCAGCCCACGTGTCAACGAGTTCCAAGGCGTCGTCGCGAGCCTCGTGCCCGTCGCTTCGCGCGCCGCGCCCCGCCGCGCGTCGCCGCGCCGCGATCGCGCTTCGCGCGGCGAAGGACGACGCCCCGAAGAACGAGGATGACACGAAGAAAGAGCCCGAACCCGAGCCCTCCGCGGCGTCGAGCTCGGAGGACGCGGAGAAGCTCCCGACGCCCGAGGACGACGTCGCGCCCGCGCTGGAGGGCGACTGGCGCGATTTCCGCGCCAAGCTCGTGAACTCGGAGAGCGCGGGATCCGACGCCCCGGGCGCGTCCGCGGACGAGGCCGCGCGCGTGGAAGCCGCGAGCGGAGAAAACATCAAGCTCCTGAGCACGCAAAACCCGGAGCTCGCGTCCGAGACGCCCTGGGCGCACGTCATCGGCGCCCCGGAGAAGGGATGCCTCCTCCTCGCGTCCGAGGAGGAATTCAAACTCGGCCAGCAGTACTTCCACCAGGCGGTGATCTTAGTCCTCGAGCACCACGAGAAGGGCAGCATGGGGGTCATCCTGAACCGCCCGACGCAGTACAACATGGGGTACGTCGGCGGCGACGACAGCAGCCCGTTCGCGAACAACCAGCTCTACTTTGGCGGCGACGTCGGCGACGGCACCGTCTCGTTCCTCCACGGATCTTCCGAGGTTGCCGGCGGGAGCGAGGTCTTACCCGGGGTGTACCTCGGCGGGTACGACAGCGCGTGCGAGCTCGTGAAGGACGGCACGCTGAAGCCCACGGACTTCAAGTTCTTCGCGAGGTACTGCGGCTGGGCCCCGGGGCAGCTCGAGAGCGAGTGCGAGAGAGGGGTGTGGTACCCGGTGGCGTGCTCGCGGCAGCTCGCGCTGAAGCAGGTGATTCAGCTCCCCAAGCCGCTGTGGAGGGAAGTCATGGAGCTGTGCGGGGGGGAGCTGAGGCAGACGAGTAAGCGGAGCTACGGCGAGGAGGAGACGTAAAGGTGGGTGAAGACGTCGTGAGACGCGCTGCTGCGCGCGCCTTATCATATCAGCGCGGGAGCGGCGGGGGAGGGGGGGCTGGGCGGGGGGTCGAGTTGAAAGAAATTAGCGCGGGCGGGGACGGGTGAAAGAACAGAACGAGGAGAGTCGAGTTTCGAGAGCTGCGAGCGAGATATCGCGATAGTATATCGCGTTTCAATGAAGATGTACTGTACTACTACTGCGAAGCACACGAAAGACGCGCGCGCCGTGAGATGGACGAACGCCGTCGAGGCGCGCGGGTGAAAAACGTAAACCTCGTTCAATGTTTTCAACCATCCTCAACTAGAGGCGGGAGCCGACCCCGTCGGTCCCGTCCTACTTACAGACAAAAAGTTATGCTACACACCCGATCCGATCGCCGCGCGCCGCCGCCGTCTTCCGACTCGCTCGAAGACGTCTCAACCGTGTTTTGTGCCGCGGGAAACGCGCGAACGAAACGAATACTTTGGGCTCACTGCTCCTTCTTCGCCTCGCCCGTCACCGCGCTGACGGGTTCGTCAAACTTCGGGACGCACCCGTCCTCGTCGCAATCGTTTTCGCTCTTGAACTTCGCCTCCTCGAACAGCTCCGGCGCGCACCCGTCGTCGTCGCACACAATCTCACAGAAGTACACGGGGAATCGCGTCATCGCGAATCCGCCGACCGTCGCGGCGATCCCCGAGGAGACCAGAATCGCGAGCTTCGCGGTCACGCTCGCCACCGGCATCCCGACGAGCGCCTGCTCGATCAGGAACAGCGACATCGTGAAGCCGATCCCCGCGAGCATGCCGACGGTGAGCATGTGCTTGAGGTTCATCCCGGGCGGGAACGAGCACAGGTTCATCTTGATCGCCGCCATGCAGATCGCGGCGATGCCGAGCGGCTTGCCCACGAGGAGACCCGCCATGATGCCCTGGCCCACGGGCGCGGTGAAGACGCCCGCCATGGCCGACGCCTGCACCACGACGGCGCAATTCGCCAACGCGAACAGCGGCATGATGAGCATCGACGATATCGGGTGAAGGAAGTGGATGAGGTCGTCGATGAGCGTCACCTTCATGCCGTCCTCGAACGCGTGCGCGTGGGATCCCGCGGGGGCGTCCGCGTCCGCGGGGATGGCGAGCGCGGCGACGACGCCGGCGATGTCCGCGTTGATGCCCCCCTTGAGAAGCGCGAACCAGAGCGCGACGCCGAGCGCGGAGTAGACGATCATGTTGGACACCTTCTTCTTGCAGCAGATCGCGAGCACCGCGCAGATGCCGGCGGAGGCGGCGAGGTACGCGGGGACGATGCCCTTCGCGAAGCATACCGCGATGACCGCGATCGCGCCGAGGTCGTCCACGGTGGCGAGCGTGAGGAGGAAGGTGGCGACGGCGGGGGGCATGCGGTTCTTGAAAAAGTTGTACACGCCCATCGCGAACGCGATGTCGGTGGCCATGGGGATGGCCCAGCCCGCGGGGATGCCGCCCGTCACGGAGTTGAGCGCGAGGTAGATGCCCATGGGCGCCACCATGCCGCCGAGCGCGCCGAAGCACGGAAGGAGCGCGGCTTTGACGTTGGAGAGAGAGCCGAAGACGAACTCGCGTTTGATCTCGAGGCCGACCATGAAGAAGAAGATGGCCATGAGACCCTCGTTGACCCACTCGTGCGCGTTGAGGTGGAGGCCGAGCGAGGCGGGGCCGATGTGGAAGTGCTCCCAGAACCCGATGAAGCCGCCGCTCATCGCGGAGTTCGCGAGGAAGAGCGACAGCGCGGTGGCGCCGAGGAGCATGATGGAGCCGAGACCTTGGTCGAGGAGCTCGTGGATGTCCATCTCGCTCCATTTCTTCTCGCGGACCTCGCCGTCGCCCTCGACGACGGCGACGGACGACGGCGACGACGCGGGGATGACCGAGCGCCTGCGGTGGGGGCGGCGGGGGGGGAGGAGGATGGTGAGTTTTTGGGGGGACCAGGACCGGAGGAGGACGGCTACCAATTTCGTCCAACCCGTTGAAGCGTGAAGAAAAGACCACACGTGAGCGCGATCTCGAGGGTGGCGCGCGCGCGCGGGACGCGACGAATCGCGCGCGCGCGCGAACGCGCGCTTCCTCGCGCGCGCGCCAAAAGACGGACGAACGCGTCGAGCACGCGCGAAGAGTCGCACCTCGCGGAGCTGCGGCCGAGCGCGACGGGCGCGCGCGCGGACGCCATGGTCGCGGACGCGCGAGCCCTGCTGGAGGACGCCTTCACCGAGAAGACGGGCGCCTTCGCGGAGACGCGCGCGCGGGCGACGCGCGTCGTCTTCGCCGCCATCGCGGAGGCGGAGAGCCCGGAGATCGTCATCGCGGCCATGTTTGCTCGAATTGAAGGAGTGAGCGTCCTTGGGGTGCGTTGATTGTGCCCGGCGCGCGCCGCTGGGATCGTAACAACTTTCGCAGAGCGACGAGACTACGGTTGGCGCACGTTTATCCAAGTTTGCGAGCTCGGACGTTGACCAATCAGAAGCGAGGGAGGTGGGCAACCAATCGATCTCTATATCGATCAAAGTGCGAAAATTCTTCAAAGTACGAATCGATGACTACATTTACATACGAGCATTTTCGTATCGTACAAAAATCCTTTAAGGCGGGAAACACTGTTAAACTGTGCCGACTAAAGTGATAATCCGAACCGTCGTGCACGGTTTCAGTGCGTCAGCCTGCGTCAGCGGTCAGCCTTTACGGTCGGCGTCGGTTTCAGGGCGCGTGTTTCAGGGTGAACTTTTTTTTTTCAACGCGCCGAACCTCCATTTTGCACTTCCAGGAGCACGGACGACGCCGCCGGCCGCGCCGTCCCTCCCTCGCGCGCGATCTCTCTCCCCTCCTCCTCCTCCTCCTCGCTCATCACTTGTGGTACGTCACGACCGCGCGGAGGCAATCGCCGCCGTGCAGCGCGTGGATCGCCTCGTTCGTCGCCCCCGCCACGTCGCCGCCCTTCGCGTCGATGGCGTGCGTCACGTAGTGATCCACCGGGAGCTCCCCCGCGAGAGATCGCTCCACGAGCTTCGGCACCGCGCTCCGCGACTTCCAACCCCCGAACGCGGTGCCCTTCCACACGCGCCCGGTCACGAGCTGAAACGGCCGCGTCGCGATCTCCTTGCCGCTCGCCGCGACGCCGATGACGCACGACTCGCCCCAGCCGCGATGCGCGCACTCCAACGCGCTTCGCATCACCTCCACGTTGCCGGTGCAGTCGAAGGAGTAGTCGACGCCCCACTTGGTCATGCCGACGATCACAGACTGAATCGGGATGCCCTCGTGGTCGTTCGGGCACACGACGTCCGTGCACCCGAGCCGCGACGCGATCGCGAACTTGTCCTCGTTGAGGTCGACGCCGATTATTCGCCCCGCGCCAGCCATCTTAGCCGCCTGCACGACGGCCAGGCCCACCGCGCCCAACCCGAACACCGCGACGGAGGCGCCGGCCTCGACCTTGCACGTGTTCCACACCGCGCCGAGGCCGGTGCTGACGCCGCAGCCGAACAGGCACGCCTTGTTGAGCGGCATCCGCGGGTTTATCTTCGCCGCGCTGATCTCCGCGATGACGGAGTACTCCGAAAACGTCGAGCATCCCATGAAGTGGTTGATCACGGTCCCGTCCTTCTTCGCGGTGAACCTGGACGTGCCGTCGGGCATCACGCCCGCGCCTTGCGTCGATCGGATCGTCGGGCACAGGTTCGTCTTCGGCGACGCGCAGAAGATGCACGCGGGCGCGTTGCACTGCGGGGTGTAGCACGGGATGACGTGGTCTCCCGGCTTCACGGACGTCACGCCCGGGCCGACGGACTCCACGATCGCGCCAGCCTCGTGCCCGAGGATGCACGGGAAGAGACCCTCCGGGTCGTGCCCGTCCAGGGTGTAGATGTCCGTGTGGCACAGCGCGTTGGAGATGACTTTCACGCGCACCTCGCCCGCTTTCGGCGGCGCGACGATCACGACTTCGTTCGTCAGCGGTTGCTTCGGCCCCCACGCGACCGCGGCGTTGCACTCGATGTCCTTCCCCGCCGTCTTCGCGAACTCCGCGAGAAGCGCCGGGTCGGCCGTGACGTCCACGGCGTCCGCCATCGCTTGCGCCTTGGACGCGAGCGCTTTCGCGTGGAACTTCACGTGGTCCTCCATGAAGCTCGAGATGAAAAAATACGAGTGGTCGAACCCCGCGTGCCTTCGCACGCTCACCTTCTGACCCACCTCTTTCGCGACCGCCTCGAGGTTCTCCGGTTTCAGCTGCTCGGTCAAGAACTGATCGTCGAGGCCTTGATCGACGAGCACGTCGGCAAACTCGGGAAACGCGGCGCCGCGCTTCTTCAGGAGCTCGCACGCGTCGTGGTCTTTCCCCGCCTCCGCTGAGCCCAAGTACGTCTCGAACGCCTTCTTCCCCCACGGCACCGCGGACGGGTTCACGATCGGCGCGAACGCGCTCACCGCGGCGTACTCCGTCGGGTTCTTAAACGCGATCGTCAGCGCGCCGTGGCCGCCCATCGAGTGCCCGGTGATGGATTTTAATCCTCTCGCCGCCGGGAGGTTCGCCTCGATCAACGCGGGGAGCTCCTTCGTGACGTACGAGTACATCTTGTAGTTCGCGCTCCACGGCGCGCTCGTCGCGTCGACGTAGAACCCCGCGCCCGTGCCGAGGTCGTACGCGTCGTCCTCGCCCGCGACGCCCGCGCCGCGCGGCGACGTGTCCGGAAACACCATCATCACGCCCGCGTCCGCGCAGGCTTTGAACGCGCCTCCCTTCTGCGTCGCGTTGTCGTCCGTGCACGTGAGGCCGCTGAGGTAGTAGATCACCGGGACGGGGCTCAGCGCCGCGGCGGGGGGGACGTACACGCTGAACGTCATGTCCGTCCCCGTGGACGAGGACGCGTGCGTGTACTTGCGGACCTCGCCCCCGTGCGCCTTGTTCGCGCTCTTGAGTTCCATCGCGATCGAAGTGACCCCCTCGTGGTTCGGGTTCGGGTTCGACGGCGACGACGCGGACGCGGACGACGCGATCGTCTTCGCGCGGAGGGGGACGCGGTGGTGGTTCGACGCGACGCGCGCGGGGCGGAAAGCGGCGGAGAGCGCTCGCGGGAGGAACGTGAGCGCCGTTCGCGACATGCACAAGTGACCTAGATCGACCACCGCGATCGCGATCGCGCGAAACGACACTTCATCAGATCTGACGAGAACCAACAACGCCCCCGCGGCAGACGTCGCCGCGCGGCGGAGGGGTCGCCCCTTCGCCCGCCGCGATGCACCGCCGCTCCCAGCCGCTGTTCGCCGTCGATCGCGCGGGCGATAGCGCCGTCGCGAGCGCGGTCGCGGTGCGGCACGACGACCCGCTGTGGTCGTCTCGTCTCCATCTCGCCCCGTCCGCGTCGCGACTGTGCAAGCTGTGCTTCGACGCGTCCTCGTCGTCGCGCGCGGCGTTCGACGGCGCGGACGGCGCGACGCGCCGCGCGAGGTTCGAGCGCGCGTCGCGAGGGCGCGCGCCGGCGGACGCGCTGCGAGAGCTCGGCCTCGCGCCGCTGTTCCCGTCCGTGACGCGCGCGCTGGACGAGGGCGAAGGCGACGTGACGCCTCGTCCAGGCGCCTCCCCGTCCGCTCGCGACGACCCGGCGTGGGACTACTTCGCGCACGCCGCGTCCGCGCACAACCTCGCCGTCGTCGCGGGGAGGCTCCGCGCGGACGCGGGCGGCGGCGGCGGCGGCGGCGGCGCGCGTCTCGCGCATCAGCTCGCGTCGCTTCACTCTCGCCTGCGCGACGTCGGCGGCGACGCGTGCGAGCGTCTCAGACTCGCGATAGAGGCGAGGTTCGAGACCGTGAAGCGCGCGTGCGAGGGTGCCGAGGGTGTCGAGGGTGCCGTCCTCGATGAAGACACGCGGAGATGGCTGATGCGCGTCGGCGCGGACGCGGAGGACGCCGCGTGGCGATGGCCGACGGAGGCCGCGGGGGCGAACGCGAAGCGCGTGCTCGCCGCGCTCGCGGACGGCGGCGGAGGTTGACGGCGAGGAAACGTCCGTTACGTGTGCGTTACGTTTACGTTACATCACATGTTGGAGCGCGCGCGCTAGGTGTGCATCGCACGGTAGCGGCGAGCGATGTAATAGACTAGGAAATAGCATAGCACGCGGCGGCGCGAAGGCTCAGAAGTAGTCCCCGCGGAGGTACTTGGAGACGACAAACTCTGAGAGCGTAAAAACGCCGCCGTCCGCCTCGGGGTACAGAGATTCGATCTCCGCTTTCATCCCGGACTCGAGCATCGCACGCAGCTCGCTCGCTTGCGACGCGCTGTCGCGCGAGGGCGTCGACGCGGACGGCGACTGCGAGTGCGATTGTTGCGACTGCGTCGGCGCCTGAGACGCCGGTCCCGCGGTCTGCGAAGAGCGCTGCGACAGCTGTGCGTTGCCTCCCTCGCCCGTACCCGTTTCCGCCGCCAACATGTTCTTGATCTTCGCCTTGTCCAGCTCCGTCAGCGGCTGACGCGCCCGCGCGTCGACGCGCTCCAAGTCCGCGCGCCGAACCCCCAACCACTTCACGTCGAGCGCGTACCGCGACGCCTCGAGCGCGCCGCCGCTGCTTCCGGCGCGGTACGTCCGCAAAATCAAGAGGCCGCTCGGGTTCCAATCCACGAGCGCGAGCATCGGGACGCGCGGGAACTCGCTGGCGAACTTTTTCAAGAAGGCGCGCGTCGCGAGGTCGGGGAACCCTTTCGCGGTGACGAGCACGCACGGCACCCGCGCGTGGATCCGCTCGCGGCACAGCTTATCGAACGCCGCGTCTTTTTCGACGATCAACACGAATCTCGCGTCGCTCCGCAGCCGCGCGCGCTCGACGGCGCGGACGTCCCCCGGCACGACGAAGTGCGCGGACGCGTCGCTGAAGTCCCTCCACACGCCGTCCTCCGGCGTGAGGATCGCGACGCGCCCGGCGACTTGCCCTCGAGACGCGGAAGTGACCCCCATCGCGGCGCGCGTGCAGTTTAGGAGCGTCACGGCGTCGCGGAGCGCGGCGGCGACGAGCCGTGCGCGGCCTGGGGGGAAGAGCTTCGGATGGCGCGCGCAGAGGAGGTAGTAGAGCGCGCGCTGGGTGATCGCGCGGCGTTCGGAGAGGTGGTGGTGCACCGTCGCGAGGAGCTTCCAGAGCCGCGCGTACGCGGCGGGCCTGCGCGAGATGGCGGCGGGGGGGGGGAGGGCGACGTGAGCGAGGCGAGAGAGGAAGAGGAAGAGGAAGAGGAAGAGGAAGAGGACGCGCACCTTCGCGCGTCGTGGAGGCGGACGCGCGTCGTCGCCGCGTTCGCGGGGAGGCGATACGCCCCCGCGTCGGCTCCCGCGCCCGGGGCGTACACCGCCGCGCGGACGTCGCGGATCGCGAACTCCACCGCGGCGGCGTCTCTCGTCGCGCGCTCGCGAGAGGGAGGAGACAGAGGAGACGGAGGAAGGAGCAGCGCGCGCGCGTGAGCGACCGCGAGGCGTTCGATCCGCGCGCACGTCTCCTCGGGGGCGAGCGCGTCGTCCGCGGCCGCGTACTCGTCCTCGCGGACGTCCGCGTCGTCGTCGTCGTCGCTGTCCCACGCGCGCGCGCCGGGGGCGACGGACATGACCGCGAGGGCGGCCGGCGCGCGAGGACAGAATAAACGCGAGCCAGAGTGAGACACCTGGCTCAGGCAAGCTCCGGAAGTTCAAAAGACGCGGCCCCGCTCGGCGCACCGCACGCGGCCGCCGCGGCGCACCGCACGCGCGCGTCTTCGCGGCGGCCCATGGGGATGTTTAAGACTGCAGCTTATAAAGCGAGCCGTCGGACGATCGACGCGATCAACGACCGACGTCGGACGCTCGATGCGGTCCACGCCAGCCCGTCGAACCTCGGAAGAGGAGACGTATACGTGCCCAGCGCCGGCCACGGCATGTCGAACGAGGAGGAGCCCGCGGCGGCGGGCGTGTTCGACGGCCTTGACGACATCGCGTGCGAGCGCGACGTCGCGGAGATAAACGCGCGCGGGGGCGACGCGTCGACGCGCGCGATGGACGAGGACGACGATCTCGAACTCGAGCGGGCGCGCCTTCGCGTTTCCCGCGCGGACGAGCCCTCCCCGTCGAGACTCCTCGCGGGCGACGCCGCGGACGTCGTCATGACAGACGAGGAGATGGAGGAAGAGGAGGAGGAAGAAGAAGAAGAGGAGGAGGACGCGGGCTCGCGCTCCAGGAAGGACGACCCCCGCAGCCCCTCGCGAATGGAACGCCGCGCGCGCGGGTCCTCGGACGATTCGAGCCCGACCGCTCGCGCGTCCGACGACGCCGCGCGCGCGTCCACGTCGCGAGACGAAGAGGACGACGGGGACACGGACGCGCTCGCCTCGGACGATGCGCTCGCCTCGGACGGCGAGACGAACCCGCTCCCGCGCGCGGAGGGCGGGTTCGCGACGGGCGAGGGCGAGGACCCCATGGGGGGCGCGCCGTGGTGGTTGCGTGTGGATCTTCCCGCGCACGTCGAAGCCGTGCTCCCGGTGAAGACGAAGGGGCTCGGCGAGCGCGTCGACGACGACGACGACGACGAGGTCGTGGATCGCGTGATCGACGAGCTGCTGCCCGAGATCGGTGAAAAGAGGACGTACCTTGGGGTTGCCGCAAGTGGACGTAGTTGGTGTGCGTGGGTGTATCACGCTGGTACTACTTGGAACTTCGGCAGCTACGTCGATCGGTTCGACGCCGCGCGCGCCCGCGACAAGGGTGTGATTAAGCTGAAGGGATGGGACGCGGACAACCTCAACTTCCCCGTGACTGACTACCGCGGAGACGATGAGTTCTGTGAAATGGTATCAACCATGTCGGACGAACAGATAAAGTGGCCGCGCAGAACGCCGCGCGCGCGAAGAGTGCTACGGCGCCGCCCGCTGTCGCCGAGAGTGTTCGCGCAGTCAAAGTTCGCAAGGTCGGGGTGAAGTATACCGGGGTTTCCTTGAATAACGGAGGTAAATGGATGGCGCAGGTCTGGCACGCTAGCACTACCTGGCACTTCGGCACCTACGTCGATCAGCTCGACGCCGCGCGCGAGCGCGACAAGGGTGTGATTAAGCTGAAGGGATGGGACGCGGACAACCTCCACTTCCCCGTGACCGACTACCGCGGAGACGAGGAGTTTTGTCGAATGGTATCATCTATGACGGACGAAGAATACAGAGATGCCGCGCAGGACGCCGCGCGCGCGAAGAGTGCCACGGCGCCGTCCTCTGTCGGCCAGCGCCTCGACGACGACGAGGTCGTGGATCGCGTGATCGACGAGCTGCTGTTCGATATCGATAACGAAACGTATGTTGGGATTCGTTCGAATGCAATTGGACATAGATGGATTGCGCAGGTGTATCGCGTTGGTATTACCTGGACCTTTGGCGGGTACGACGATGCGGTCGACGCCGCGCGCGCCCGCGACAAGGGTATGATTAAGCTGAAGGGATGGGACGCGGACAACCTCAACTTCCCCCGTGACTGACTACCGCGGAGACGAGGAGTTCTGTGAAATGGTATCGACCATGTCGGACGAACAATATAAAGTGGCCGCGCAGAACGCCGCGCGCGCGAGGAACGGTACGGTCCGGCGTTCCTTCAAAGTTGGTGCCCGTGGCCAACTCCCTCCCGCCTCGCCTCGCGAGAGCTCGCAAATTGGTGTTCTTAAGTCGAGGTCGTCGCACAAACGCAAACTTGTCGCCGAGAGTGTAAAAGTGGCCGCGCGAGACGCCGAGAGAGTTCGCGAAGTCAAAGTTCGCAAGGTCGGGGAGAAGTATGCCGGGGTTTCCTTGAATAAATTGAATAAAGAAGATAAATGGATAGCGCAGGTCTGGCACGCTAGCACTTCCTGGTACTTCGGCAGCTACGTCGATCAGCTCGACGCCGCGCGCGCCCGCGACAAGGGTATGATTAAGCTGAAGGGATGGGACGCGGACAAACTCAACTTCCCCGCGGCCGACTATCGCGGAGACAAGGAGTTTTGTCGCATGGTTTCGACCATGACGGACGAAGAATACAGAGATGCCGTGCGGGACGCCGCGAGGACGTTCGTCCAACCAGTCGTTTACGCGCCGCCGCGTCCGAAAGAAACCAAAACCGAGAAGCTCGCGAAGAACGACCCGTGGGTCGGCGAGCGCGTCAGGAAGTGGTTCCCGAAGCAGAAAGCGTACTACGAGGGCGTCATCGCGAAGGCGCATTACATCGACGGCGAGGTGTACTACTTCATCGAGTACGACGACGGCGACGAGGAGGACCTTTCGAAGGACGACTTGCGCGCCGGACAGATGCTCAAAAAGTGGAAAAGTAAATGCGTCGGCGGCGAGGGCCCCGTGGTGAAGAAGCGCTACGGCGAGCTCGTCGCCGTGAAGCTCCAGAGGCGCGAGGAAAAGCCGAAGCAGCAGCGACGCGTGTACGTCGAGCAGCGGCCGCTGCCGCCGCCGCCGACGAAAGAGGCGGTCGCGAAGCTGCTCGCGGACGTGCGTGCGGCGGCGGATGACGAGGCGAACAACCCGACGCGCGGCGCCGACGCGCTCGCGGCGAGACGCGAGCGCGAGCGCGCGCTCGCGAACCCGGTCGGCGGCGTCGTCCTGGGCCGCCCGCAGCCGCCGCCGGCGGAGGACGCGGGGGAGATTCGCGTGTTATCGCATGTCCTCTCGCCCGCGGTCGCGAAGGAGTTTAAACGCGTGCACTTCATGTGGAAACACCGCCACGGCCTCCTCGACGCCGCCGGCAGCGGGAAGATGGACCTGTTCAAAGCCATCGCGGCGACCGTGCGCGAGACGCGCGTCGTCGCGAACAACTCGTTCGCGGACAACAGCAACGAAGTCATTCGAAGGTTCGACGCGTCCGCGGCGCTCGCCGAGGCGTTCGCGCGGCAGCTCGTCGCGGCGACGACGCTGACGATGACCGACGCCGCCGCCGCCGCGATCGACCTCCCGGAGACGCTCGACTACTGCGACGGCGTCGAGGCGTTCACGATCGGCGACGACGATCCGAGGGTCATCCTGCGAGGCGAGCTCGGCGCGAGGGCGACGCGGAGAATCCCGGCCGGGACGCTGCTCGGCCCGCACGCGGCGTACGCGTGCGCGCGCGTGGAGTACCACTCGCGAAAATTCTGCGTCCCCGTGCACGGCGCGCGACGCGCGCTGGACCCGTCCGTACGATACACGACGCCGCTGCACGCGGAGCTGGACCACGACGCGTTCGCCGCGGACTTCTTGTCCGTCGCGGGGACGGAGCTCGAGGAGTCGCTGGGCGGGATCATCGCGGACGCGTACGGGTACGGAAACTTGGCCTCGGCGGTGAACGACCCCGCGATCGATCCGTTCGACGTCGAGGGCACGAACGACGAGCTGAGGGTCGACACCGGGGTCGTGAACGTGCACCTCGTGGAGATTTTAGTGCACAACTTCCCGTTCATGTTTCACGTCGCCGTGAACGAGATCAAGGAGGGCGAGGAGCTGTTGACGGAGCAAGGGCAGTACTTTTGGGAGATGATTCGGTCCGGGAGGCGAAGGATCGCGGCGGTGTCCGGCGGCAGGATGGGCGCGTTATCGTGATCGCGATTCGTTAGGGAGGTGGTTTACTTCCTCTTTTGGGGTATTAATAGCTGTTTTTAGGTTTTTAGGCGCGCGAGGGGGCGACCAGCCGGTCGACCCGCTCGCGCGACGTTTTTCAGAAACGCTCGCACGTCGTCCTTCCTTTGTCGTCTCTCCGCGGAGTTCTCCACTCCGTCTCGCTCGCCTCTCAGTTCTCAGTACCGCTGATACTGCTGCTGCTGGTGATACGGCGGCTGCATCGGCGGCGGCGCGCCCGGCATCGGCGGCGGCGCGCCCTGGTACGCGTGCACCGGCGGCGCGCCCCATCCCCCGCCCGGCGGCGGCGCCGGCGGCGGCTGATTGTACTGCGGCGGCGGCTGATACTGCTGATACTGCGGCGGCGGCTGCTGCCACTGGCTCTGCATCGGCGGCGGCGGCTGCTGCTGCTGCCACTGGCTCGGCGGGTACGCGTCGTACCGCGGCTCCTCGCGGGGCGGCTCGACCGCGGGCGCCGCGACGGGCGCGCGAGGATTCACCTTGAAATACGCGAGCATGCGATCCACGGTGGGGAACTCCATCCGGCGGAACCGAAACCCCTCCGGCTTGACGCTGATGTACTCGTGATGCACGTTCCCGCTCTTGCTGAGGATGGACGATAGGCAAAACACGCCGTGGTGTTCGAAGCTCACGGACAGCGCGTACGGCCGCGTGTCCGGGTGCCGCGCCATCTCCGCCTTGAGACGCTGGTCCACGTCTCTCTTCGTCCCGCGTCGGAATTTCCGGTGGCGAATCATAGCCTTGAGGTTCGTCACCATCGGCTCGACGTGCCGCGCGTACACCTCGTCCAGGTCTTCGTACTCGACGCCGTCCACGGTGAGCGGGGACCCCAGCGCGAGGTTCGCGGTGTGACCGACGCCGGGCTTTTTCCCTTCCTTGATGTCGTGATGCACGTACATGTCGTCGTAGAATTTCACCGTGAGCGAGAGGTGCGTGACGCCCTTGCTGCTCGGCCGCAGCAGCACCTCGCCGATGTCCTGCGTCTTGAGAATCTCCTGCGCTTGCAGCGCGGTGACGTTCTGGAACAGCGGGTGGTTGATGTTCCTGTGAATGAAGCTCGGCCGCGACGCTTGCCTCTTCTTCTTCTTCGGTTTGGGAATCTCGCCGTCCATCACCTGAAGCGAGTAGTACGGCGTGCGGCCCCACTTCTCCGCCTCCCACTGCTGCGTCGCCTCGCGCGACAGCACGCTCCCGGCGCACGCGAGATGCACCACCCCGGCTTCGTAGTCGATCCCGTTCGGCTTGACGCGCGCGGAGATGACCTGCCCGACCGCCACCTTATCCTCGAGGCGGTTCACGTGGTTATCGGATAAATCTTCCTTTTGAATCTTCCCCGTGACGCCGCTCTCGAGAGACACGAGCACCTCCGCGTTGATCCCCATCGTCGGGTTCGGCCGCACGAGCTTCCTCACCGTGCACTGCACGATCTTCCCCTCGCACAGGCTGTGCTCGGTCTCGCCCGTGAGGAGCGCGAACTCCTCCCACGCGGTGGGGGGCTCCCACGGCCCGCGAATGTCTCCGTACGGTTCGTGGAGCTCCACGCGCACCTCTCTCAACGTCTGGTAGATCCACCCCTGGCCCTCGCCGTGGAGGTACTCCGCGTACGCGCGAAGATCCAGCTCCGCGAACTTCTCCCAGTGCTCCGGATCGAGCGCGCGCTCGACCGTCTTTCGCTGCACCGCCTTGCTCGCCTTCTTGAGCTGCTCGAGGTCGTAATCGAGCGCGTTGGCGATGATTTCAAACGTCTGCGCGTATCGCTCCGGGTGAATCCGCGTCGCGTCCAGGATGTCGTCGTCCACGACGCGAAGGCTGCTCGCCGCGTTTCGAAACACGATCGGACCAACGATCCCGAGCTCGTACACGAGCTCCGCTCTCGTCTCCAGCGCGCCGCCGTCGGACGCGCGCACGGCGGCGACCACGGCGGCCGCCTTCCTCGCGCCCAAGCCCGCGACGTAGTTGAGCGCCTTTTGCTGCCACGGGTGCGCGACGCACGCGTTGACGTCGACGCCGACTTGGTTGACGACGTCGGCGAGCGCTCGCGTGAACACCGCGAGACGCTCGTCCTCAGTGAGCGCGTCCTGGAGCGTCGAGAGCGTCAGCGACGCCGCCTCGCCGCCGCTCGCGAGCGCCGCGACGATGCCCGCGGGGTTGCGCAGGTACCGCCCGACGCACGTCGCGTGACGCACCTCCTCCTTGTGCTCTCTGAGGGCCAAAAACAGTTCTCCGGTCAGTTGAAAGGGGACGCGATCAAGTGTTGAAACCGGGCGATGGGTGAAAATCGTTTGTATAGAACGCACCTGAGTTCTTCTCGCATCGCCGCCGACGCGCCCGCGAGCGCGGGAATCGTGTCGTCGACGAAGTGCACCTCGATCGTGTTCACTTCCTCCGGAATCGCGCGCGCGTGATCCTCGACGATCTTCTCCACAGCCTGCCTCGCGGCTTCCCGCAGAAACTTGCAGTTCATCCCCGCGTTCGAGGACGCGGCGACGGCGACGACGTGCGGGCGGTGTTCGATCATAAACTGCACGAGACGATTCATGTCGGCGTCGCGGCGTTGGCCCGCGGCGGACTGCCCGGCGAACGGCCCGGCGGCGCGCACCGCGATGTTCGGGCACTCGAGGAAGTCCACGAGCTCACCCTCCGCGTCGAGCATCGCGAACGTCGTCGCGGGCGTGCCGGGACCCCACACCGCGGCGAGGACTCGGACGTCGACCTCGTCGTCGTGGTACTCCTCGGTGGATTTAATCTCCGGCGCCCACGGGCGGTTGGAAATCTTCGGCCACAGCGCCTCGCCGCACTCGCGCTTCACCTCCGCGATCGCCTCGCGCGCGAGCAGCACCGTCGCGCTCTTCGTCAGCGACACCGCGAGGTGCTTCTTCAGTCCCAAGTGCAGCGCGTCCTTGCGAAGCGCGTTCCACGCGTCGGCAATCTCGGAGACGTCTTCGAGGAGGTACGCCTGTTCCGCCTCAGCCATGACGTCGTCGATCACCTTCTCCGGGAGCGCTACTCTCAGCGTGATGAGCCCCTCGTCGTACGCGCGCAGCACCGCCGCGAACTCGGTGCCGGTGAACTCGGAGATGGGCTTGTTCTGAAGGCGCTTCACGCGCGCGAGCGGGTGAAACGGATCGATCTCGATCGTCCCCTTCGGCGTCGGCTGCGTCCACACTTGCGCCTTGCGGCGCACGACGACGCGCATCCACGCGCGCACGGACGGCTCCACGGACAGTTCCGCCGCGGCGACGTGCGTCAGCGCTTTCAGGACGACGGAGACGTCGCCGTACCCGGTCTCTTCGCCGACGTACACCGACGCGGCGTCTTCGGGCATCATGTCCGGGACGACTTGATTCTCCGTCCCCGCGTTTCGGCGGTAGGAATTCAGCGACTGCGCGAGCGCCGCGGGCGTCGCGCCGTACATCGGGAGCAAGTCGCGCAGGCCCTTCTTCCTGTGGTGCGCGTACGCCGTGCGGTTCAGCGGGCGAACGTGCGTGGACTCCGCGCCGGACTTTTTTATGCCGCCCTTCGCCTCCGACGTGAGAAACTGATGAATCTCCTCGTCGAACCGCAGCGTGAGCTTCGCCTCGACGTCGTCCAGCGTCTCCTCCGCGCGCGCGTCCTCGCACTTGTTCATGAGCGCCGCGAGCTCGTCCAGGTCTGGGTGATCGTCCCCCAACACCTCGACGACGCCTCCAAACTTTCGCAAGAGCTCCGCCTTTCTCCGCGTCATGCGCGCGTGTCGTTTATCCCACTCCAAAACCTCGTGCAGGACGTCGCGTCGGTGCACCCTGCGCTCGAGGACCGCGAGGTTCGAGTCGCGCGGCGGCGGGCGCGAGTCGTCGCGCCGCCCGCGCAGCAGCGGCGCGACGCGATCCTTCAGGTTCTGCGCGATGAACGCGATCTCGAGCCCTTCGAGGTGCGTCATGCACAGCAGATCCGCGATGGCCGCCTCCGCCGCCTCCGCCTCCTCCTTCGGGAGGTTCCCGCGCTCGTTCTCCTCGATGTTCCTCACGCGGTCCTCGTGCTCGTCCTGCGACTCGTCGTCCGCCCACCCGCGAAGGAGGAGCTCGCCGCCGAACGTCGGCGCGTCTCGAACGCTGCCGACGCCCATGAGGCGATCCAAGATCCACTTCGCCTCGGCGGCGGCGTCCTCCTTCTTGAACGGCGTCACTCTCGCGTCGAGCTGCATGCGCTCCGGCCAGTCCGTCTCTCGGATCTCGTCGTCCTTCGCCGTGAGCATCTGCTCGCGGACGACGGACGGCTCGAACGCGTGCAGCCAGGACCCGCGCCCGGGGCGGCCCGCCGCCGCGGATCGCGCAGACGTCTTTCTTCTTCGCCGCCGTTTCTTCTTCTTATCTGGGCGATCGAGCGCGTCGTCGCCCTCGTCCTCGAGCGCGACGCCGTCGTCCTCCTCCTCGTCCGTCTCGTACTCGCTCTCTTCGTCGAACCTTTCGCCAAGGTCGCCTTCGTCGTCGCCCCGGTCCCTCTGCGCGAACATCGCCTGGAGCTCGCCGACGTCTCCGAAGATGTCGAACGCGTCTTGCAGCTGGTCGCTCCGCACGCCCGGCACGTGCGACTTGATCTTCTTCGGCCTCGGGCCTTCGCCCTCCTCACGCTCGATGAAGTCCGCGAACTCGTCCTCGCTGTCCTCGTCGTCGTAGTCCACGAAGTCTTTTTCATCCTTCACGACGGCGGGTTTGATTTTTTTCTCCTTGGAGACGTCGTCGTCTTCGTCCTCCTCCTCGAGCTCCTCGTCGTCCGAGCCGCCGAAGAGATCGCGCTCCACCTCGGCCATCGTCTTCGGCTTGTCGCCGCCCTTCTTCGCCGCCTTCTCCGCCGCCTTGTCCTTCTCCGATTTCTTCCCGATGCGCTTCTTCTTCTCCTTGCGCGTGAATCCCGTCACGAGGTTGTCCTCGAGGAGGTCGTAATCGTCCTCGTCGAGCTCCATCGCCTTGCGCTTCTTCCGCCTCTTGTCGTCCTCGTCGTCGTCGTCGCTGTCGTCGTCGTCGACGACGACGGTGACGGCGCCGCGCTGGCGTCGGCGCGCGACGACCGGGCCGTCGTCGTCGTCGCTGTCGTCGTCGTCGTCCGCCATCGGCGGCGAGGACGACGGCGCCTTGGGCGATCCCGGGGGGACGGGCGACCCGGGCGCGTCGTCGTCGTCGTCGTCGTCGTCGTCGTCGCCGTCGTCGTCCGCGTCCGCGCGCTCCGCCTTCACCGCGGGCGGCGCGTCCTCGGTCTTCTCCGTCGCGGCGGGCGGCGCGTCCTCGGGAGGCGCCGCGGCGGGCGCGGCGGCGTCGTCGTCGGACATGACGGCGCGATTCTCCCGCCCGTCCAAGATCTCGCCCCTCGCGCCGGCGCGGACCGCGCGCGGTCGCCGATCGACGCGCGAGATCGAACGCGCGCGCGCTCGAGCGACCGCGCGCGACGCGACCGCGGCTCGAGGACGGGGTGTTCGCAAGCGACGACGACTCGAGCACGCGTGCGGCGCGACTCGAGGTGTGACGACGACCGCGACGCGGCCGCGCCGACGGCGAGCGCGATCGCGCCAAGAGGCGGGCTGTGTGGTGTACCGACCGCGCGGAACACGAGGCGCGCGTGGACGCAGTACCGTACGTAAAAGGGCCCTATGGAATTTTAGTCTGCGTTTTTTGTCAAAACTCCGCTCGCCATGATCACTTCCACTTCCGGCTCAGGTCCTTCGAGTACGCCATCCCGTGCGTCACGAACGCGCCGACCGCGAGCGCGGCCAACGTCGCGATCAGAAGCAAGTACGAAAACTCGTCGTCCAGCGTGTCGAAGCTCCGCGACGGGTGCAGCCGCGTGTAAAAAAAATCCAACCCGTGTGCGACGCACAACACCGTGCTCTCCAGCGACGCGGGCGCGGTCTTTATCCCTCTCAACCGCGCCACCTGATGCCTCGTCGTGACCCAACTCTGCGGGAAGATCGGCAGCACCTCCTGGTACGGCACGAGCCCTTCTTCGCGGTCCTCCGCGGTGGGCTTCCGCGACGGACGCCTCGGATCCAAAAACTTTTTATCCAACGCCACAACCTGATCCGTCGCCGTGCCCATCAGCACTTGATGCGCGGTGACCCCTTTCATCGAGTACGTGCTCGTCATCATCGTCGCCGCCGGTCGAACGAAGTAACTCTGACCCATGATTCGAAGCGGCGGCGGCGCGAACGACGAGATCGTCTCCGTGTCGTTGCCCCCCGCGAAGATGGAGCTCCGCATCAGCTCGCCGACGGCGAGCCCTTTTCGGTGCTCCGCGTCGTCGAACATCTCGAGGACGCTCATCGCGAATCTCCCACCGCGCGTGTTGTAGTAGTGATACACGACCCAGTTCTCGCACACGACCGCGTGGACGGGTCCGCGCGCCTCCGGGTGCTTGACGCGGTAGAGCACGCGCCCGGTCGCGGCGTCGATCAGGTGCACGAGGACGAAGGACGCGAGCGACGCGTCCGAGGAGGCGTCGCCCGCGCCGGCGACGTCGAACGTCGTCGGAGACGCGGCGACGAAGATGACGTTCGGGGAGAGGTACTTGAACAGCGTCGAGCGGTCGCCGAGGACGCGCGTCCACGAGTGGACGACCTCGTCGGAGGGTTTCGACGCGTACCCGACGATGGAGCCGCTCTCGGGGGGGAACAGCGACGACCACGTCTGCGCGACGGGATAGGACGACGGAAACGCCGACGCCTCCGCCGACGACGGTTTCGTTTCCGCGGCGGAAGCCGACGACGGCAAGAGCGCGTAGCCGCGAATCTCGTTCGCGCTCTGATCCACGGTGAAGAACGACACGACGCCGCGGTCGACGTGCGCGGCGACGCGCGCTTCCTCGGTGTCCGGGAACACCGTCGCGGACGCACCCGCCGCGTCCACGAGCAGCGCCGCCGACGCCTCGTGCGTCTTGGAATCCGCCGCAGCCGCCGCCGACGGCAACGGGAGATAATGCGCGGTCGCGAACGGCAAAACCACGTCGCTCTCGATCGCGCCGGTGTACAGGTCCACGACGACCGCGCGCGTGCGGTCGTTACGCTCGTCGACGCCGAGCACGAGCGCGTGCTCGCTGTCGTGCGCGTGGTCGCCCGTGGGACGCCACTTCTCGATCGACGCGTACGAGTATTCGCCGCCGCCAGCTGTACCGCCGCCGAGGAACCGCCGCCATAACACGCGGCCGTCGCCGTTGTGCAGCGACGTGATCGCGCCCGAGGGCGCGAGCGCGATGATCTGCTGGCGCAGGCCTTTCAGGTCGCGCGTCGGCAGGAGCTTCGCGCCTCTGCCGCGTCGCAACGCCGTCAGCGTCTCGATGTCCTCCTGCTTGGCTTGGTTAAACCGCGCCTTGAGCGCCAAAACCTGCGTCTTGTAACGCTCCGCGAACGACGGTTTCACGCGCAGGTCGTCCGCGGCCGCCGCCGCCGCGGACTTGGGCGGCGGGAGCTTCGCGAAGAAAACCTCGCCCGCGAGCGCGAGAGACTCGTCCCTAGACCAGAGCCGCTCGCCTCTGATTTCCTCCGCGCCGCCGTGCGCGGACAGCGTCGCGTCCTCCGTGACGACCAGCGTAGAAAACACCGCGCCCGTGGAGGACAGCCACGCGCGCTTCACGACCCCGTGGTCCGCGGGCGCGTACCCGCGCACCGGCTGTGTCGTCTTGACGACCGCGCCCGTCTCGAGCGAGATGATCGAAGTGGACGCCGCGTTCGTCTTCGCGTCGACGACGACGGCGCCGACGACGACGCCCGCGAGCGCCGTCGCCGCCGGCGAAACCGCCGCAGCGCAGGCGTTACCTCCGCCGGCGGCGCCCGTCGTCAGCCCCCACGCGCGCACGATCTCGACGGCGCCGGCGTCCGTGAGCCGAGCGAGTGCGCAGCCGGCGTCGCCGAGGAGCGTCGCCGCGCCGGCGGCGAGCGCCGCCGCGTCAGCCTCGCCGTCGCCGCCGCGAATCGCGGCGACCCCGCCGCGGAAACCGCCGCCCACCTCCGCCGGCGCGTCGCTCAGCGTCGTCGCGCCGCGCTTCCCCTGCAGCAGCTTCGCGACGTCGATCACCGCGAGCTTCGCGCCGTCGATCGCGGTCGTCAGCGCGTAGACCTTATCGCCGTTGTCGCCCCCGGACTTGACCGCGAGGGAGGCGCCGGCGGCGCCCGCGCCCGGGCCCCCCGGAGGCGCGAGCCCGCCCGCGCCGCCGCACTGCTTTCGAAGCGTCGCGCCCGTCTTCAGGTTCATCTCCACCGCGCACGCGCGGTGGTCGTCCTCCGTGACGCCGATCGCGATCGCGACCTTCACGTTGGCGGCGGCGGTCGCGACGACGACGCGCTGCATGCGAGCGATCTCGCCGCCGCCGAATTCACCCGCCGCGTCGCTTTCCCACGCGACGCCGCCGTCCGCCGTCGACCGAAGCTGCGCTCTACCTCGCGCGAGCACGAGCACGTCGTCGGCGCCGTCGCCGTCGACGTCCTCGTTGAGCGGCAGCAGGTCGATCCCGGCGTCGAGCGCAGCCTCCTTCGCGGCGTCCGCGCTCGGCGCCGCGGCGGTGAACGCGACGCGTTCCCACAGGAGTTCGCCGTCCTTCATCGAGTACGCGCGCAGGTGTTTGCCGCCGCCCGAGAGCGCGAGGAGCATCTTGGAGGCGACGACGAGCTTGTCGACGACGTCGCCGCGCTCGAGGACTTGGCGCCACGCTGCGAGGGAGGGGAACGACGGGGGGTGGGGGGTCGGCGGGAGGGCGCGCGGGCGTCGAGGCGCGCGCGATCGCGAGGAGGTTGGATCGACGGCCGTCGCTCGCTTTGCCCTAGCGCGCGCGACGGACGGACGGTAGGATCTCGAACGATCGAGGGGACGACGCGACGCGAAGGGATCGTTCGGCGGGCGGACGCGCGAGGGACGCACCGATGTCGCCGGTCTTCATGGACACCGCGGCGATCGCGCCCTGGTCCGTCGCGATGAACGCGCGTCTTCGGTCCGCGGATCCCGCGAACGCGGCGTGCGTCGCGTCGCCCAAGAACGATCGGTGCCAGTCGTAGCTCCCGACTTGATCCGCGTGTATCGCCGCCGCGGGCGACGGCGCGATCGCCGCGATCGCGACGACGAGCGCCGCGACGGCGGCGCGCCACGAGATCGACGAAGGCGCCATGACGCGAGTGAAGTGAGCGACGCGCGGGGGTGGGCGTCGGTCGTTATGCGCGAGGGACGGGCGGCGCGAGATCGGTCGTCAACAGAAGTTTTCTCGGCCGGCGCCGTCATCGTCAGCGAACACTTTTTCCGCGAGCGCCGCCACATCGCCGCCGCGCCGGCACGATGAGCGGCCCGGGGTGCTACGACCCCCCCGCCGACTTCGCTCCCGCGTCGTTCCGCCGCCACGCCGCCTTCGAGCTCGAGGACGACGACGAGGTGTGGGTGATCCAAGCCCCCGCGGGGACGTCCGCGAGGGACCTGCGCGGGTGTCGATTCACGGTCGCGGACGACGACGACGCCGTCGGCGTCGTCGTCGACGAGTTCAAGACCGCGAGAGGGAAGAAGTACAGGATGGTCGAGGACGGGAAGGGCGCCGCGGAGACGCTGTCGATCGTGCGCGCGGCGAGGGACGGATCGAACGGGCTGGAGACCGCGCGCGCGGTGACGCGGCGGGTCACGCTGATGCGCAAGGTCAGGGGTGCGGCGGGCTCGGGGGGGAGGCGCGAAGGCGACGACGACGACGAAGGGGACGAGGCGCGCGGCGGCGGCGGCGGCGAGGAGAAGCGCGCCGCGCGAGAGCCGAAGACGCCGAAGGAGAAGAAGCGGAAGAGGGACAAGGACGACCGGAAGTCGTCCAAGAAGTCGAAGAGCTCGAAGAAGGACAAGGACTGACGACGGCGCGGCGACGACGCGAGTAAAAAAACGTAGCTCTGGCGATGACGCCGTCGCGATCGATCGAATCACATTAGACGCCAACCCAGCCCGATCCAACCAAACCGCGGCCGCGGCCGCGGCCGCTCACGCCTCGATCGCTTTCGCTTCCGCCTTCTCCGCCTCGATCGTCGCGGCTTTCATCTTCTCGTTGATCGCGTCCGCGTTTGTGTGCACGAACATCTCCGCGTGTTCGAAATTTTGCTTGTTCTCCTTCCACGCGCTCTGCGACCGCTTCTCGTGCGTCCTCTTAGCGTCCTCGCTGATCGAGAGTCGAGGGTCCACACGAGGCGACGTCGGGGTGGAGGAGTTTTGGGGCGCGTCAGATGGAGTCGTCGATGGAGGCGTCGCGGTGTGGTGTCGGGATCGAAACCGAGGGGCGGGCGGGAGGAGAGAAACGACCGCCGGGCGGGACGCGGACGCGCCTGAACAGCTTCGCCATGATTTCGTAATCGTACTCGTCGCTCGCCCACGGGTCAACCTTGGACGGGGAGACGATCGACACGTCGTACTTCGCCTTGGCGTAGAATTTCATCGCGCCCTCGTTCGCTTTCTGCACGGTGAGCATGACGCCGTCGACGCCGGCTCTCTTCGCGAGCGCCTCGCACAGCATCATCAGGAACCGTCCCAGCCCTCTCCCTCGCGCCGCCGCGTCGAACTGAAGCTCGTAGACGTACAACACCGCGACGTCTTCCTCGACGACGAAGCGATAGTGCACGAACCCTAACGGCGGCGATCGCGCGGACGACGACGACGACGCCGCGGGCGACGCGGCGTTCGGGTCCGCGTTCTCGCCGGAGGCGTCGCGAGCGATGAGGTACCTCGTCTCATCCTCCCCCATCTCGCGCCTCTTGTCCCTGGCCTCCGTCGCCCACGTCTTCGACGCCTCGTACACGGGCTTCATGTTCGCCTCGAGCAGGCTCCACATCCACTTCTTCTCCTCCGCGGTGAGGTCCGCGGGCGCGGCGGGGGTCACGGCGACGCGGACGTCGCCGCGCGCGAACGGCTTCGCGAGGAACGGCGCGAGCGCGTCGGACGGGTCGACGGCATACGCGGCGTCGATCGAAGCCTCGAGCGCCTTGAGCTTCTCCGCGGCCGCGAGTTTCTTCGCGGTCTTGGCTTTCTTCGCGACGTCGACGACTTTGACGGCTTTCGGCATCGCGCGCGGCGAGGTCGCGAGGGCGGGGGGGTCGGGGAAGTTGTCGTTCATTGTCGTGGTCGGGTTCGAATTTTAAACAATGGCAAAATTTCTTCCAGTCTGATGATTTTCGCCGCGCGACGCCGCCAGACTGGACGGCGTCCCCGCCGCCCTCTCTCTCTCTCTCTCCGACCGACCGACCAAACCGCCGATCACATCACGGACGTCACCTTGAAGTCCAGATCCGGTCGCTCCTTCACCGCCTTCTCCGCCGCCTCCGGGGACACGACCGCGCACACCTTGGCCCCCGGCGCGCGCGTCGCCTCGAGCGCTTCGCCAAAGGCTCTGAGGGTCGTTCCATACGAGCGAATGTCGGGGTGCAGTTGAAAGGCGTCAGTTGGAGTTGAAAGGCGTCGAGGTCGGGGATTGAAAGCGAGGGGTGGGCGGAGAGAAACACCGGGAAAAGTCCTTAAGGATCGGCGTCCACCACGCGAACGGGGTCGTATGGGAACCAGTGTATAGAACGCGCCTGAAGTCCTTCTGGCTCGTCGACAAGATTTGTTCGCGACGCTCTTGTCTCTCTTCGTCCGACACCTTCAGAAGGTGACGCATGAGCGACGTGTACCTCTTCGCGTCCGGGAGCTGGTACGCGTCGATGTCGCCCATCGTGCCGATGATCGCCTTGGTGAGCTCGTCGCCGCCGATCTCCAGGGATTTGAGGTAGTCCACGGTGCCGTCGTAATTTTCCACCGTCTTCATGAGGTTGGGGTCGCGGTAGGATAAGTACGTGAACATGCCGCTGTGCGAGTCGAAGTCGGAGAAGCCGCCGTACGCTCCGCCGACGACGCGCACGCGGTCCCACAGCCACGTCGTGCCCAACAGTTTGTTCACCACGTACGCGCTGCCGTGGAGGTCGTACCCGGCTTTGTACAAGTTGGCGGCTTTCCCGACGTAGCCGACTTGCGTCGGCACCGTGATGAGCTCGTTCACGGGGGACAGCACGAGCGACGGCGACCACGGCTCGGTCGCGGACCCAACGCCGGTCGCGGGCAAGGCGTCGAGGAACCCGGTCACGGACGCGTTCACGCGGTCGAGCGTGTTCGCGTCCGCGGTGAGATTCGTCACCGACCCCGCGCGTTGGACGACGGCGGCGCGAATCTTCTCCAGATCCGCGACGACCGAGTCCCAGTCCGAGTCCACCCTCTTCGCGAGCGCTCTGAGGTATTCCAGCTGCGCGAGCCCGCCGAGCTGCTCGCTGACGTACCCGGCGACGGAGTCTTGCGCGTCGAGGCGGCCCGCGGCGACGGAGTGCCCGCCGGCTTGGACCCTGGATTCCATCCCGGTGCGCGACTCGTTCACGAGTTGCTTGAAGACGTCCCTATCCGTGAGCTTCGCGTCGAGGAGCATCTCCGTCATGAGGTCGTGCATCATCCCGGACTGCGCGGACGTGCACTTGCCCCGGAGCATGAGGTACGCGGCGACGTCGTCGCTGCCGCGCATGGACGACGTGAAGGGGGAGAGGGAGAACCCGCCGGTTTGCGCGCCCATGGTTTGGTCGAATTCGACAAAGTCCCGCTTGTTCGTGCCCATGCGCTGCATCGCGCGGCACCACAGCGGGACGAGCGGCATGAGGTCCATGGGGACCGCGTGGAGGTCCTGTTGGGTTGATCGATCGTTGGTGTTGGAGTTGGGGTTAGGTTAGGTCACGCGCGCGGGTCGTGCGTCGATGAGAGAGAGGAGAGAGAAAAAGACGCGCCGTCGACGGATGTGACGCCGCAGCGAAACGGGCGTCGGGTGAGACTCCCGACGCGCCGCATTATAGCAGCGCCTACGTGTGATCTAGCACCCCTTAATGTGCCCGCGGTCGATCGCCCACTTTTCAGCGAAACACGACCGCGGGCGTGGTATATGGTGCACACGTCCGCGCGTCCGGGCGTCCGAGAAAAACAGCGCGAAACCAAACGAAACGAAAAACGGATCGACTCGAAAGCGTCGTCGCGAAGCCGCCGCCGCGCGCGCGCCGCTCGCTTACCATGAGGTGCTCCGCGTACAGGATGTCGTTCGTGAACAGATCGTGCGTCAGCACCGTGGTCTCCCCGATGGACGACGTCTCGCTCGGGATCGCCTTGGACGTCTTCGGGATGTCCCCGATCTCGAGCGTGGGAACGCACGCCGTCGCCTCGGGCGAGTCCGGCGTCTCTTGCAACGTCTTCAGCTCCTCCGTCTCCGCGACGACCCTCTCGATGTCCTCCGGGGACAGACCGGCGCGGTACTCCGCGATCCGCGTCTTCTCGTCCGCCTCTTGCTTCGACGCGAGCGTCGCGTCCGGGTTCAACTCCACGGTCACCTTGTGCGCGTTGTCGATCAACAGTTTCTTCAGCAGCGGCTTGAAGACGTCGCCCGCGGCCATCTTCGCCTTGAGGTCCGCGAGCGGGCCCTCGAACCGAAGCGGCTGGAACGGATCCTTCTCGTACAGCCACGCGCTCAGAGACCGCAGCATGAGCGACAGACCGCGCGGGAACCGCCCGGTGTTGTTCTCGCGCATGCTGAACTCGATCGTGTTCACGGAGGAGTCGATCGCCTCTCGCGTGAACCCCTCCTCCGCGATCTTCGCGATCGTGGCCTCGATCAACGCCTCCACCTTGGGAACGTCCTCTTTCGCGACGCCCTTGAGACCGATCGCGAACGTCGGCTGACGAAGCTCGTCCTCGAGACCCCAACCCACGATGGCCTCGCCGAGGCCGGACTCCTCCAGCGCCATTCGCAGCGGCGCCGCGGGGGAGCCGAGGAGAAGGTTATCGAGGAAGCCGACGGCGAGCCCGGTCTCGACGTCGAACGGGCCGTCGTTCAGGAGCCAGTTCACCTGCACGAACGACTTCTGCTGCTCCTCGCCCTCGCCCGCGATGTACGACTTGACGACGCGCCTCGGTTCCGTGAAGAACGGCTGCGTGGCGATGGAGGAGTCGACGTCTTTCTTGTCGAACTCGTCGAGGAAATCGTTCAAGAGCTTCAGGCGGTCGGAGACGTCGTCGTCGCCGTAGAACCACATCCGCGCGTTGCTCGGGTGGTAAAACTTCCCGTGGAACTCCTGAAACTCCTGGAAGCTCAAATCCGGAATGACGCGCGGGTCGCCGCCGCTGTCCACGCCGTACGTGTTATCCGGGAACAACGCCTGCTGGCACGCCGTCGCGAGCACCGAATCCGGGGACGAGTACACGCCCTTCATCTCGTTGAACACGACGCCCTTGAACGTCATCTCCGCGTCTTTATCATCCAGCTCGTAGTGCCACCCTTCCTGTAAGAACGTCTTCTCGTTCGTCATGCAGTTCGGGTGGAACACCGCGTCGAGGTACACGTCCACAAGGTTCTTGAAGTCTTGAAGGTTACAGCTGGCGACCGGGTAGCACGTGCGATCGGGGTACGTCATCGCGTTCAGGAACGTGTTCAGCGACCCCTTGATGAGCTCCACGAACGGCTCCTTGATCGGGTACTTCCGCGAGCCGCACAGCACGGAGTGCTCCAAGATGTGCGGGATCCCCGTGCTGTTCTCCGGCGGGGTCCGGAACGTCACGCCGAAACACTTGTTCTCGTCGTCGTTCGAGAGCGACATGACCTCCGCGCCCGTCTTGAGATGCTTGAACAGGAACGCCTTCGCGTCGTACTCCGCGACGTACTCCTCGCGGACGAGCTCGAAGCCGTGGAGGTCCGCGCCGGACGGCGGCGCGAGGTCCGCGGGCGCGATCTCCGACGCGACCGCGCGGCTGTGCAGCGCACGGATCGTCGGGGTCGCGCCGACGCCGACGCCGCTTCGTCGGGACGCCGCGGCGGCGACGCCGCGCGACGCGAACGAGCGGTGCGCCGCCGCGGGCGCGCGACGCGCGACCGCCGCGGGGGTCATGCACGCGCGGGACGACGCCATCGCGCGATGGAGGACCGACGGACGCGACGACGGATCGACAACCTCGAACGTCGGATCGACGACGAGATCGACGCGCGCGAGGAGCCGAGATTCGGCGTGGGCTCGGAACGACGAAGACGCGCGACCTCGGTGGGACGCGACCGCGCGATGAAGCGCGCGACGAAGCGGCGTCGTGATTCGCGCGTGCGGTGACGCGCGTGTGGGCCGAGGTGCGACGACCGTCGGGAGCGCGCGCGAGTGTGACGCGACGCGCCGCGGACGCGGACGCGCGTGCTGACGTCGCCCGATCGCGGGAGAGCTCTCGAGCGCGCTCAGCTGCCCAGTCGTGTCGGCGACGACACCGGATAAGAGCGTATCATCGGGACGACACGGGACGACGACGGCGCACTCATCGCGGCGCGCGCACGACGCGAACTCCACGCACACGACGACGACACTCCGATCCTCATGGCGTCCATGACCATCTCCGCGTCTTCCGCCGCGGGCGTCGTCGCGCCCGCCCGCGCGCGCGTCGACGCGACGCGCGCGCGCGCGGCGACGAAATCGCCGGCCGCCGCGACGGCGCCGTCGGTCGTCGCGAAAAGGATTACGATGCCCGCGCACGGAAGGCTGCCGTCGTCGCGCTCGCGGCGCGGCGTCCTCCAAGTCCGCTCCGCGGGCCTACCCCCGAACCTCGCCGGGATGATGGGTAACATGGACCCGGAGAAGATCAAGGAGATCCAGGCCGCGTACGAGCAAGCGATGAAGGACCCGGAGACGGCGAAGAAGGTGCAAGCGCAGATGGCGCAGATGCAAGGGATGATGGGCAACCCGATGGTCGCGAAGCAGATGGCGGCGATGAACAACATGATCAGCAACCCGGACATGCAGAAGCGCATCGCGGCGCTGAAGGACGACCCGGACTTTCAGCCGTTCTTCGAGGACGTCCAGAAGAACGGGCCGAGCGCGATGATGAAGTACAGCAACGACGCCGAGTTTCTGAAGAAGCTCAACGAAAAGGTGCGCGCGGCGTTCTTTTCGCACCCCGCGCCGGTCCCCGCGCGACCGCGTCGGGTATCGAACGCGCGCCGTTCCCTGTGGACGGACTTCGCCGTGACTTCGCGCGTCTCTCCTCCCACCCCTCGCTGCTTTGCTTTCGATACCTCACGGATTCTTCCGTCTGACGCCTTTAATAAACAAACGCCTTTCGACGACTTTCCTTTCGACGCGTCTCAGCTCGGCGGCGAGGACGCCATCCGCGCCGCCGTCGGCGGCGACGTCCCCGTGGACGTCCCCGGGATGACCCCCGCGCAGACCCCCGCGGCGGCGCCCACGCCGGACGTGGAGACGCTCCACGACGCCGCGCGGTACGGCGACGTCGAGGCCGTCGAGGACTTCATCGCGATTGGCAAGGACGTCAACGCGCGCGACTCGTCGCAGCGCACGCCGCTGCACTACGCGATTGCGTTCGGGAAGGGCGACGTGGGCGAGGAGATTTTTAACATCCTCGTCGAGGCGAGCAGCGACCTCACCGCGGTGGACGAGAAGAAGAACACGCCGTTGCATTACGCGTGCGGGTACGGGAAGGTGTTCGCGGTGCGGGCGTTGCTCGAGAAGGGCGCGGACACGAAGGCGACGAACGGGACGGGGAAGACGCCGTTGGAGCTCGTGAAGTTGGAGGCGAAGAATCCCATCAACGAGGAGGCGGACCTGCTCGAGAAGCTCGCGGCGTGAGCGCGCGATCGCATGAGGGCGCGAGAGGGGTTTTGTAACGAAATGAAACGAAACGATACGAAACGAAAAAGGTCTCGAGAAAAGGTCTCGAGATCATCATTCTCCGTTCGCCAGTGCATCAGTGGGATCTCGTCGAGCTCGACCAATCAGGTTCAGGCATCGCGCGTCGCGGTCAGTTGAAAGGCGTCGCGGTCGAGGTCCAAATTTTGAAACCGAGTCGCGGGTGAAAAAAAAAAGATCGGCGGATAAAGCGCGCCGAATGGATTTGACGGACACACGCCCTCGAGAAACGCGACACACGCCAGCGCGCGAGGAGGGACGCGCGGCGCGCGCGCACGGAATGACCGCGGACTCGCGATGATGCGGTGCGAACCGATGCCGACGCGGTGCGGGGCGTCGCCCCCACCGCGCGCGCGTCGCGCGACCGAACGGTCCGCGCCGCGGTGCGCGTCCACCGCCGGTCGGCGCGATCGTATAAGTACAAGTCGCGCCGGCGGTCGCGGTGGTCCGACGCGCTTCGTCGTCGTCGCCGCGTCGTCGCGTCAGACGCGCGGCGCGTCGTCGCCGTCGTCGTCGCCGCCGCCGGACCCGCCGCCGCGATCGGGCGCGTCGGCGTTCGCGGCGATGATCGCCGCCGCGACCGCGGAGGCCGCGGGGCCGTCGTGGCCCAGCGGCGGACGGGACGCGTCGTCGTCCGACGCGGCATCGTCCGCGGACGACGACGCGTCGCGTCGGACGGGCGCCGCGGACGCGCTGAAGAAGAAGAAGACGGGCGGCAAGAAATCGGGGAAGGCGGCGTGGGAGGCGATGCTCGCGGCGGCGACCGCGGTCGCCGCGCGGACAAAGGACGAAGACGTCGAAGACGCGTGCCCGTGCGACGACGACGACGACGCGTGCATCGCGGCGTCGCCGTCGTGTTCGATAACCTTCATCGACGAGAGCGGCGACGAGTTCGACGCGTCCTCATTCCTCCCTCCGACGACGTCCGCGGCCGCGGCGCCGCCGTCGAGCGCGACGCCGCCGCCGCCGGCGATTCCCCTCGCGGGCCCGTCGTGCGCGTTGCGATCGAGCGTCGAGGTCTGCACCGGCAAGGCGTGCCTCCGCGCGGGCGCGGGGTCGGTCATGCGCGCGGTCCAAGAGAACCTCCCGCCCGGGTGGTCGTGCGCGGGTAAGAAGTGCATGGGGATGTGCGAGCGCGCGACGGTGGTGCGCGTCACGAGCGACGCGGAGCAGGTGGTGCACACCCACGTCACCGCGGCGACGGCGGCCATCGCGGTGCTTCCGGTGCGCGCGAACATGGGCCTCGTCGGGTCGTCCGCGCCGGCGTGGGCGACGACGACGGACGACGCGGACGGATCGGAGGCGGCGGCGGCGACGCGCGCGGCGAGAGACGCGGTCGCGGCGGAGGCGCGAGAATCGCGGAGGGAGAGGGACGACGCGAGACGATCTCGCGCGCCCGCGGCGGCGGGGCTGATGGCCGCCGCCAACGCGGCGGTGGACGCGGGGTTCGCGCGCGCGGAGCCGACGAACGACGCGCCGAGGGTGAGGTCGAGCGGCGGCGGCGACGGCGGCGGCGAGATCGTGCGCGCGGCGAGGCGCGCGTCGGCGCGCGTCGTCGAGCTCGGCGTGCGCGGGGACGAGACGCTGATCCGGCGTCTTTACACGGACTACATCGACGGCGGCGGCGGCGAGCGGCGATAGATTTAGAAGCATACGACGTGACAGAGTCACTCGATAGATAACACGTTGAATAACGACGAACGAGAACGAGAAAGAAATGAAACGAGGTCATCTTCTCTTAAAGTACATATGATACAGCACATCAGCGCGCTCGAGGCGAGGAATTTACAGTAGTCTTCTTCGCTCGACGCCGTCGACGTCTGGAGTCTACAGTACATACCCGTAGTGTACACTACGCGTCGCGCGTCTCGACCGTCGTCGTCGGTCAGACGGACAGGAGACTGTCTTGTCGCGCCAACCCCCCCGCGCGCACGCCGCCTTCCCGACGCGTCGACATCGACATCGACATCGACATCGACATCGCCGGCGGCGGCGCCGCGCCCGCCGCCGCCGCGCCCGCCCCCAGGTTCCCCGGCGGCGCCGGAAGCATCTCCGCGAACGCCGCGACGTCCGCCGCGGTGATGCTCGGGATGGACGCGAGCATCGCGGTCCAGTCCCCGCTGTTCAGCGACGTCAGCGGCGACCCGATCGTGGGGCCCGCGCACGCGCTGGGCGCCGTCAACGCCGCGGACTCGGTGATCGCCTCGAGGACGTGCGGCGGCAGCGCGCCGGAGCTCCGCCGGCGAAGGAACCCGCCGCCGCCGCCGCCGCCGCGATTGCCGCGACTCTCCGACGACGCGCCGCGGAGCGCCTCGCCGATCTCCACGGGGAGGGACACCTGGCGCGCGATGCCCATCGGGCGAGGCGGCGGCTTCGTGCGGAGCGGCGGCGGCGAGGTCGCGACGCCGTCGCCGAGCGCGAACGCGGGCGTCGCGAGCGCGCTCTGAGGCTCCGGCGCGGACGAGGACTCGACGACGAGCGGCGCCGGCGCCGGCGCCGTCGCCGTCGTCGTCGTCGTCGTCGTCTCGCGCTTCCTCTTCCCGACGCTCCCGCCGGACGACGCCGGGGACGACGCCGGGGACGACGACTTGGACTTGTTCTTCTCCTTCAGCGCCTTCGCGCCGTTCGGGCGGTGCGTCTTCCCGATCGCCGCGGCGGCGCGTTTCGCGGCGTCGATCTCTCTCTCGATCGCGTCTCGGCGCTTCGCGGGTCGCAACGCCGCCGATCCCGCCGCGTCGCCGCCGTCGACGTCGTCGACGAAATACGCGCGCCCGGTGAAGTGCGCCTGGAACCATCGCGCGCGGCACTGCTGCGCGGTGCGATTCGAGAGCGACTTGGCGATCGAGCTCCAGTTCGTGCCGTGCTGATGCTTCAGCTCCGCGAGCGCGCGGTCTTCTTTCGTGCTCCACGCGTCGCGCTTCACCTTGGGGTCGAGGTGGCGTCGCCAGCGGCCCATGCACTGCTGGTCCGTGCGTCCCGGGATGGACTCCGCGATGTGCGCCCATCGCGTCCCGAGCTTCTCAACGAGAGCGTGAAGCTGCGCGCGAGGACGGGGAGGGGGGACGAGAGGCGATGATGAGCGCGCGGCGGGGAGGTCGCGCGACAGGACCGCGCGAGCCGCGGGGAGCGTTATGTCGTGGTATTTCTCCGCAGTCGACGCGCGACGAGCGCCGCGGCGCGCACCAGCACGTCCTCGTCCTCGGTCCACTTGTCCTTGCGAATCGACGGGTTGACCTTGTGCCGCCACCGCTGCGCGCACTGCTGACCGGTGCGGCCGGGGAACTCGTCCGCGACGGCCGCCCAGCGGTTGCCGTGTTTAGCCTGCGCGCGGGCGAGCGGACGACGGGGATCGATTGAGTTGACCGAGGAACGAGCGAGCGAGCGAGGCGCGGCGCGCGGGCGAGGAGGCGTCGCGTCGCGCGCACCTGGAGGCGCACGAGAGTATCATCCTCCGACTCGGTCCACGGCGCACCCTTAAGGTCGGGAAGTTCATGCCTCATGAAGCGTGCGAGGGAGGGCGCGTGAGTGTGTGACGACGGGAGCCGCGCCGAGGCGTTTCTCGCTACGTCATGTAGGATACTCGCCAGTGTGGCGGAATTCTTTGGAAATTGTGACTGAAACACATACGAATGTATCGCGTACACGTACGAGATCACATGTTTTACCCGGATGGGTTAGAGCTCAGTCTTTTTGTAATCAGATCTACACACGAGTACGCGGCGTACGCATCTCGGAATAATTCGGCGAACGTGTTTCCCGTGATCGCGGCCGCCACGACAGCGACATCCCTCTGTCGTCGTCGTGCCTCGAGAGGCGATACACGCGCGACGCGCGCGATGACGACGGCAGCCTCGACGCCGGCGGCGGCGCGAGTCGCCGCCGCCGCCGCCGCGAGGCCCGCCGCGCGATCGAGACCCGCGCTCGCCGCGCGCCACCCCGCGCTCGCGCGCCGCGGATCCTCCGTCGTCGGCGCGCGACGGCGACGCGCGACGACGGCACCGCCACCGCCGGCCGCGACGGCGAGTCCGTCTTCCTCCGCGCCGCCGCCCCTCATGGTCGACGGCACGGAGGACCTCCCGGAGAGACAAGACGCCATCGACGCCGCGGCCGCGTCCGTGGGAAGCCTCACGCGGAAGATCATCGACCTCGGCGACGACGCGGGAGCGGCCGACGCGCTCTACGAAGCCATCGTGGAGTGGGCGACGGAGACGAAAAACGTCGAGCTGTACGACGCGCAGGACGAGGCCGTCATGGAGCTCTGCGAGGGTAACAACGTCCTGCTGACCACGCCCACGGGGAGCGGGAAGACGCTCGTCGCGACCGCCGCGATCGCGGCGGCGACCGCGAGAGGCGACGCCGCGTGGTACACCGCGCCGCTCAAGGCGCTCGTGACGGAGAAATTCTTTCAGCTCGTCGGCGATTTCGGAGCGAAAAACGTCGGGCTCCTCACGGGCGACGCGTCCGTGAACCCGACCGCACCCATCATCTGCTGCACCGCGGAGGTGCTCGCGAACGCGGCGCTGCGGCGCGGGCGCGAGCTCGACTGCGGGCTGATCGTCGCCGACGAGTTTCATTACTACGGCGACAGAGACCGCGGGTGGGCGTGGCAGGTGCCGATGGTGGAGCTGCCGGACGCGCAGGCGCGTTCTGCGTCCTCGCACTGGTCCCCATACGACCGCGTCGGCGCGGTGCACGCCGATCCTTAAGGACTTTCTCTCCCGGCGGTCGTTTCTCTCCGCCCACGCCGCGGTTTCTTCAATCCCGACGCGCCTCGACGCCTTTCGACTTCAACTGACGCCTCGCGACTCCGCCCCGACGTCGCTTCGCGCGGAACGAACGGGCCTCGTCGATCAGTTCCTGCTCATGTCCGCGACGTTCGGCGACGCGTCCAAGTTTCAGGCGTTACTCGCGAAGAACGCCGCGGGGAGGGAGTGCGCGATCGTGGGGTCGGACGCGGAGCGGCCGGTCCCGCTCGCGTTCGAATACCGCGAGACGCCGCTGTTGGAGAGCATCCAGGAGATCGTGGAGCGAAAAAAAGCACCCGTGTACGTCGTCAACTTCACGCAGGTGCGTTCATATATTGCAAACGTGTTTCACCCATCGCTCAGTTTCAACATTTGATCGCGTCCCTTTTCAACTGACCGACCGGTGAACATTTTTTGTGTGGAATGGTCCTCAGCGCTCCGCCAACGAGCGCGCGCAGGATCTGTGCTCGTCGATCACGCTCACCGGGGACGAGAAAGCCGCGATCGCGGAGGAGATGCGCGGGTTTAAGTTCGACACCCCGGTCGGGAACGAGTTGCGACGGTTCATATCCCACGGCGTCGGCGTGCATCACGCCGGGCTACTTCCGAAGTACAGGCTCCTCGTGGAGAAGCTCGCGGGGAAGGGCTTGCTGAAGTGCGTGTGCGGGACGGACACATTGGGCGTCGGCGTGAACGTTCCGATCCGGACCGTCTTATTCACGCAGCTGTGCAAGTTCGACGGCAATAAGGTGCGGCTGCTGAGCACGCGCGAGTTTCAGCAGATCGCCGGGCGCGCGGGGCGAAGAGGGTTCGACGACGAGGGACACGTGTGGTGCCAAGCCCCGGCGCACGTCGTGGAGAATAAACGCGCCGAGGCGAAAGCCGCGGCGGCGGCGGAGAAATCGGGAAAGAAAGCGAAGAAGATTAAGAAATCGCAACCTCCGGAGAAGGGGTTCGTGCAGTGGAACGCGGACACGTTTAAGAGGATGGAAACGTCCTCCCCGGAGACGTTAGACTCCTCGTTCGAAGTCACGCACGGGATGCTCCTCGCGGTGCTGTCGCGGTACGGCGACGGAAAAAAGTCGCTGTATGACCTCTTAGTCAGGAACCACGAGCCGCTGATACGTCGCAGGAGGCATCAAAAGCGCGCGATCACGATGTACCGATCGCTGCGAGACGCGGGGATCATTCAAGAGGCCGGGACGATGGACGTCGGCGGGCGGTCCGTGACGTTGGGGTTCGACCTTCAAGACCAATTTTCGCTGACGCAGCCGCTGTCGCTGTTCGCCGTGCAGTTTCTCCCGACGCTTCTGCGGAAGTACGGCGAAAGCCGCAGCCGCCTCCGCGACGAAGCGTACGCGCTCGACGTTCTCTCCGTCTTAGAGGCGGTCCTGGACACGCCTCAGGCGGTGACGTACGCGCAGGTGAACCGAATGAAACGCCGCGCCATCGCGTCGATGAAAAACGACGGCGTGGAGTACGACGACCGAATGAAGACGATAGAGACGATGGACTACCCGCGTCCGCTCGAGGACGAGCTCGAGGCGGCGTACGAGCCGTTCCAAAAGAATCACCCGTACGTCGGGAACGAGTCGCTGAAGTGCAAGTCGATCGCGCGGGAGATGTACGACCTCGGGCTCAGCTTCAACGAGTACGTCGTGCATCACGGGCTGAACCGAAGCGAAGGCGCGGTGTTGCGATACCTCACGGACGCGTACAAATCTCTGGTGCAGAACGTCCCGGAGAACTTGAAGTCTCAGGGCGTGAACGACCTCGAGGAGTGGCTCGGGGAGAGCATCCGGCAGGTGGACAGCTCGCTCATCGACGAGTGGGAGGCGTTGAAGGATCCGGCGGCGGCGGCGGCGGCGGCGGCGGACCCGGAGGGCGCCGCCGCCGCCGCCGCGAAGGCGAAGGCGCTCGCGGAACCCCCCGGGCGGTTCATACAGTCGCGCGCGTTCCGCGTCATGGTGCGGAACGGCGCGTTCCGATGGGCGCAGCTCGTGTCCGACAGCGAGGAGGAAGACATCGCGGAGCTCGCGAAGTATCTCCCTCCGACGGGCCGAGACAAGCCGTGGGCCGCGGAGGAGCTTTGGGGTCAGATCGAGCCGTACTGGAGATCGCACGCGTCTCTCGACGTCTCGCACGACGCGCGCGCGCCGGAGTACTTCGACCTTCGCGACGAGGACGACGACGGAAACGCGCTCGAGGACGGCATCTGGCGCGTGACGCAGCGACTCGTGGACCCCGCGGGGGATCTGGACTGGGTCGTCGACGGCGAGGTGGACTTGAAAGCGTCCGAGGAAGAGGGACGCGCGGTGCTCAGGCTGGGGGGGATCCGGCGCGAGGGCGGCATCGCGGTGGAGGACGACGCGGAGGAGGAAGAGGGGACGACGTCGAGGGCGGCGGCGGTGGCGATTCCGGACGAGGACGACCTGTGGGCGGCGTACGAGGAAGAGGAGGAGGAGGAGTGAGCGCGCGAGAAATGTTTGCGCGCGATTCATTTCGTATCATTTCGTTTGCCCTCGCGCTGTTCCCGTCGCCGTCTCCGCGTGTTCTCGAATTCTTCCGCGTTCGTCTGCCCGTATGTCCATTCGCGCAATTGTTCGTCGTCGTCGTTATCTCTCACTCTTCGTCTCCCGCCCTCGACATCTTCACGCCACTGGGTTGACAAAAATCGTCGTCCAAGTTTAGCATATGGTACATTCAGAATACTGTAGTAGAACTGAACCATCGGGCATCCTCGTGGTCACGGCAGTGCTCCCTACTCCACCGAGCGCTCTCTCTGCGATTTCGAGACCGTGCAGCGCTACGGAGTCGTCCGGGTCGCCGTCGAGCGCTATCTGGAAGTACCGTCTCACCTTCTCGTAATCACGCGGGATACCCTCCGACACCAAGTGCATCCTACCCGCGTTCGTCGCCGCCGCCACTTTCAACTCGTGATCTTCGGCGTAATCCGCGCTCTTCTCGTACCACTGAAGCGACTTCTCGTTGCTCTGTGGCGCCCCGCGGCCGCGCCCGTACGCGAGACCGAGTCGGTACATCGCCCCAGGGTGCCCCGCTTCCGCGGCGAGTTCGTAGAGCTCGCGAGCGTAAGCTAGTTGTTCGGTCGTCAGCGACTCGTACTCGTCGCTTCCCTCACGGTGCTCGCCAAACTGGTTCGCCGCCTGGAACTGCGCTTCCACGTGCCCGAGCTCCGCCGCGAGTCTTTCGAAGTGCACGTGCATCGCGGACGGGTTCGTGTCAGGGCCGGGAGAGGGAGGCATGGCGGAGTCCAACCACAACTTTGACGCGTTCTGGTCTGCGTAGTCCTTGCGGAGTTTCTCTAAAATTTCCGCCGGTACCTCTTTCCGTCCCGTCCCGAAGTAGTGACACGCGAGCGTCCAGGACGCGTTCGCGTCGTTGTTCTTCAAGGCGGCATCGCGAAGGGCGCGAACGCGCTCGGGGTCGGTGATGACGAGATTCGAGGGGTGGTACGGGTGGTCTGAAGGGAGAAACAACTCCTCGCGTCGCGACGCGAGGAGGTCTATCGTCGACGCGTCCCCGAGCTTCGCTGGAGGCGCGGAGACGCGCGCGCCTTGCAGCGTGCCGTGAAATGGTCGCTCGTGTGTCACTACTTCGTACTTATTCTGGCTCTTCTTCGGGATCGTCTTCCGGTTCTTCTTCGACATCGCGTCGTGTCGCGCGTGCGGGCGAGGAGCGGTCGCGCGGTTCAAACTGCGACGCCCCTTTTTCAGATCTCTGAAAGGAACCCTAATATTATCAAAGCTACCGCGCTCACTTCGTCTTCCGCGGCTTCGCGCGGTTCGTCGCCTCCGCGGTCGTCGGATCCTCCGGCCAGTAGTGCTTCGGATACCGCCCTCGCATCTCCTTCGCGACGTCGTGGTACGCGTTCGCCCAGAACGACTTCAGATCCGTCGTCACCTGCACCGGTCGACCCGCCGGCGACAACAGGTGCACCTCCATCGCGACCGTCTTATTCGCGCCCGCCCTCGGCGTCTCCGTCATCCCGAACAGCTCCTGCAACCGCGCCCGCAGCACCGGCGTCCCGCCGGGCGCGCCGTAATCCACCGGAAGCTTGCTCCCGCTCGGGACCACGACGTGCGTCGGGCACGACGCTTCGACTCTCCGCGACGATTCGTAATCCACCATGCACCGAAGCAACCCGTCGCCGTCGAGCTTTCGAAGCGCGGAGACGGACGTCACCCCAGGAAGCATCGGCGCGAGCCACTCCTCTAAGCTCGCCTCCAACGCGGCGTCGCTCAAGTCCGGCAGCGCGTCGTCGCCGCTGTCCCGAGACCACATCACGCGCCGTCGCCACTGCTCCGTCTTCTCCGACCAACCCAGCGCGTTCTTCACGCCAATCGCGCGCACGCCTTGGAGCATCGCGTCGACGACAGCCTCGGGCGCGGGCGCGAACGCCGTCTCTCGAATTACCGCCTCGCCGACGCGCAGCTGTCTCCGCGCGACGATCGCCTTCGACGCGGCCGCCCACGCGACGACGTCGCGCGTCTCGCACAGCGCGTCGTGGAGGCACCCGGCGGGCGCGTCGCCGGACGCGGGAAGCAACGCGGCAAGCGGCACCGGCGCCGCGAGGCGCGCGCGGTCGTTCCGCGCGGCGGCGTCGCCGCCGCCGCCGCCGCCGAGCTCCGCGATAGCGATGACGTCCTCCCTGGACATGACGTCCGAGCTCGGGACGCTCGCGGCGCCTTTGCCGCTCGACAGCGCGAACGCGCCGCCTTTCGATCGTCGCACGCCGACGCGGTCGGGGTACGCGAGCGCGAGGAGCACGCCGGCTTCGTCGTCGCGTTCGCCGAGGAGGAAGGAAAACACCGGGCCGACCGGGTCGCCGTCGCCGACCCCCGGGGCGCACCACGGCTCAGCGTCGTCGCGACCGTCGCGCGCGATGCGTTTTAAAGTGTCGAGGAGCTGGGTCGCGACTTTACCAGCCTCCGTCGCGGCGGCGCGGTCGATCTCGTGGCCGACGTGGCCGTGAAACGCGTCGCCCGAACCCGACGCGCCGCCGCCGCCGCCGCCGGCCGTTCCACCGGCGGCCTTCGCAGCGCGCGCAGCCTTCGCGGCGGCTTGAACGCCGCCGCCCGCGGGTTTCCTCCCCTTCGGCGCGCCCTTCAGACCTTTCTTCCGACCGCTCGGGAGCTTCGTCCCGATCGGCACCCTCACCGGCCCCGCCGCCGGTTCAATCCCCGCCGCCGTCGGCGGCGTCCCCCCCCCTCTCCCCGTCGGCGTCGCCTCGCCCGCGCCCGCGGGCGACGCCCACCCCCCGCCGCCGTTCGCGCTCCACAGCGCCCCCACGCGCGATCGCACGTCCACGGGAACGTCGCGCCCCCTCAGCACGTCCCGATCCCCCAACGTCGCCGCGAGCTGACACGCGAGCCGCGCGCTCTCCGGCCCTCTCCGCGCGGCGAACAGCGCCATCCGCGCGTGCCGCGGGTGCAGCGGCAGCCGCGCCATCCGCGCGCCCTCCCTCGTGACGCGTCCGCTCGCGGCGTCGATCGCGCCGAGGCGCGTCAGGAGCGTCCTCGCGGCGGCCATCTGCCCCGCGGGCGGCGGGTCCAGCCACGGCAACGACGCGGGGTCGTCCACGCCCCACGCCGCGAGGTCCAACGCGAGCGGCGCCAAGTCCGCGCTCGTGATCTCCGGCGGCGTGTCCGGCGCGAGCGACGCGTGCGAGAGCTCGCTCCAGAGGCGGTAGCACGTCCCGGGGGCGACGCGGCCGGCGCGGCCGCGGCGTTGGTCCGCGCTGGCGAGAGAAATTTTGACGACGTCGAGACGCGTCGTCCCCTTGTTGGCGTCGAATCTCGGCGCTCGGCGCAGACCGCTGTCGATCACGATTCGCACGCCCGGGATCGTCAGAGAGCTCTCCGCGATCGGCGTCGCGACGACGACGCGGCGGACGCCGGGCGGCGCGGGCGCGAGCGCGTCGGACTGCTCGGATTGCGACAGGCCGCCGTAGAGCGGCATCACGCTGAGCTTTTCGCCGCCGCCGCCGTCGCGCAAGTCGCGAACGACGCGGTTGATCTCTCCCGCGCCGGGGAGAAAACACAGGATGTCGCCGCCGTCGGGTCCGGGGTTCTCCGTTAACGCCTTTCGAACGGCGGTTATCATCGCGTTCTCGAGGTCCATGAAGTTCTTCCCGGGCGGACCCAAATACTTCGTCTCCACCGGAAACGATTTCCCCTCGCTCGTGATCACCGGACACCCGCCGCTCGATTTCGACTCTTCGTCCTCCTCTCCCGCCCCTAACAACCGCGCGACGCGCTCGCCGACGTCCCCCAACGTCGCGGACATCACGATCAGCCTCAAGTCCGGCCGAAGCGCGCTCTTCGCGTCCTTCGCGAGCGCGAGAGACGCGTCCGCGTCGAGCGACCGCTCGTGGAACTCGTCGAAGATCACCGCTGAGGGCCGTTCCATACAAAGCGATGTCGGGGTGGAGTTCATAGGCGTCAGTTGGAGTTGAAATGCGCCGAGGTCGGGTGTTGAAAGCGAGGGGTGGGCGGAGAGAAACGCCGGGAAAAGTCCTTAAGGATCGGCGTTCACCACGCCGACGGGGTCGTATGGGAACCAGTGTGAATCAGAACGCGCCTGAGACGCCCGGGAGACTCGGGTCGTCCTGCAGCCGCCGCGTGAACACGCCCTCGGTGACCACCTCCACGCGCGTTCTCGAGGACGTCTTCGAGTCGAACCGGACGCGGTAGCCCACGGTCTCGCCGACGCGCTCGTTGAGGATGGACGCCATGCGATGCGCCGCCGCGCGCGCGGCGAGGCGGCGCGGTTCCAAGAGGATGATCGAGCCGCCGATCGAGCCGCCGCCTTCGCCGCGCATCCACGCCGGGTCGCTGAGGAGGAGCGCGAGCGGGAGCGTCGTCGTCTTGCCCGCCCCGGGCGGGGCCTGGAGCACGAGCGAGGTGCTCGTCTGATGAGCGACGAAGAGAGAAAGGAGGAGGAGGAGGAGGAGGAGGAGGAGGAGTCAGACGACGTGACGACGCGCGAGGTTAGGGCATCGGTGGCGCGAGAAGGACGACGACGCCGCGTCGCGAGGAGATCGACGGACGCGCCTCGAGCGCGTCGAGGCAGTCGTACAGACACTCGCGGATGGGCAGCGACGCGATCGCGGCGTCGAGCCGCGGGTCTATCGGCCGCGGCGACGCCGCGCACGAGACGCGGCGTCGCGGTCGCGGGAGCTGGCGTTGATGACGACGCTGTCGCTGTCGTCGCGCGGGACCGCTCCCGCGCGCGGACGGCACCGCGCCTCTCGCGCGCGCGCGCCACGACAGCGCCGCCGCGCCCGCGGGCGCGCTCGCGGCGGACGTCGACGCCATGTCTCCGCCCGCGACGCGACGCCGCGCGAGGAGTCGACGGCGCGGCGCGAAGTGCCGACGAGACGACGACGCGTTCGCGTTCGCCATCTCGGACGTCGCGACAAACGTTTTTCACCCATCGCCCGGTTTCAACATTTGATCGCGTCCCCTGTCAACTACTGTACACGTACTGTACACGTACTGACCGGTGAACTTTTTTTGTATGGAATGGCCCTGAGCTCCCAGGTTGGATTCGCGACTCGCGACGACCTCACCGCTCATATCTTAATATCACGTAATATCACATCATCACCATCACCCCCCCCCTCTCACCGACGCGCGACTCACGCCTTCGCGGCGGCCGCGGCCTCCAAGTCCCTGACGAAGTCTTCCAACCCCCAGACCGTGATGCGCGGGTTCGCCTCGGCGCGCGCGCGCTCCTCCGGCGTGTTGTATCCCCAGTCGACTAAAAACAACTCCCAGTCTTCCAACCCCTCCGTCGCGCACACCTTCTCGAGCGTGCTCATCTTATCCTCCACGAACACCTTCCTCGCGCCCTCCGCGGCGGCGTCCCCGAGCTCGCGCAGCACCGCGGTCTTCGGGATCCCGCTGACGCACTGCGAGAAGAGTCGCGTCTCCGGGACGACGAGATTCGCCTTGGGGTCGTTCCATACGAAGCGACGTCGGGGTGGAGTTCATAGGCGTCAGCTGGAGTTGAAAGGCTTCGAGGGCGGGGATTGAACGCGAGGGATGGGCGGAGAGAAACGACGGGAAAAGTCCTTAAGGAACGGCGTTCACCACGCCAACGCGGTCGTATGGGAACCAGTGTACAGAACGCGCCTTCTCCTCCATGATGGCCGCGGCGAACCGCGCCTGCTTCGTCGTGACGATGAACACGTCGCACGCGCTCGACGCCTCCGCGACGTTACACGCCTCGCCGATCCCGGGGTAGATCAAGTTCGGCGCGAGCCATCCGGCGAGGTCCGCTTCCATCCAGTCGTCGCGAATCGCTCCGTACCCGGAGACCATGGACGCGCGGTCTGATATTTTCGTTCCATACAAAAAATGTTCATCGGTCAGTTGAAAGGGGACGCGGTCAAATGTTGAAACCGGGCGATGGGTGAAATACAGGTAAATACGTTTGTATAGAACGCACCTAGGTTCCACCGTTCCATGAGCGGCGGCATCAGCGCGCCCCACGACGCGAGGATCTCGTCCACGGAGTACCCCGGAATTTCCTCGTAGACGCACCGCGCGAGGAGGGTGTTCTCGAACCCCGTCTCCACGACCGGGCGCGTGCGCTTCAGACCGTCCAGCACGCGTCGCGTCGTCGCCTCCGAGTCGTCGACGAAAATCTCGGGCCAGAGCGCGCGCGCGTGCGTCCATCCGCTGATGCTGCTCTCCGGCTCGGAGTCGCACACGACGCCGTCGAAGTCGAGGGCGTACACCGTCGGCGCGCCCGTGGACGCGGACGCGGTCGCCATCGACGGCTGGTCGCCCTTGGCGACGGCCGCGCGGGCGACGACGCGCGAGACGCCGCGATCGCGGCGAGCGACCGAGGAGGAGGAGGAGGAGGAGGAGGAGGAGGAGGACGCGCGCGGTCGCGTCGCCGCGATGGGAGCGCGCGCGGAGGAGGACGCGGCGAGCGCGGCGGCGGACATCGGCGCGACGAGAGAACGCGGGCGCGTCGTCGACGACGCCGCGCGATCGATGAAGTCGCCCCGCGACCCGCGATTCCGCGCGTGAACGAATAGTGTAGTTTTTCGCGTAGTACGCGAAACCGGTTCGCGCCCGTATGAGCAAACGCACTGGGGATCATTTTCCACCTCCCGAGGCAGCCGTTTCTGAGTTGACGCGTCTCGAATTTTGACGAGCGCTCGAAATATCGCGCCGTCGCCGCCACTCGCCGATCACTCTGAGAGCACACGCGCTAACCCCGCACGCTACCCTCTCTGCCTCCGACCGTCGCGTTCGCTCGAACCGACGCTCACAAGCACTCACTCGCTTCCCACACGCGTTCGCTTCACACCGAACGTCGCGTCGCCGCTCGCGACCGCTGATCCGTCGGTGAAAACAAAAACACCGCTTCGACGTCTTTTTGACGCGTCGACGTTCGGCCGCATCTCCCGCCGACGACCCCGCTTGCACTTGCTCTTCGAGCCCCGCTGAGTACAGCCCGTTCAACGAAGTATCATGGATATCATCCCTGGCGACAGTAGTACCCCTAGCGACAATATATACACGCGCGTCTACGAACCCGCGCTCGAGGACATCGAAGCCGACCTCCGTCCGTGGGGCCGAGAAGAAGTAAAGTACATCGCCGGCATCGAAGACGTGCGCGACGCGCCCGGGCGCTCTCCTCGACGATTTTTTTCCCCCGGGTTTCCTCGATTCGACGTCTACGCGACTTCACGGCACTGACGAACGCCTCTCCTCCCCCGCGACGATCTCGCAGCGCCTTCGAAAGCCTTCCTGACAACCGCCAAGGCGCATCTGGAAAAAGACACTTTAGATAAAAACGCGTGAAATCCGCGTGGCGCGTCGGAACGCGATGACCGTCTCCGACGCGAACGACGCCGTCGCACCCGGCGTCGCCGCCGCCGACGCGATTCTCCCGTGCCCCCACTTCGAGGGCGTCGAGAAGAGAATCGAAATCGACTTTCACGAGGGTTCGTCGCAGCGCGGTACGTCATCGCCCGCGTTTCCGACCGCAGCGCGTCGCCGGAGACGTCGAAAAAAGCCCTAAACGCGTCGTCGCTTTTCTCGCTTCGTTCGTCAACCTCCGCGGCGGCCCGCTCACCTCCCCCGCTCTCTCCCCCCCCATCATCCCCCCACCCACCAACCCCACCACAGATTTGCGCTCCCTTCCCCGCGAAGTCCTCGACGACGCGATGACCGCGTCCGAGTGCCTCATCGTGTCGCACGAGCGCGCGGAGGCGTTCGACGCCTACGTGTTAAGGTGCGTTCTATACACTGGTCCCCATACGACCCCGTCCGCGTGGTGAACGCCGATCCTTAAGGACTTTTGCCGTCGTCTCTCTCCGCCCACCCCTCGCTTTCAATCCCCGTCCTCGACGCCTTTCAACGCCAACTGACGCCTTTCAACTCCACCCCGCCATCGCTTTGTATGGAACGGCCCTAAGCGAGTCGTCCCTCTTCGTCTTTCCCACGAAGTTCGTCCTCAAGACGTGCGGCACCACCAAGCTCCTCAACGCGATCCCGCTCGTGCTCGAACACGCGGCGGCGATCGGGATGAAGCCCAGACGGTGCAAATACACTCGATCGACGTTTCTGTTCCCGGACGAGCAGCCCATGGGGGGAAACTTCGACGAGGAGACCAAGGTGCTGGAGAGCTACTTCGGCGGACTCGGGCCGGACGGAGGGAACAGTTTCGTCCTCGGCAGCAAGCTGCGCGGCGTGCAGTGGCACGTGTACCTCGCGGACGACAACGGCGCGGGAAACGCCGCGAAGAAGCCGCGGCAGCAGCCGAGATCTCATCGGTCTCTGTCCCTGTCCCGCGGGGAGGGACGCCGCGTCTCGGACGACGACGACGTCTCGGAGGATTCCAACGACTCGGCGGCGACGGGCGACGACGCGGCGGACGCGCTCTCCCTCGAAGGTTCGACCGACCGTCGTCTCTTCGAGCCGACCGTCTCGCTCGAGGTGTGCATGACGCACCTCGACGTCACGCACGCGAAGCACTTCTTCCGCACGGAGTCGTTCGTGTCGTCGCGCGCGACGACGGAGGAGAGCGGCATCGCGGCGTTGTTTCCGGACATGACGATCGACGACTACGTCTTCGAGCCGTGCGGGTACAGCATGAACGGCGTCGACCGCGCGATCAACGGGAAGGAGTTCTCCACGATCCACATCACCCCGGAGGATGGGTTCTCGTACTGCTCGGTGGAACACTCGAATTTATCGCTGTCGAGGGCGGACCCCGAGGCGTACGTCCGAGGCATCGCCGCGCGTTTCAAGCCCGGGAAGTTTTCCCTCGCCGTCTCCACCGACGCGCCGCCGGCGACGGCGGCGGAGATGCGTCGCGTGCCGACGCTGCCGGGGTACCGAAGAGTCCAGGCGTCGCATCAGGAGATCGACGCCAGCGGCGGCGCGGTGTCGTTCTACACGTTCGTCCGCCTCCCCGAGGAGAATTTCACGATGGCGATCGACGACGTCGTCGCGACGGCGAAGGCTGCCGTCGCCGCCGCGCAGATCGCGACGCTCGAAGAAAACTTTGAGCTCTCCCCCGCGGCGTCGGACGACGACGAGAAGCCGTCGTCGTACGACACGGACGAGGACGCGCCGGACCGCAAGAAGCTCAGGTTGGACGCGCGATGCGACTCGCCGCACGCGGGCTGCGTCTCCGCGCTCAGCGCCGGCACGGTGGCCGGCTTGGAGATGAACCTCTCTCTGCCGAGCGTTAACGACCTCGGCGCGATGGCGACGGCGACGGCGACGACCGCGCACGCGCACCACTCCGTGATGAAGGCATCTCCTGGCGACGCGAAAGGGATCGCGACGCTGCGCGCGTCGCTTCCCACGCCGCGCCCCCTCGCGTGCGCGCAAAAGCACGAAGACGCGCTCGTCGTCAAGGCGCTCGTCGAGTCGCACGCCAAGTCCCTCCCCGGCGGCGGCGCGCGATCCATCGACAACTGCGTCCTCGACGTCATCGAGTCCGGCCTCGCGCAGCGCGCGCAGGAGCGCCTCGAGCGATTCCTCGTCGTCGACCTGGGCGTCGTGACGCGCCGGTGGCACTACTGGCGCGCGACGCTCCCGCGCGTCCAGCCGCACTACGCGGTGAAGTGTAACATGGACACGCGCGTGCTCGCGACGCTCGCCGCGCTCGGGTCGTCGTTCGACTGCGCGAGCCCGACGGAGGTGGACGCGGTGATCTCCCTCGGCGTGTCCCCCGACCGGATCATATACGCGAACCCGTGCAAGCTGCCGCGGCACCTCGCCGCGGTGGCGGGCAGCGGCGTGTCGCTGACGACGTTTGACTCGGTGGGCGAGCTGGAGAAAATTTCCGCGCTCGCGCCGGAGATGAAGGTTCTCCTGCGTCTCCGCGCCGACGACCCGGACGCGCGGTGCGTGCTCGGGAACAAGTACGGCGCGGAGCCCGCGGAGGTTAAGGTGCTTCTCGAGGCGGCGAAGAGGCTCGGCGTCAACGTGAACGGCGTGTCGTTCCACGTCGGCTCGGGCGCGACGAACCCGCTGGCGTTTCGCGAGGCGCTCGAGTTCGCGCGCGTCGCGTTCGACGCCGCGAAGGAGCTCGGGTTGCCTCCGATGGAGGTGCTCGACATCGGCGGCGGGTTCAGCGGCAGCATCAAGGCGGACGACGCGTCGAACGACGACGACGTCACGCTCGCGGCCGTCGCCGGCGAGGTGAACAAATCCCTCGAGCGCCTCTTCCCGGAGGCTGAGGGCGTCCGCGTCATCTCCGAGCCCGGGCGGTACTTCGCCGAGGCGTGCGTCACGCTCGCGTGCATGATCTTCTCGCGGAGGATCCGAAGCACCGAGGACGGGTCGCTCGCGCCCGGCGAGGACTCGCACCAGTACTTCGTGTCGGACGGGCTGTACGGCATGATGAACTCGATCATGTACGACCACGCGACGGTGAACTCGCGCCTCCTTCCGGTGGCGACGAACGCCGCCGCGCTCGCCGCGGGGAACGTCGACGCCGTCATCCCCGCCAACGTCTACGCCGGCGACGACGCCGTCGTCGGGAACTCGCGAGCGAAGACGTACCCGTCCACGGTGTTTGGACCGACGTGCGACGGCCTGGACAAGATTCACGAGCAGACGGCGATGCCGGAGCTCACCGTCGGGGATTGGCTGGTGTTTCCGCACATGGGCGCGTACACGGTGAGCGCGGGGAGCAACTTCAACGGGTTTTCGTGCGCGGACGTGAAGAAGTTTTACGTGTGCTCGCCTTCGGACGCGGACCCGGAGCCCGTCGTCAGGTGAGGAAGAAATTAAGAAGAATGAAGAAAAAGAAGGATATGAAGAAGAAGAAGAAGAGACGACCGACGTCTCTGTGCCGCGGCGCGTCTGCCCGTTCTCCGAACGACGAAGAACGACGCGTCGCCTTGTCTGTTGAGATGTAGAAGAGTCGGGCCGGGCGCGACTCCGCCGATTCCGTTCCGTCGCGTAGCACACGCGAGCGCTGCCGCTGCTTTAGTTAGAAGAAGATAGCCGCGCGGCTCAGCGAGCGTGACGACGCGAACGGTGGACGGAGGGCCCCTCCCGCTTTGTTATGTTGAGAGAAGATGTATGAGTGCGAAACGACTACGCGCCGCGGCGCCGCGCCCGTCTCTTATTTCGTCGTGAAAAGAATCCTTCTTCTTCGCGATCTCCACGCGCCGCACACACCACGCACACGCCGCCGCAGAGTCACCGACGCGCGCCGATCCGCGCCGCGCGCACGTCATCATGAGGGACGTCAGGATCCCCCGCGCTCGCGGCGGCGCGTCGAACGACGTCGCGTTCGACCTCGGCGACAGCCTCAAGGAGGGCCTCGGCGGGCTCAAGGACGCGGTGCGGGATCTGGGGGAGGGACTCAAGGAAGCGATCGAGGAAGCCGCGCGCGAGCAGCGGCGAAAGATCGACGCCGAGGGCGAGATGACGCCGTACGCCAAGGTCGGGTGGACGATCGTCCTTGCCGCGTTGGCGTGGTACTGGTTGTCGTCGTGGTTCGGCGGCGGCGGCGGCGCGCGGAGCCGCGACGGCGAGCGCGGCGCGAGGAGCGCGGTGGACGATTCCGCGCGCGAGCGGCAGCTCGAGGAGATGCGGCGACGGCAGGCGGAGAGAGCCGCGGCGGCGGCGGTGGAGGCGCGCGAGCGCGCGGCCGACGCGGCCGACGCGGCCGCCGCGGCCCCGGCCGCCGCGACCGCGTCGCGGAGCGCGTCCACGGCGGCGATTTCGCGCGAGCGCGAGGTCGCGGCGTCGCGGGCGGCGGCGGATGCGAAGACGGCGGCGGAGGAGGAGGAGAAGCGCGCGCGGGCGAGCGCGGAGGAGGACGCGGTGGGCGCGGCGAGGGAGCGCGCGCGGAGAGCGTTCTTGGAACGTCAGCAGGCGCTGCTCAGCGCGGCGAGCAGGAGGGCGCGGGACGAGACGCGCGATGCGACGGCGGCGGACTGACGTCGAGTTCGAGTTTCGGATCGTCGTCGTCGGACGCGTCGCCTCGGAGCGTGCCGTGCCGTTCGTCTACTGTACGCAGTCTGCGACGCGTCGCTCAGCGACCTACTAGGGCCTAATACACGTACCCCCCCAGCTCGGCGTCGAACGCCATCGGGTTCCTGATGAGCAGCGACGCGACCACCTCCGGCTTCTTCCTCTCCGGGAACTTAGGGTCGTTCCATACGAGCGAATGTCGGGGTGCGGTTGAAAGGCGTCAGTTGGAGTTGAAAGGCGTCGATGGGGGGGATTGAAAGCTAGGGGTGGGCGGAGAGAGACGACGGCAAAAGTCCTTAAGGATCGGCGTCCACCTCGCGAACGGGGTCGTATGGGGACTAGTGTATAGAACGCACCTTAGCCGTCAAGAGCAGACAACATCGATCGATCGGCCGCAGAGTGACGGGCAACACGCACGGCCCCGTCCCGCACCCGAAGACGTCGTCCGTCGCGTCGTCGTCGTCGTCGTCGTCGCCCGGCGCCGCGAATCGCTCCATGACGCGCATCGCCGCGATCGTCCCGAGCGTCGCCTCCTCCGTCTCCGTCGCGTTCAGAAACCGGCCGCGGATCCCGCGCGCCGCGCGCGTCGCCTTCTTACGCTCCGCTCTCGAGACGCCGTCGTCGTTGGCCGTCGCGAGGACGTCCGCGTCCGCGCCGCCGCCGCCGTGGTTCCTCTCGTCGAACGCGATCGTGACGGACAGCGGCGCGGCGTCGCCGCCGTCGCCGTCGTCTTCCTGCGTCACCCGCAGCCGCCTCAACCCCTCCAATCGAACCCTCACCTCCATGCCGTACGTCGGCACGTACGCTAGGAGGTACTTCTTCCCGACCGCGCGCACGATGCCGCTCACCACCTTCGGCGTCGTCCTCAAAAACGCGCACAGATACGCGTGAATGGACCCCTCTTGCGCCGCCTTGGCGGCGAGCTTCCGCTCGTTGCATCGCTCGGCGACGACGTGCAGCACGTTCGCGTTGGGCACGCCCCGCGCGACCGCGGCGGCTTCCGCGTCGACGACCGGACCGGCCGACGACCGGACGCCGTCGCCGTCATCAGAGCGATTCGCTCTTCTGCCCTTGAACCCCGCGTCTAACGCCGCGGCGACGATCCTGTGCACGACGACGTCCGGGTACCGCCGAATCGGCGACGTGAAGTGCGTGTACCGCTCGAACGCCAACGCGTAATGCCCCCAGGTCTCCTCGTCTTGCTTCCCGGTGCAGAAATACCGCGCGAGCTGCATCGGAAGCGTCGCGAGGAGCTTCGCGACCTCGTACCCGTCCGGGTTGGACGCCCGCAGCGCGGTCAGCGATCGGTGCAGCGCGCCGCTGCTGGACGCGTCGACGCGCAGCCCGCGCTCGGCGGCGAACGTCTCGAGCTGCTTCACCTTTCGCTCGTCCGGCTCCGGGTGGCATCGAAGCAACGCGCGGTCCGGATACGCGGACGCGATGAACGTCGCGACCGTCGTGTTCGCGAGGAGCATGAACTCCTCCACGAGCTGGTTCGCCTCGCGGGTGACGTACGCCGCCGCGGAGGACGGCTGCCCGGCGGCGTCCAGCTCGAAGCTGAGTTTCGATTGGTCGAGCCGCAGCGCGCCGTTTTGGAATCGCCGCGCGCGCATCCCTCGCGCCGCGCGGCTCAGGAGACCGATCGTCTCCGCGACCGCGCGCGGGTCCCACGCCCCCGGGTCGTTCGCGTCCGCGGCGGCGACCTCGACGGGGCCGGAGGCGTCCGCGGCGGCGGCGGTCAGGACAGCCGCGGCGGCGGCGGCTTTATCGTCTTCGCCGCCGAGCGTTTCGTCGTCGAGCGTCTCGATGACGCTCTGCGCGGTGCCGTAATCGAGCTTCGCGCACGACCGTATCACCCCGCGACCGAACCACTCGGAGAGCACCACCCCGTCCGGGGTCATCTCCCACTCCACGCTGAACGTGAGCCTCTCGACCCCGGGGTTGAGCGAACACAGATCGTCGCACAGCAGACGCGGCAGCATCGGCATCACCTTTTGAACGAAATACGTCGACGTCGCCCTCCGCCCGGCTTCTTTATCCAGCGCGCTGTTCGGCGTCACGAAGTGCGACACGTCCGCGATGTGCACGCCGACGACGAGGACGCCGTCGTCGCGCATCGTCGCGTGGAGCGCGTCGTCTAAATCGCGCGCGGTCGGCGGGTCGATGGACGCCACGCGGACCTTCGTGAAATCCCTCCGCGTCGCTCGCTCCTCGCTCGGCACCTCCCATCGCTCGCCGCTCGCGCGGTCGGGAACCTCGGGGAGACACGCGATTGCATCCGCGCTGAAGTCATCCGGGCCGAGGATCGCGTGCTCCGCGATCAGCGCGGCCGTCACCGTCTCGAGAGCGTTCGCTTCGCCGAGGATCTCGATGAGCGCCGCGTGCGGGTACACCGCGCCGGCGCTCCATCGCGTGATTTTCGCGCTGACGAGCGCGTTTTTCAACTTCCCCAACCCTCGCTCCCTCGCCTGCGACGCGATCTCGGGGGGAAGCAACTTCGGGGACATCTCCACGGACATGAACGGCAGCCGCGCGTCGACCGGGTGCAGGCGGAGCATGGGCACGTTCCCGGCGAATTTCGGCGAAGTCTTTCCGCCGCCGCCGCCCTCGACGTCCACGACGTCGACGTATCCGATGACGACGTCGCGCTTCGGCGACTTCTCGAGGACGGCGACGACGCGGCCAGTCGGACGCAGTGGCGTACCGCCGGGACCGCCGCGCGCCGCCGCGTCCGCGAGCGTCTCGAGCGACGGGGGTCGTCGAGGAGGAGGCGCGTCCATCGACGCGGCGCGCAGTGCGCGTCGAATCGCGTCCTCCGCCCTCTCGCGTTCGCGCGCCTTCATCGCGAACTTCGACGCCTCCGCGACGTCGTCGTCTTCGTCCTCTGATTGGACCACGTCATCATCCACGCCATCATCCACGCCATCATCCACGTCATCGTCACCCGCGCCGTCGTCTTCGGCGTCGTCCCAGCCGTCCTCGTCCTCGACCGCGGTCGAGGGAGAGTCCAGCGGCGGCGATGCCCCTCCCCCGCCGCCGCCGCCGCCGCCGCCGCCGCTCGCGCCGCCGCGTCTTCGTCTCCTGTTCCTCTCGCCGCTCGCGCCGCCGCCCCGGTCGTCCAGCCCCGGCCACGCGCTCACGTCGTCCAGCCGTATCACCACGACGTCGCCCTCGATGACGCGGTTCTGCGCGCGGAACCCCTCCAGCTTGACGTCCGCGGTGGGAGGAAATCCCTCCACGCTGACGTACGCCTCGTGCCGGCGACGCGGGTTCACGCGGATCTTCCCGGTGAAGAGCTCGCCGTCCATGACGCCGAGCGCGACGTCGCTCGCGGGGAGGAACTCGTCGAAGCGTCGCCTGCCGCCGCCGCCGCCGCCGCCTTTCCCGCGGCCGTCGCGTCTGGACGACGACGACGACGACGTCGGCGTGTTTCCTCGCCCATCGCCTCCCTTCGCCTTCGCCTTCGCCTTCCCCGAGGACCGCCGCGGCCGATGAGGACCGCCGGGCGTCGTCGTCGGCGCGGGCGTGGAAGGCGTCGCGGGCGTCGCGGGCGGCACCTTCGCGCCGCCCTTTAACCGGACTACACCCTTGCGGGGCGTCTTCGCGGATGCGTTCGCGTCGTCAGATCTCGACGACCTCCCTCGCCCTCGTCGTCGTCCGTCGTCTTCGCCCTCCTCGCGCGTCCGCTCGCGCTCGCCTCCTCCTCCGTTCGCGGGCGCGGACGCGCTCGCGGACCTCGTGAGGAGGTCCAGCGACGCCGCGGCGTCCTTCGCCGGCGCCATGCGGTGTGCGTTCCCCGCGTCCGTCGACGAAGCGAAGCGATGCGTTTATTCCGATGGTGTTTTTTCGTCGGATCGATGTTGTTGTTTCCCGCCTCTGCACTGCCGCCGGCGCCAGAGCCGCCTCCAGAGCTCCGGACGCGCGTCCCTCTTCACTGGGCCCGCCGACGCGCGCGCGGAGGATGTCCGCGCGGGAAATCGGCCGCCGCGCCGCCGCGATCGCGGCGTCTTCGGCCGCGGCGGCGAGCGCGTCCACGTCCTCCTCGGCGGCCGCGATCGATGCTGTTTTTTCGTCGACGACGCGTCGCGGGTTCTCCTCCGCGCACCAGCGATGGGCGGTCGCGGCCGAGACGAGCCCTCTGCGTCGACTCCTCGCGCTCGAGTCGAGCGGCGCGTCGCGCGCGGCGTCGCGCGCGCCGTCGCCGTCGCCGTCGGCGTCGGCGTCGAGTCGCCGCCTTCGTCGCGCGTCCTCGAACGCGTCTCCGTCGTCGTTCGACCGCTCGCGTCTCCGACGCCGCCTCCTGTCGTCCTCCTCCGCGGCGAGCGCCGCGAACGACGACGCCGCGAAGACGACGTCGACGACGCCGCCGCCGCCGTCCGCCGCCGCGGTCGCGGGCGCGAGAGCCGCGGTCGCGGAGGCGGAGAAGGACGTCGACTGGAAGATCATCCGATCGGTGCTCCCGTACGTCTGGCCCGAGGGCGAACCCGAGCACCGCGCGCGCGTCGTCGGCGCGGTCTCCCTCCTCGTCCTCTCCAAGTTCCTCAACGTCGGGACGCCGTTCATGTTCAAGTACGCGGTCGACGCGCTCGCGGTCGGCGCGACCGGCGCGGCGACCGGCGCGAGCGCGTTGACGGCGATGGCGGGCCCCGTCGTCTTGGGATGGACCCCGGCGGCGATGCTGGTCGGCTACGGCGCCGCTCGCGCGGGCGCGTCGTTTTGCAACGAGCTGCGAAACGCAACGTTCGCGAAGGTGGCGCAGGGGGCGATACGCGGCGTCGCGCTGCGGGTGTTCGACCACCTCCACGAGCTCGATCTGAGTTTTCATCTCTCGAGGCAGACGGGCGCGGTGACGCGAACGATCGAACGAGGGACGCGCGGGATTCAATTCATCCTGAACAGCATGGTCTTCAACGTCGTCCCGACCGCGTTCGAGATTGGCCTCGTGGCGTACATCCTGGGCACGCGTCTGGGGCCCGAGTTCGCGGTGTTGACCGTGGGGACGATCGGGACGTACGGCGCGTTCACGCTCGCGGTGACGCAGTGGCGGACGCGGTTTCGGAAGGACATGAATCGACTCGAGAATCAAGCCGGGAACCGGTCGCTGGATTCGCTGATCAACTACGAAACCGTGAAGTACTTCAACAACGAAGCGCACGAGTCGAGAAGGTTCGACGAGTGCCTGAGGGGGTACGAGAAAGCGGCGCTGAAGACGCAGAGTTCGCTGAGCGCGTTGAACTTTGGGCAAAACGCCATCTTTTCCGCGTCCATCTCCGCGGCCATGCTACTGTGCGCCGGCGGCGTCGCGCGAGGCGAGCTCACCGTCGGCGACCTCGTCATGGTCAACGGACTTCTGTTCCAGCTGTCCGTGCCGCTGAACTTCTTGGGGACGGTGTACCGAGAGACGCGGCAGAGTTTAGTGGACATGACATCGATGTTCACGCTCTTGGAGACGACGCCAGCCATCGCCGACAAGCCGGACGCGCCTCCGCTGACGATCCCGCCGAACGGGTTAGACGTCGCGTTCGACGACGTCGTCTTCGGGTACGGCGGCGGCAGCGAGAACGGGCGAGGCGACGTCCTGAAGGGCCTGACCTTCGCGGTGCCCGCGGGCGGGAGCCTCGCGCTCGTGGGCGCGTCCGGCAGCGGCAAGTCCACGGTGTTGCGTCTCTTGTACCGGCTCTACGACGCGCAGAGCGGCGCGGTGAGGCTCGGCGGGCAGGACACCCGAGACGTGTCGTCGAAATCGCTGCGACGGAACATCGGCGTCGTCCCGCAAGACTGCGTCTTGTTCAACGACACGATCCGGTATAACATCGCGTACGGACGCGAGAACCACGCCGCGAGCGAGGAGGAAATCGTGACCGCGGCGAAACGCGCGGCGATCCACGACCCGGTGAGCTCGATGACGGACGGGTACGACACCGTCGTCGGCGAGCGCGGGCTGAAGCTCAGCGGCGGGGAGAAGCAGCGGGTCGCGCTCGCGCGCGCGTTTCTGAAGGACGCCGGGGTGGTGCTGTTGGACGAGGCGACGAGCGCGCTCGACACGAAGACGGAGGCGGGGATCATGAGCTCCATCGGGAATCTCATGCGCGGGAGGACGACGATTCTCATCGCGCATCGGCTCTCCACCGCGCGGCACTGCGATCGCATCGCGGTGTTGGAGGACGGCGTGGTGTCCGAGCAAGGGACGCACCGGGAGTTGTTGGAGCGAGGGGGGAGGTACGCGGAGATGTGGGAGGCGCAACAGCACGGGATCGGGCAGGAGGAGAGCGCGGGCGCGACGACGAACGAGCGCGCGGACGCGGCGGGCGTCGGAGACACGCTCGCGGCGTGATTGCATTTCGATCGACAAGTCGTTCAGTCGTCGTTCAACGGCGCTTCGCTCGCTCGTTCGTTCGTTCGTTCGTTCGTTCGTTCGTTCGTTCGTTCGTTCGTTCTCGTTCGTTCTCTCTCTCTCGTCGTCGTCTTCATCGGTCGGTCGTGTCTTCGTCTCATCATGCGATCGGCCTTGCCGCGCGGGGAAATGTCCTCAAGGATCGGCGTTCATCACGCCGACGCGGTCGTATGGGGACCAGTGTATCGAACGCGCCTCACGCGATCGGCTGCCGCGCGCGCGCCGACTCGGACGCGCTCGAGTCCGCGTCGTCGCCGACGTCCTCGCTCGCGCCCTTCCCGCCGCCTCTCATTCCCATCGATATCCCCGCGAACGCGCTCGACAGCGACCCTCGCGGCGCCGGCGGCTTCGACGTCGACCCGACGGGCAAGTCCAACGCCGCGGCGACCTCGCTCGCGTCCTCGGGCTGCGGGCGAAGAGAGAGATTATAAAAATAAAACGCCTTAAGAAACGACGTTCGTTCCTTCGTCGTTGAACACGCAAACGCGCGAGGGATGAGAACCCGTCGTAGTCTACGGAAAACAGCCGCCCGCGCGACGGACGGAACGGACGCGCCTGAAGCAACGTCGTCTCCGCGAGCATCGCGGTGACGACGTACGGGTCCATGTTCGCCGCGGGGCGGCGGTCTTCCATGTACCCGGCGCGCGCGAGGTAACTCTCGTTCCCGATGCGAATGGACGCGCCGCGGTCCGCGACGCCGTAGCTAAACTCGTCCATCGCCGCGGTCTCATGCTTACCCGTGAGCCGTCGCTCGTTCCCGGAACCGTACGCCGCGATGTGCTCCGCGTGACGTTCTCGCAGGCGAGCGATGGCGCGCTCCATCTCTTTGATCCCGCCGAGCGCGGGCGTGCGCATGGACCGCGTGCTGTAGTTTGCGTGCGCGCCCGCGCCGTTCCAGTCCCCGGCGACGGGCTTGGGGTCTAACGTCACGACGACGTCGCCGCGGAGTTCGCAGACGCGTTGGAGGATGTACCGGGCGACCCAGAGCTGGTCGCCGGCGTCGATGCCGACGCACGGGCCGACTTGGAACTCCCACTGCGACGGCATCACCTGCGCGCGGCGAATGCGAAAGCGAAGGGAAGGGAAGAGAAAGAAACGCCTCAACCACCGACGTTACGACGTTCAAAACACCACGAGGAGGAAGGATCACGCGTGGAAAGACGCAGAAACAGTCGTCTACCAACTATCGAGTCTCACCTCCGCGTTTAAGCCGCCGACGTCCAGACCGGCGTAGTGACACGCTCGGAAGTGCGCCTCCGCGATTTCTCGTCCGTACATCTTCCCGACGCCGCAGTAGTACGGACCTTGCGGCGCGGGGAACCCGCCGACGGGCCAACCGATCGGCCACCCCGTCGTGGAGTCCAGCAGCGTGTACTCTTGCTCTATCCCGAACCAAGGCTCCTCGCACGCGACGTCCGGGTGCTCGAAGATCCGCGCCGCTCTCGCGCGCGCGTTGGTCTTAAGAGGCGCTCTCGTCGCCGGCTCGTAGCAATCGCACAACACGAGGAGCTCGCGGCATTCCCCGAACACGGTCTCGCCCTTGACCGTGTGACCGTTCCCGTTCCCGGAAGGGAACGGGAACCGCCCGAGCTCGCCAACGTACTCGTACTCGTCCTCGGAGAACCCGGTGACGCGTCGCGTGGACTCGTCGTCTCTGTCGGTCGCCGACGGCTGAGGGCCGTTCTATACAAGCGAAAGTCGGGGTGGAGTTGAAAGGCGTCAGTTGGCGTTGAAAGGCGTCGAGGGAGGGGATTGAAAGCGGGGGGTGGGCGGAGAGATGCGCCGGGAAAAGTCCTTAAGGATCGGCGTTCACCACGCTGACGCGGTCGTATGGGAACCAGTGTATAGAACGCACCTGAGACGCGGAGGCGACGGAGGCGGCGGCGGCGGGCGTCGGCGGCGCGCTCGGCGACGCGCCGCCCCCCGCGCTTCCCGCGGCGGCGGCGGCGGCGAGCGCGATCTCCGCGGGCCCCCGCGCGCCGGGCGCGCCGGGGCGGATCGCCATCGAGCGCTGCAGGCGCGTGCTGCCGCCGGGGATGGTCGTCGCGGACGGGGAGAACGCGCGGAACGGGTCTCGGTAGACTTTCCTCGGAACGAGCGTGACTTCGCTGTCGATGCCCGGGGCTTGGTTCGTGCTCGAGCCGTCGTAGTTCCACGTCGGGATGTCCGATACCGCGCGTATCGGACCCTCCAGCGTCCGCGTCTTTCCGCGCAGGTCGCCGTCGTTGCCGCCTGCGCGCGAGGACGTTGGCGCGCGTTGCGGGAGAGGGTCTCACGAAGGCGCGGAGGACGCGCGAGCGGCGGACCACCGACGAAGCGAGAGAGCGGCCGAGAGAAAAAGAAGCGCGCCACGCCGCGCCGGGCGACGAGAAAAAACCGCACCGAGCCATATGTATTCCACCGTCCACTTGTCGTCCAGGGACGAGAGGTGCAGCAGGCGGTCGAGCGCTCGCGCGCCGCCGTGGCCGCTGCCTTCTTGGCTGCCCGTCGCGGCGTAGGACATCGTGCTGTGGCGGCGGTGGGCGTCTCTGTGAGTGCGCGCGAGAGGTCGCGGGGACGACGTTGTTCTCGGCGTCGCCGAGAGAAAATAATTTTCTCGGAAGCGCCGCGACGAGATTTATTAAATTATTCGTTATTTTCTCTCGGCACCACGGCACGAGCGCGCCCGCCGCGATGCCGCGCGACGACCGCGGCGGCGACGCGACGTCCACGACCGATGCCCTGCGCGCGAAGCTCGAGGAGTACGAGCGGCTCCTCGCGTCCAAGTCGCGCGAGCTCGCGCGACTCGAGGCGTCGCGGGGCGTTCCGGGGCTCGCGTCGTCGGAATCGGAATCGCCCGTCGCGTCGCCGTCGAATCGCCGACGACGCGTGAGCTGGAACGAAGACGTCGACGCGATGACGAGCGCGACAAACCGCTGCGCGTGCGGGCACGTCGGGACGTCGTGCACCGAACACGCGCTCTCGTCGTTCTGGCGGTCGTTCGTGCTCGCGTACATGGTCCGCGCCGGCGTCGCGGTGTTCTCGCGCGGGGTCGGATTAGCGCGCAGCGGCCGACCGCGAGACGCGCTGAACATCGAGCTCTTATTCGGCGAGAAGCACACGTTCTATCGCGAGGAAGCCGTGCGCCTCGGGATGTTCTTGGGATCGTTCACGGGCGGGTATCACGCGGTGCGATGCCAGCTGTCGCGACGGACCGGGATGAGCCCGAAGCGCTTGGCGCTGCTCGCCGGCGGCGTCGGCGGCTTCGGGTCGATTTTTTTAAAGAAGAACAAACGCCGCGCGTACGGCTTATATCTCATGGCTCGGCTCGCGCAGAGCGGGTACGCGAACCAGAAGAAGAAAGGGCGGTTCCACTTCTGGGGAAGCCACTGGGACCACGGCGACGTGTTGCTCTTCGCGCTGTCGTCCGCGCAGGTGATGTACTCGTACGTGATGCGACCGGAGACGTTGGACCGGGGGTTTTGGAATTTCATCGTGAGAGCGGGGCCGATCGGGAAGGAGACGCTCGCGGCGGTGCGCGATAACTGCAACGGGAAGGCCGTGGACTTGACCGGGCTGCTCATACCCGGCGCGACGTCCGCGGGTCTGGGGACGGGGACGGTCGATTTCGGCGGGAAAGCGCTCGCCGCGGGGACGCTCTCCGGCGGGATGTCGTCGAGCGTCTTCGTCCCGTGCGTCCCGTGCGCGGCGATGCATCGAAGCACCGGATGCCCGTCCTGCGCGTCGCACGTCGCGCAGTCGTCGCTGGCGACGTTCCGGAAGTGCTTTCCGTTCTACCTGTCCATACACCTCGTCCCGTACGCGATATTAAACGCGAGAAAGGCGCTCGCGTCGCCGTGGAAGACGGTCGCGAACGCCGCCGCGGCGACGGCGCGAAGCACGACGTTCATCAGCGCGTTCGTCGGTCTGTACATGTCCACGGTCTGCGCGAGTCGAAACGCGTTCGCGCGAGATCACAGAGCGCTGTACTACGTCGCCGGCGTTGTCGCCGCGAGCGCGTTGTTCGTGGAGAAAAAGTCGCGCCGAGCCGAGCTGGCGTTGTACTTGATGCCGCGCGCGGTGGACGCGTTCGTGAACACGGTGAACGCGAAGCGTCTGCTGCCCGCCGTGCCGCACGCGGAGCTCGCGCTGTTCGTCGCCGTGAGCGCGGGTCTGATGCATCTGTACGAGAACGAGCCGGACACGCTCGCGGGGTTTTTACGCGACACGATAAGGAGGTTCGTGCATCGTCCGAACGCGCCGCTGCCGAAGAGCGCGTCGGAGGCGGTGCTTCAGGCGTGCGACGACGACGACGGCGCGGAAGATTGATTTGATTGACGACGCGATCGTCTTAACCTTATGATGAATATACAATTGATACTACTCATACCGCGCCTCGTTCCCGGCATCGCTCGACCCACCGCGCCCGGTGCCGTCTCAAGGCGCGCTCAACACCCCCGCGTTCTCTATCACGATCGCCTTCGTCGGCTTCGTCCACACCGCCCTCGCCTTCGCGGCGCGGTCGTCCCCGAACCACTCCGCGACTTGGTTCCACGCGATCGAGTTCCCGCTCGGTTTAAACGTCGGAACGTCCGCGATCGCGGCGACGACGTCGAGCCCTCTCAACACCCTGCCGAAGACGACGTTCTCGCCGTCCAACGACGGCGCCGGACCCGGGCCGGTCGTTATCAAAAATTCCGTCGGCGACGCGCGCTCGAACCCGCCGTCGCCGCCGCCGACGGCGGCGCCGAGCGCGAGCGACACCGTCCCCGGTCGAAAGTGCCGCCGCGACAGCGCGCGACCGTTCAACGCGTCCGGGTTCGACCGCTGGAACGCGCCCTCGCCGGCGGTTCGACCCTCGTCGTTCGCGCTTGTCGTTGGGATCTGCGTCTGACCCAGACGGTTCGACCCCGGCGCGCCGGCGAGCACGTACTCGCCCTTCTTCACGCGGTGGAACACCGTGCGCACGTACCCGTCCCCCGGCGGACACCTCGGCGGGATGAGCGCGAGGAAGTTGGCGACCGTCGTCGGGACCGCGTCGCCGTAGAGTCCGATCTCGACGCGGCCGAGCGGCGCGGCGTTCTCGCACAGCGCGCCGCCGCCGCCGCCCATCGCGCGGTCCGCGCGGAGGTTCGCGTCGCACAGCGCGACGTCGAGGAAGACGACGTGCGTCACGTCGGGTTCCGTCGTCGCGATCGCGGGGGGCGCGCCCGTCGCGGCGGACGCGGAGGCGGGGGGCAGGAGGACGCCCGCGGTCGCGCCCAGCGCGAGCTCGCGGCGGCGGATCGCGGACGGCGAGGACGACGACGACGACGACGACGCGTCGTCGTCGTCGTCGTCGTCGTCGCGCGCGTCGCGACGAAGACGACATCGCGCCCGAGTCGCGACGACGACGTCGGTGCCCACTCGCGCGCCTCGCGTCCGCCGCCGATGCGCGCGTCGACCGCCGACGCCGCCGGACGCGCGCGACGCGATCGACGCCGTCGACGCGGTCGCCGTCGCGGGCATGACGACGTGGACGCTTCCTCGACCTCTCGACCTCTCGACCTCGGACCGCCGCGCCGCGTCGAAGGAAGTGGGGCGATAGCGATACCGCCGAGGCCTTCGCGTCGTCAGACTGTTCATCGGTCAACACACAGTTGAAAAGGGACGCGATCAAATCTTGAAACCGAGCGATGGGTGAAAAACGTTTGTTTGAACGCACAGAAACCTCGCAGCATCGTGCCAGCCTGTGGCCGTTTGCCGATGCCTCGTCATCATCGACGCGCCTCGAGAAGCCGCGGCACAAATCACGCGCAGAGCGTCGTTCGCGAACGCGGCCGGGCGCGAGAGGCGAGAGGCGAACGTCCACGCGAGAGCGCGAGGGACACGCGTGCGAACACGCGCGAGAGGACGGCGCGGCGCGAGCGCGCGTCGGGAGGAAGAGAAGTCGCGCGGCGACGAGATCCGGGGCGCGGGCGCGAGGAGGAACACTCCCGAAGCGGGAATTATTATTTCTCTCGGCGGGAACGAACCCTACATGGGCGCGGAACGAATGCCGCCGACGCGAGTGTTTCGAGGCGAGGGCGACCTCATGGTCGACGCGCTCATCGCGGCGTCGCAAGAGAAGGCGTACAACACCGCGCCGATGCCCGGGTACGGCCGCGACCTCGTGCCGTACTTCGACGCGAACGGCGACGAGAACGCGGACGCGGGGGTCAATAATTACTACGCCGACGCGGGGAATATCAACGCGGGGCGGCAGCAGCATACTTACGAGCGACAGAAGCCGAACCTGCAGCATCAAGTGTCCACGCCGGCGCAGCAGGCGCCGCCGGCGCCGAAGCCGAAGCAATCGAAGAAGACCAAGCCGCCGAAGGTTGTCCCCGCGCCGAAAGGGAGCGCGAGCGCGCCCAACCTGCTGAACCAGCAGAAGACGACGGGGCACCAGACGCAGCAGCAAAACGGTAATCAGAAAGCGCCGCGGCGATGGGCGGGGCCCGCGTTCAGCAACTCCCCGGCGCCGGACGCGCTGCCGGTGCCGGACTTCCTCATGGGCGGCGGCGGCAAGACGTCGTCCGCCGCGCAGCGGAGCTCCCCGCCCGCGAACGCGGGGGCGGAGCTGATGGCCATGCTCGGGCAGTCGGCGCCGGCGCCGGCGGCGCCGCCGCCGCCGCCGCACCCGCCACATCACGCGGCGTCCGCGCCGGATCTGATGTCGATGCTGTCGAACGCGCGGCCGTCTAACGCGGCATCGCACGCGCCGCCGCCGCCGCCCGCGAAGTCGAACCTGCTCACGCCGGAGGCGCTCGCGGCGATGGTCAACGGCGGCGGCGGCGGCGCGAGTCGGAGCGCGTCGGCGTCGGCGCAGGCGGCGAGGAATAAGCAGCTGCTGTCGATGGCGAGCGCGGGTCCGAGCGTGACGTCGCGGCCGCCGCCGCCGCCGCCGGCGGCGCCGGCGCCGTACGGCGCGCGCGCGCCGCCGGCGTCGGACGACTTCCAGCGGCTGCTTCAGAGGCTGGGATAACCCGCCTCTCCGAGACGACGCCGCGGCGAGACGGGTACGCGCCCAGACGCCGCCGCGGTTGTAACTTCAAGACACGAAGAAACACACAATTGAATTGTACAACAACGAACACAAAGGGGACACACACGGGGAATGAACTAGCGGGTCGGGGCGAGTCAGTATACGCGCGCACGCGCGTCGACGCTCGCGCCGCCCGCGGACGACGAAAGAGGGTCGCGATAAACGCGGAGCTTACGGCCAAATTTTTACTGGTTTCGGAAGCATCCAACAGCGCTCCTGTTCGCGCGACTTCCGCCTCTACCAATACTAGACGCGGGAGCGGCGAACGAACGAAGATACCGGGGAGGGATAGAGAGAAGAAGAAGAAGAAGAAGAAGAAGAAGGACGTCTTCCCGGCGGCTCGGCAATTTTTTTTCAGACTGCCGCGTCGCCGGCTCGGGCACTCGCGTGATGACGTAAACATCGACGCCCGAGAGATTTCACGACACATTCAAGAACGCACCGGGATGAAGAAGCTCACTCGTGAGCTTCATCACCCTGCTGCGACTGCGACCTAGGCGAGACGTCGTGGCAGGACGACTCGGCTCGGACGCGACGGCACGGAGAGAGACGAACGGGGACGCGAGACGAGTCGACGACGTCGACGCGCGCGCTCGCGAGTGAGAAAGAGTCGAAAGTTGATGCTAACCTAATCCTTTCGATGAAAGTAAAAAATACCGCACCACGACGCGCGAAAATCGCTCCTCTCTTCTCCTCACGCGTCGCTCCGCACCGACCCCGCGTTCGTCGACGGCCGCGTCGTCCGATTCTTCGGGTGGTTCGCGTGCCACCGCTTCCACGACCCGCTCCTCGGATACTTGGACAGATCTTTCACCGCGGGCACCTGGTACTCATCCTTCTTCCGCGTCGCGTCGCGCACGTTCTTCGCGCTCGCGGCGGCGAGGTACGCGGGGAACGGGTGCGAGAAGAAGCACTGCGGCTTCATAGTCGTCTTCTCGCCCGCGAACGCCGGGTCGTTCTCCAGACGTCTCGTCGCCGCCTCGGTCACGCGCATCTGGTTGAGCTCGCTCCGCGTCATGTTTTCCAACGCAACCGCGTCCAACGCGTCCGCGTTGACCTCCTCGACGCTCGCGTCCGCGGCGATGGAGTGCACCATCCCCTCCGACTTATAGTGCTCCACGATCGGCATGTACGTCTCCACGAAATGCTCATACCGCCGCTCCACGCTCGCTCTCGTGATCGTGCGCCCGGGCTTGAGCAGTCGTAACGCCATCGTCTCCGGCTCGCCGTCGAAAAACAGCACGAAGTCGACGGCGCGAACCTTGGCCTCGAACGCGATGGCTTGCTCCAACGTCCGCGGGAACCCTTCTATCAACACGCACTTGTTCGAGGCGCGCAACGCGTCCATCTCCTCTCGAAGAAACCTGAGCACGATCTCCGTGGGCACGAGCGCCTTCGCGACGCGCATCCCTCGGATCAACGCGCCCACCTCCGTGTCCCTCTCGACGCCCTCCTCGCCCGCGCGTCTCAGGACGTCGCCGACGCGCACGTGGACGTACTCCTCGCCGCGCTCGGCCGCGAGCTTCGCGCACTGCGTCGCGACGCCCGCGCCGGGCCCGCCCATGGCGAACACGACGCGTCTCGCGAGCGGCGGCTTCGGCGGGACGTATCGAAGCGCCCTGGCGCTCGCCTCCGCGGTCGCGCGCGCGGCGATCGCGTTGTAGGTTTCGTACGACGCGTCGTACGTCTCGAGGTGCGCGCGCGTGCGCGCGGCCGCGAACGCGTCGACGTCGACGTCCATGCCCTCGTCTTCGTAGTCGTCGTACGACGTCGTGCTGACGGGATGGAGGCGGGGTGGACGGACGGAGGCGGACGCGCGTCAGGGATGGATGAATGGAGGGAGACGAGAGGGGAAACCAATTCGAGCAGCAGCGTGCATCTGCATTCTCGGTCGTCGCGAAGGCCCGCGCGACGCACCCGTAGTCGTCGTAGCGCGTCATGACCGACGACCGCGGCGGACGGCGGCGGCGACGCGACGCGCTCGAGCTCGCGGATCGACCGGACGGACGCGCGGAGGTCCCTCCTCCTCGTCGTGCTCCGCGCGCGACGCTTCTCCCTCCCTTCAGCGTCGTGATGTCCCAAACACAGCACCGAGAATTTTGAGAAAGGTTGATCGTATTTACAGTGACTTTCGCAGTCGACGATTGAGCAAAAAACTTTCTCACGATATTGGGCCTTCTAAAAGGTTAGGGTCAGTCCACGATTTTCACCGGCGCCACCGGTCGACGTCGCGTCGGTCAATCGACCCATCGCCGACCGCCAGCGCAGCGCGCGGCCACCGACGGACACGTTATCTACTCCCGCTCGCAGCGGCGACGCCGGCCACAACGCGACGCGCGAGGATCGCGCGCCATGGCTCACGTCTTAACCGCGCTCAGCAACATGTTCGCCTTCAAGGGTTCCTACCAAGCGGAGGTGCGTCACGCGATGCGTTCTCTCGCGCGGCGTCGCTCGCGGCGTCGCGTCCGGCGTCGCGTCCGGCGTCGCGGCGTCGTCCTCGGCGATTGCCGTGGCTTAAATCTTTCGGCGTCTCGACGTCGACCGCCGCGCGCGATGGCGCGACGCGCGACGACCCCGTGACGCGTCGCCGCGGCGTCCGACGACGCCAATGAACCGTCGCGACCTTCTCGGTCGCGACGCGCTCGCTCGCGGCGGCCGCGCGACGTCGCGGCGGCCGCGAGTCGCGCGTTCCCGAGGCGACGGTCGCGGCGTGCCGCTCGCGTCGCGCGGCATTCCGCCTCGCGCGCATAACCCTAAACCTGAAAATCAATCGATCGAACGCGACGACGTCTGACCGCCCCTCCCCTCCAACCTTCCCCCGTTCGATCGCGCAGGTGACCGTCGGCGAGAACGAGGCGGGCGAGAGCGCGATCAGGCGCTTCCGCCGCGCGGTGATGAACTCCGGACACATCAACGAGACGCGTCGCCGCCGGTACTTTGAAAACCCGCAGGACATCAAGAAGCGCAAGCAGTCGACGCCGCGCAAGAAGAAGGGGGCGAAGCCGCGCACGGCCGCGCAGGCGCTCGCGGAGAAGGAGCAAGCGGCGATGAACCCTCGGGAGCGCCGCGGGGGGTTCGGCAACGCGAACAACGGCGGCGAAGGACGCCGTTGATCGCGTCGTCGCCTCCTCCTAGTAGCAGCTTCCCCACCCATTCATTAGAACGCGGCGAATCGATCGGGTCGGCGGCGCGTTCCCGCGAGCGCGGCGCGGAAGAGTCCAGTCCCACGCGAAGTGCGCGGTGGGCTTCCACGAACGTTAGCGCGGACGCGATGGCGTGATTGTAAAGACATTCTTTCTAGCGGTATGATATCACCACCTCGTCTCGTCACGTTCAAACAGTTCTACGGCTGCTGCTAGCTACGAAGGTACTAGACTAAAGGATACGCATCTTCCGCAGTCAGATCACCTTGTTCGGACTGTCCGCGATCTTCCCCCGGGCCCCTCTCCCGCGCCGCCGCCGACACGACGCGACCACGAGTTGCCTCGCGCACCGATACGCGCGGTCGAACGCCCTCGCCAGCGCCGCGAGCGGCGGCGTCCGTCGCGACGACCGCCGCCGTCGCCGCCTCTCGTCGGCTTCCGCTTCCGCGTCCGCGTCCGCGTCGTCGACGTCGACGCGGCGCACGAACAAGACGGCGTCGTAGAGCGTCCGCCCCGGGTCCGGTCCGTTCGCGAGCGCGAGCCGATAGAAGTTCTCGTGCCGCATCGCGCGGACGAACGCCATCCGCTCGTAGAATCGCATCGCGTCCGCGTTGTGCGCGATGACGTGGAGAAACGCGAGCGCGCACCCTCGCTCCTCCGCGGCTCTGCGGCAGACGCGTCTCAGCAGCTCGCTCGCGATGCCGCGTCGGCGGTGCGTGTCGAGGACGCCGAGGGTGAGGAGGTAGACGTACGGCATCGGCGGCGGGATGAGCGGCGGCGGGAACGTCGGATCCGACGCGGCCGACGGCGGCGGCGAATAAGGCGTCGTCGGAGGGAAGTGGACGCGCCGCGCCGTCGGCGGGAGCCGGTCCATCAGGACGTCGCACTCCTCCGGGGTCTCGCCGGTTCGCCGCACGCGTGCGGTGACGACGCCGATCATCGCTTCCTCGTCGCCGCCGCCGCCGACGCGAGGGCGTCGTTCCATCGCCGCGAGCGTGATGATCCCGAGCTCCTCTCTGATCGAGCTCGAGTAGAACGACGCCTCGTACTCGATCGGGAACAGCGCGCGATGGCACCGCACGGTCTCTTTCCAGTCCGACGGACGCATGCGCCGGTAGTATATCGAGGGAGCGGCGGTATAGGCGGCGGCGGAGGCGGAGGCGGACGACGACGCGGTCGCGGTCGCGTTATTCGCGGCCCAGCGCGTCTCGTCGTACTCGTCGCCGAGCGCGAGGACGACCTCGTCCTCCTCGCGCGGACGCGTCGTCGTCGTCGCGGCGTCCTCGTCCTCGCCCGCGCGCGGATCGAACGCGAGCGGGTCCACCGGCGGCGGCGCCGCGGCCGCGGTCGCGGCGACGCCGTGCTGAGGCGGCTCCATGTTCACGGCGGCGTCATCGCTTCGCTCGCGCGCGGTCGTCTGATCCGATGCGCGCGCTGATGAAATATAAACGTCACTTCAACTTCAATGAAGTCACTTCACAACACACACATCCCCCCCCGCGCTCCGCACGATGACGACGACGCGCGCGTCGTTCCTCCTCGCGCTGACGCTCCTCGCGTTTTGCGCGTTCCCTTCCTTCGCGCGCGCGTCGCCGCGCCTCTCGGACGAGCGCCTGGTGTTCCAGACCACGAAGGGCGACATCGAGATGGCATTCTTCCCCGACGTCGCACCCACGACAGTCGCCCACATCCTCGATCTCGCGCGCCGCGGTCTGTACACGACGAACCACTTCTTCAGGGTCGACGCCGGGTTCGTCGCGCAAGTCGCGGACGTCGCGAGCGGCGGACGGAGCGCGCCGCTGGACGCGTACCAGAGGGAGATCGCGCGACGGACGCTCCCGGGGGAGTTCAGCGACGTGAAGCACGCGCGAGGTATCCTGTCCATGGGGCGACACGCGGACCCGAACAGCGCGACGTCGTCCTTCTCGATACTGTTGGGCGACGCGCCGCACTTGGACAAGGAGTACGCGGTGTTCGGGAAGGTGATCAGCGGGGAGGAGACGCTGCGGGCGATGGAGGCGGTGAAGACGAAGAAGGATGGGATCTTCGTCATGCCGACGGAACGCATCGAGATCTTGAGTTCGTACGTGAAAGAGAAAGAGGGCGGCGGCGGCGGCGAGCGAGGGAACGTCGGCGCGCTCGGCGGCGATTGCGAGGCGGAGTTGAAGGAGACGAAACAACGCGTCGTCGCGCTCGTGCACGAGATCGAGGAGATCCGAAGGCGCAAGCTTCCGGGGAGGTGACGACGCGTCTTTCGCCAGCCAGCTGTTGGCAACTTTTCATATGAAAGTATATTTTCTAGATGCTTCTTCGCGTTCACTCCGCGGTGCGCGCCCGGCCGCGCGATGCACGACCCGCGCGCCCCCCCGGGGTCGGTCATGCTCACCCCGACCGCGGGGTTCTGCCTCAAAGCCCAGCGCGAGCGGTGGATCGAGGTGCGCGCCGCGCGCGGACGCGGACGACGCCCGGGTCAACGTTCGCGCGGCGCTCGCGCGTTCCCGATCGATAACCCGCCGTCGTCGCGACCGATCGATCGATCCCTCCGTCTGACCTCCTCCCCCCCTCCCCCCGCTAAACCCTAAACCCCCCTCCTTCCTCGTCAGGCTGGCGGGAAGGTCTTCATCAACGTCTGCTCGCACGCGAGGATAGACCCGGTGTGCGGCGCGAACCTCGCGCCGGTGACGACGGAACACCTGGACGCGTGGGGGCTCGCGAACGCGCGCGTGCCCGTCCTCGTCGGCCCGTCGCGCGCGATGGTCGACGCGGAAGGCCGAGACGCGACCGCGGTGGACGCCATCTTCCACCCGGACGTCGTGGAGCGCGCGTTGCGCGGCGGGAAGGGCGTCGCCGCGGCGCACTATCGCGACTACCTCGTCGACATCGCGGTCAAGAACGTGGAGGAGGACCACGGGATCAAAGTGATCAGGCGCGTTCTATACACTGGTTCTCATACGACCCCGTTCGCGTGGTGAACGCCGATCCTTAAGGACTTTTCTCGGCGTATCTCTCCTCCCACCCCTCGCGTTCAATACCCGCCCTCGACGCCTTTCAACTCCAACTGACGCCTTTCAACTCCACCCCGACATCGCTTCGTATGGAACGGCCCTCAGAGGGCGATGGAGCGTGTTGGAGAACGCGCGGTATAAGGGGCCGAACGGGGAGTGCTCGGAGAAGACGCACGTGTTTCCCGTGTTCGCGGGGGACGGCGGCGGCGGCGGCGGCGACGACGCGGCGGCGGCGGGTGGGGGGAGGGACGCGTCGTCGAGCGAGACGACGACGACGGCGGCGGCGGCGGCGACGACGAAGCGCGAACCGAGCGGGAGACGCTGCGACGGCGCCGCCGTCATCAAGAAGGGCTTCCTGACCGGCTCCTCCGGCGCGGGCGCGGAGCTCTACCCCGACGGCTCCGCGGAGGGCATCCCGAAGCCCGGGGAGCAGTACGACCCGCTCGGGCACATCCCGGAGAGCGTGCGGAGTAAGTGTCACGTCGTCGACACGGGGGCGATCACCGGGGAGGACTTTCGCGCGGTGACGAACGAGTACGCCGCGACCGGGAGGCTGGACACCGCGAAGAGAGGGGTGTACGCCAAGGGGAGCGAGCCCGGGAGCGGGCCGAGGGAGATCGGGACCGGGCACCCGTCGCGCGTTCGCGGCGTCGCGGCGGCGAAGACGAAGGCGCCGTCGAAAACGCCCCCGGCGGCGAGGACAGAGCCGGCGCACGTCGTCGCGGAGACCACGCTCGGCGGCGAGCTCGCGATCGAGGTGCGCGTGCAGCTCCCGATGTTGAAGGGCGGCCTGGACGCGGTCGACCTGGACGTCGGCGCGGACGTCCTCGCGCTGCGATCGGAGGAGTACGACTTGAAACTGAAGCTCCCGCGCGCCGCGCGCGCGGAGGACGCGAAGGCGAAGTTTTCGTCCAAACGCATGGAGCTCAAGGTCACGATCCCGACGACGTGACGCGACGATAGCACGACTACGATAGACTAAGTTATGACAACACGACGCGAAACCCTAGTAGCCCTCTCTCTGCGCCTTCGCCTCGCCTCACTTCCACACCCCGGTCAACACGTGCCTCGCGAGGAACCCGAACCCGCAACACGCCGCCTGAAGCGACACCAACGCGACGCACAAGTCGCGCTCCGTCTGCGGGCCGAACGCCCTCAGGTACGCGTTCACGAGGTTCATGTTATACCGCGTCGGCGTCGCCTTGCTCGCGTGCAGCAGCCCCGTGGCCGCGTCGAGCTTCGGGAGGCGGTGACGCGGGCAAGGCACGAGCTTGAACAGCTGCGGCGAGCTGTACAAAAAGTTGAAAATCTGCGGCAGGAAGAACAACACGAGCGTCTCGCTGAAGTGGCCCAACACGCCGACGACGCCCAAAGTCATCCCCGCGAAGTACGTGTACGTGTCGCCGACGAACACCCTCGACGGGTACCAGTTGTGCGTCAGCAACCCCAAGCTCACGGCGAGGAACGGCCCGGCGAGGCACAGGCTGAAGACGTGCGCATGTTGCGTCTGACGCGCCGCCGCGAGCGCCGCCGCCGCCGCCGAATACGCCGCCTTATTCTTACTTCCTCCTCCGCTGATCCCCACCTCCCCGCCGCTCTCGCCTTCGACGTCGCCGACGCGCGCGATCGTGCTCACGTTCAAGTACACGATCGCCGCCGCGATGACGACGCTCTGGCCAATCTCCAGACCGTTGATCCCCGCGTGGATGTTGATCGAGTTGGCGCAGAATATGACGAGTAAAAACACGTACGCGTAATACGCCCATCCGAGGTCGAGAAGGTTGTTCCCGTCCGATGTCCGGATCCAATCGTCCCCGAGCGCCCACCGCACCGGCCGCGGCACCAAGATCGTCGTCCCCCCCGCGTACGACAGCAACAGCGGCAGCGACGCGAACGCGGGGACGAGCATCTTCGCTCTCCACGGAACGTCCAGGACGTCGTCTACGAAGCCGAGGAAGACGCCGAAGCCCACCGTGGCGAGCGCTGAGGGTCGTTCCATACGAGCGAACGTCGGGGTGGAGTTCAAAGGCGTCAGAAGTGGAGTTGAAAGGCACCGAGGTCGGGCGTTGAAAGCGAGAGCTGGGCGGAGAGATGCGCCGGCAAAAGTCCTTAAGGATCAATCGGCGTTCACCACGCCGACGCGGCCGTACGGGGACCGGCGTATTGAACGCGCCTGAGTTGTGCTCCAACGCCCACGACGCCGCCTCCGCGCCGCCGAGGAAGAGGTGCAGACACTGCGTGAAGGTCACCGCGACGAGGTAGACGCAGCCGGGGGCGAGGCCGGTCGCTTCCGGGACGCGGACGTCGCCCGCGCGGGTCCCGGCTTTGTTGACGTCTAATCCGTGCACGCCGCGGCGGAGGGTGAGACGCGCGATCGTTCGCGTCAGGCGCTTCGCGGCGAGGTAGGCGAGGAACGACGCGGGGGCGATCGCGAGGACGACCGCGCGCGCGCTCTCGCCTACCTCGCGGACGAGCCGCGGGAGCGCCAGGAGCGTCGGGAGGAGGAGGCACAGCGCGAGGACGAAGACGTCGCGTCGTCGTCGGCGATCGATGATCGTCGCGGACGACTTCGCGTCGTCGTCGTCGTCGTCGACGGCTTTCGGGTCATCCGCGCGACGACGACGGGAGCCGCCCGCCATTTCTGCTGATCTGCGCTTCTTTTCTCTTCAAGAGCTCCTCGTCGCGGATGACGCCCTCGTGAAGCCGCTGTGGATGGGATGGGGGGAGCAGGGGCGAGTGTGAGTGTGGTCGTCTGCCGGAACGACGATCTGGACTGATGAGGGGACGCGAGGCGCGGACGACAGATCGATCGAACGACGCGCGCACCTGTCGCTCCGCGGACTGGTCGTAGTGAATGTACGCGATCCCCGCGGCGGTGCCGATGGTCGTGAGAACGAGTGCCGCGGTCGCCGCGCGCGACGGGCTCATTCACGCGTGCTCGCGCGCGCGCGTCTCGAAGAGTGCCCTCCGCCGCGAGCGCGAAGCGACCGGAAATCAGCGATAAGTTACCTGTAAATGCTTTCCTGTTAACCCGTCTGTTTGGCAGTAGAAGAGGCTCGAGAAGAAGCTCAAGAAGGAAGCGCAGAGGAACGACGACTACGTGTACTGTATCATAACGCTCGCGTGGCGATTGCAATCATCTACGAACGAGCGACCGAACGCTCTTCATCACTCCTCCCGCCGGCGCGTCTTCGACAGCGCCCCGCGCAGCACCTCGACGACTTCGTCCCTCGGGACGTCCCTCTCCGCGCCTCTTCCGAACCCCCCGCCCCCGGTCAACGACTTCACGCGCACGCGCTCGCCCGCGATCAACAGCGAGTGATCGATCGTGACCATCCACCGCGCGCCTCTGGCGTTCGCGTGCTGGTACTGCTCCGTCGCGCTCGGCGAGGGGGAAGGCGTCGTCTCCGCTCTCACGCCGACGCGCCACAAATCGCTCGCGAGCGCGAGGCGCTCGTGGAGTAACCCGCCGCCTCCTCGCGCGCACACGAGCACGTCCGTCGCGGCCGCGGAGGACGAGGACGAAGCCGAACCGCCCGCGCTGCCGCCGACGGCCGCCGCGGCGAGCGTCGCAGCTTTGCGCACGGCGACGGAGACGCCGCAGCCGCCGGGCGCGGGCGCGCCGGCGGCCGCGCCCGCGCCGCGCGCCGTCCACGCGGCTTGCATCCATCCGTCGTACCTCCCGCCCGCGGCGACGCAGACGCGCTTCCCCGTCGACCGGACCGTGATCTCGAAGTACGCGCCGGCGTGGTAGCTCTCCGGGGGAGGCAAAAACGGTGCCAACGCGATCGCGTGGGCCGGGACGCCCATGGAGCCGAGGTGCGTCGCGACGTCGCCGACGTGCCGCAACGCGTTCGCCATCGCGGCGGCGCCCTCCGCGTCCGACCACGCGTCTCGGAGGTACTCCACCGCCGCGCGCGCGTCGTCCGACGCGAGCGCGTGCAGCGACGCCACCTTCGCCGCGACCGCGGGGGTCTGCTTCCCGACGGACGCCAGCCCCGCGACGACCCTCGGCGTCTCCGCGGGCTCCGCGGCGGCGGCGTATCGACGCAGCATCGCGGCGACGCGCGCCCTCGCCTCCGGAGGCACCCCCGTCTTGACCCACCCGGATGCGAGCACCTTGCGATGGTTCAGCGTCACCTTGGGTTCGAGGCCGCGCTCGACGAGCGCGTCCCAGACGCATTTCACGCATTCCGCCTCCGCGATCGAAGGGTCCGCGCCGTCCTTCGGGGCGATGACGTCGAAGTCGGCTTGGACGTGCTCGCGCGGGAGTCCGCCGCGGCCGCCGTTTACTTTACCCTCGCCGTCGGGACCCGCGGGCTTCTCCCCGCCGCCGCCCCCGCCGGACCGGAACGTGATCCCGACGCAGCACGCGCGCAGCGACGTCGCTTCCTCCGCGGCGACCTGCCGCACGATCGCGGAGCGTAAATCGCGTCGCAAGACGACGAGCGCGCCCGATCGCGTCAGGAGACGGTGCCCTTCCTCCCCCGCCGCCGCGCCGCCGCCGCCGCCGCCGCCGCCGCCCTCGCGCGCCCACGACACCACGCGCGACGACAGCGGCGACGCGCCGTGCCTTCGAAACGCCGCGCGGAGCGTCGCGAGCATCTTCTCGCCGGCGGCGCCGTCGACGGCTTCCGGCGCGCCTCTCTCCGCCGCCGCCGCCCTCGCGGCGACGCGCGCGCCCGCGCTGCCGTCGCCGAGCAGCCGCTCGACGACGCGGTCGTGCTCCGCGCCGCCTTTCTCGACCGCGGTCAAGACTTCCTCCAGGGCCTCGTCGCCGCCTTTCGGGGGAAGGAACCCGCTCTTGAGAACCTCCGTCGCGGACGGGCGCTCGTTCGGATCCGGCGACAGCAACGCGGTGACCAGGGCGCTCTGCGCCGGGTATTTCGCCCGGAAGTCCGCGGGCAGACGCTCCTTGCCGCTCTTCCCCGGCACTGGCGGCGCGCGAAGCGCGTTTAACTCCACCGCGCGCTCCATCCCGGTCGAGAACCGCCGTAACATCTCGTAAAACACCACGCCCGCGCTGAAGAGGTCAACCTTGCCGCTCCGCCGGAACGAACCCGCGTCCACCTCCGGGGCGGTGTACAGATACGTCCCGACCGCGCCCGTGGCGTCCGCGTCGTCGACGTCGACGCCGTCCTCGCCGCTAACCTTACCGTCGTCGTCGTCCTCGTCAGCGTCGTCCTCGTCGTCGTTGTCGCCTTTCCCGGCGTCGAACTTCGCGAGCCCGAAGTCGCCGATTTTTAACCTCCCGCGCGCGTCCACGAAAATGTTGCCAGGCTTGAGATCCCGGTGCGCGATCCCCTGCGCGTGGATGTGCGCGAGGCCTTCTAAGATCTGCCGTCCCCACGCCCACGCGCGCTCCTCGTCGATCGGCGCGTTCGTCGCCGCCTCGCGGTCTAAGACGTCGCGCAGCGTCCGCGTGCAGTATTCCATCTGAATGTGGAGCCACATCACTCGCGTCGTCGCGGACGCCGACTCGCCGCCTCCGGCGCCCGCCGCCGCCGCCGACCGCGAGAGATGCCGCGACCCGCCCGGGGTCGTCATCGTCGTCGTCGTCGTCGTCCCCCCGTCCCCGTCCGTCGTCTCCGTGACACCCCACGCCGCGGCCTCGTCCGTGGACGTCCCGCCGCCGCTGTCAACACTGAGCGCGCGACCGCCGCGGTCGCGGTTCTTCCGCCGCGCGCCGGCGACGGGTTCGCTCGCCTCCTCCATCCACGCCTGGTTGTACCGCACCACCGCGTCGTGCTCGAGCCTCGAGAGCGTCGCCACCTCTCGCAGCACCCTCGCCGCGGCCGCGGGAGAGACCGGGTTCCCGCCCCGCGTCGCCATGCGCACTTTTTTGATCGCGTACTCGCGCCCGTCGAGACGATTCACCGCGAGCACGACCCTTCCGAACGCGCCGCGGCCGAGCTGTCGAATCTCTTGAAAGTCGAGCGCGTACCGAGACGGCGGCAGCGCGGGCTGGGGTTGGTCGGTCGGTCGCGACCCGCCCGCCCCGCCCGCGCGGTCCGCCGCCGCCGCGACGACGGAGGACAGCCGACTCTTCCCGGGGCTCGACGGCGGCGGCGCGGCGAACCCAGCCCCGGCGGGCGCTCCGACGACGCGCTTCGTCGCCGCGTTGACGTTGACGTTATTAACGTTGACGTTCTCTCCCCCGAGCCAAAATTTCGACGCCGCCCACGCGAACGCCGGATTCGCCGCGTCCACGCTCGCGGCCGCCGCGCGATCCTCCGCGTCGAACGCCCTCCTGAACGCGCGGTGAAAATGCCGCGGACGGTGCAGAAGCACCTCGCGCAGCCACCGCGGGATGACGCCGCACGCGCGTAACTGCGCCGCGAGCGCGGGAAGCGCGTGAGGCAGCGGGCCGTCGCGTTCGCACAGCAGCGAGAGGAGGTGGCCGACGAGGAGGTGGAGCATCTGCTCGCGCCTCCGTCCGGGGACGCCGCCCTTTTTCTTTCGTCCGCCGACGACGTCGGCGTCGTCGTCGCCGTCGTCGTCGCGCATCCATCCGTCGTCGTCGTCGTCGTCGTCGTCTTCCTCATCTCTCGCGTCGCCGAACGAGTGCACGGCGCTGCCCAAGAACGAGAGCCCGCGAACGAGCGAGTCGACGAGGTCGGAGGACGACCCGCCGACGGAGGAAGAGAACGCAGCCTCGCGCGCGCCTCGACGACGTCCGTCGGACGCGGACGCGGCGTCCATCGCGAGCCAGTCCCTCGCGTCCTGCGAGTCCTCCGCCGACTCGGACCCCGAAGAGTCGCCCGAGTCGCTCGAGTCGCTCTCCTCCATCTGGCTCTCTTCGCTCTCGGACGACGCGTCGCTCTTCGCGCCTCGGCCGGGCGACACCGCGGGCGCGGACGGTCTCGTCCGCTCGACCGGGACGCTCTTACTCTTCTTCAACGTCGTCGTCGTCGTCGTCGTCGTCGTCGCGCCGGGCGCCGCGCGCTCGTCGACGTCGACGTCGACGTCCCCCGCGGGCGCGGGCGTCGTCCTCGTCGTCTTCGTCGACCGCGTCCGACGCGCCCGCGGCGCGGCGACGCGCGGGAGCCCGCCGAGCCCGCCGCCGCCGCCGCCGCCGCCGTCGCCGCCCAACGCGGCGGTCGCGGCGGCCGCGGCGACTTCTTCCCAGTCGTCGTCGTCGTCGTCGTCGAACGCCTCGCCGTACGCCTCGACGTCGTCGTCGTCGTCGTCGTCGTCGTCGTCGTCTTCGCGTTCGAGCGCTGCGGGCGTCGCCGCCGCCGCCGCCGCCCCCGCCGACGCGTTCGCCGGCGGCGGCGCCGGCCGCGCGTCCGTCTCGCGGTGCATCATCGCGTCCCACAGGCTGCTCTCGTCCTCAATCGCGCTCGCGAGTCGCTCTCGCAGCGCCTCCGCGAGGTTGAACACCATGACTTCGCCCTCGCGCGCGAGGTCGTTCGCTTGCGCCGCGAGCGCGCGCTCCAGCGCGCGCAACGCGCTCGGCGAGATCCCGACGCTCTCCTCCGCGTCGAGGCTCACGACGGGCGGTTTCCTCGGGTACCCGTGCGCGTGCTTCACGACCATGACCGCGCGGACGGCGCTCTTCTCGCATGTCGTCGTCGTCGTCGCGAGGAGCGACGCGGGCGATGCGCGCGCGGGGCTCGACGGCGGCGACGCGTCCGACGGCGGCGTCACGACGATGCGAAACTGCCTTCGCTCGCGCTCGTCGAACGCGAAGTCGTCCTCGTAGATGGCCTGCAGCGCCGTGAGTTCGTCCTCCCACTCCGCGTCCGCGGAGGCGGGATTTGGCGCGCCGTCGCCGCCGCCTTTCTTCTTTCGCCCCATGACGGACGGCGCGCGTCGTGGGGGTTGCGCGGAGGCGCGGCGTCGTTTGGAGGGAATAACTTTCTCAGATCTCGTCTTCACATCGTAAATGACATCGACGCGACGCGCTACGACTACGGGCTATCTCACGCAGCTACGACGAGGACGAGCGCCGCGACTTCTTGGACTTCTTGGACTTCTTCCTCTTCTTCTTCCGTCTCCTCCTCTCCTCCGACGACGAGCTCGAGGACGAGCTCGAGGACGACGACGACGACGACGACGAGTCGCTGTCGCTCGAGTCGTCGTCGCTCGAGGAATCGTCCCTCCTCCGCTTTTTCTTCCTCCTCCTTCGCCTCGGCGACTTGTCCCGCGCGCGCTTCTTCTTCCGCAGCCGCGCCCTCGCCTCGTGCGCCTCCGCGTCCAGCGCGAGCTGCGCCGCGGCCTCGAGCTTCGCCTGGAACTCCATCGGTTTCGCCTTCTTCTCGAGCTTCGCGGCGACGCGCGCGGCGGCGACCGCGCTGAACGCCGCCTTTGTCTGATCGCTGACGTCGTCGAGCGTCGGGTGGAACGGCACGTGCGCGCCCTTCTCCACGGTCACGACCGCGTTCGGCTCCCACTTGCCGCCGATGAACGCGCCGACGCCGGTCATCGCGGCGAGAAGATCGTCGCGTTCGTTCGCGCCCGACCTGGCGGGGGTGCCGCGCGGCTGCCGTGCCGTGCGGGGGGCTGTGCCGCGCGCCGAAGCCCGCGATTTCGTGAACTCGCGAACACTCGCGACGAGTCATTGTTCGTTGTTGCTGACGGCAGGTGTCTCTGCAGGTAGAAAAGCGTGCATGCCGTCGGACGCGCGGCAAAACGCCCCACGCGGGCGACGCGCGCGCACGGAGACGCACCGCGTAATATCTTCCCGGGGCGCGCGCGAACGCGGGAGGACGACCGCGGCGCGGCGCGGCGGCGTGACCGCGAGCTGGAGGACGCCGCGACCTCGGCGCGCGATTCCGGAATCGACGCTTCGCTCTCGTCGCTCGTCGCTGCAATTAAAATTATCTAACGAGAATCCCTCGCGCGCGCGGGATTCCGACGGTCCCTAGACGGGGTTGAGCGATCGCGATGCCGTCCAACCGCGATAAATACGCGATGGAGTCGGACAGCGACAGCGACGGGCGGGTGCGTGCCTTTCCTCGGTCGACCGCGACGCCCCCCCCCCCGCACAACATTCAGTTCCAACGGCAAGGACACGGCCTGCCTACAACTCTTCACGATAACGAACAAAATCCACGCTAATCTGACGCTCGCTTCGTCCCTCGCTTCGTCTCCCTCCTGAATCAGTTCGACGACGGCTTCGGCGGCGCCGTGAGCGACGGCGAGATCACCCTCCCCGGCCAGGTCGCGATGCCCGGGCCGTCGGGATCCGGGGGGGGGCGCGATTCCTCGTCTAATTTAGAACGAGATTCTCTCTCGAGAAAGTTTGGCCACGAGCTCACGGACGACCAGCGACGCGTCAAGTACGGCGGCGGCTCCCGCAACGCGTCCACGGACTCGCTGACCGCGCTGGAGAAGGAGAAGAGACACGAGGACCGGATGAAGAACCACCCGCTGTTCCGCGAGAAAGGGAAGTACATCATCTCCCCGCGCGCGTGGTACATGCGGCACTGGGACGTGGTCATGATGGTCCTGCTCATGTTCACGTCCATCGTGACCCCGGTCGAGGTCGCGTTCCTCCCCACGAAACTGAACGCCCTGTTCTTCATCAACCGATGCGTGGACTTTCTGTTCGTCTGCGACATCGTCTTGAACTTTTTCGTCGCCGTCCCGAACCCGGTGGACGGGCAGCTCATCTTCCACCACGGGACGATCATTCGGATGTACCTCAAGGGGTGGTTCCCCATAGACGTCGTGTCCGTGCTGCCGTACGACCTGATCTCGCTCCTGTCGGATAACTCCTCGGTGTCCAACTTGAAAATTCTGCGCATCTTACGTCTCCTGCGGCTCATGAAGCTCCTGCGCGTGCTCCGCGCCGGACGAATCTTCCAGAGGATCGAAGTCTTGTACACGATCGACTACTCCCTCCTCGAGCTCTTCAAGTTCGCGCTCCTCGCGGTGATGTCCTCGCACTGGATGGCGTGCGCGTTCGGCATGGTCGCGGACATTGAAGACAGCGACTTTAGCTGGCTCCATTACACGAGTTTCAACTCGTACTTAGTCAGCGGAAGGCTCAGCGAGGGCCAAGACCCGCGCGGCATCGTGCCGTACGTCGAGCTGTACGTCGCCGCGCTGTACTGGTCCGCGATGACGATGAGCACGATAGGGTACGGCGACATCGTGCCGAGCACGACGACGGAGAGGGTGTTTGTTTCCATCGCGATGCTCATCGGGGCGTTCATTTACGGGTACATCATCGGCGCCGTGTCCAACGTGATTCAGACGCGGAATCAAAAGGTGAACCGGTTCTATCAGCTCATGGGCGAGCTCAACGCGTTCGTCGCGGAGGGGAACATCAAGCAAGAGCTCAGAGTGCGTCTGAGGGAGTATTTCAAGTATCGGCTGTCGCACTCGCAGGTGGAGGAGCACACGAACCTCCTCACGCAGCTCTCGCCGGCGCTCAGGGGGGAGATCACGATGCAGATGAACACGTGGATCTCGAAGGTGGACTTCTTCAAGGAGTGCCCGGAGGCGCTCGTGATTCAGCTCACGATGAGCGTCAGGGAGCAGACGTTCCCGCCGCAGGAGAAGATCTTAGTGCCCGGGGATTGGTGCGACCGCATGTTCATGGTACGGAAAGGCGTCGCGATCTGTCGCCAAAAGATCATGACGACCGGGTCCGTGTTTTGCGTCGAGTGCCTGTACAAAGAGGGCAAGGTGGCGTACAGCGCGCACGCGGTCACGTTCGTGGATCTGTACTCGTTCGATCGCGAGGTTTTGATGAATTCGCTGAACTACTTCCCGGACATGAAGGCGCACTTTTATAAGCTGTCCGTGAAGCGCGTGTTTTTCGACGAGACGATGGCGTACTGCGCGGCGTACAAAGAACTGCGCGACAAAGGCGTGCGCGCGGATTTATCCTCCGCGATGGACGAGCGCCCGGAGTTTTACCTCAGGAAGCTGAAGATGATATACGGCGAGGACGGGAAGGGAATCGTGCGACAGGGCGAAAAGGCGAGCAAGGCGTGGACGGAGAAGCTCAACGCGGCGTCCTACATCCAGCGGCTGTTCCGCGGCCGCCGGACGCGCATCGAGCAGCAAGCCATCGCGACCGAGGCGGGCACCGTGGGCGTGTTCTCGTCGCAGATCCGAAGGTTCGACCCGACCAACTACGCCGCGCGCGCGATCGACGTGCTGCACCACCGCACGGGGCAGTCGCTGTACTCGCTGCACCAGAAGATGGACGCGTTGCTCACGGGCGGGCCGATCTCGACGCTGAAAGGGGAGGGTTTGATCGAGGGTCTGAAGTTCATGACCCCCGCGCCCGCGAGCGTGCGGTCCGGCAGCGCGGCGCCGTCGCGGGAGGCGAGCATGCGCGGGGGAATGAACTTCGAGGGCCCCAGGGCGTCCGGCGCGGCGAATCTGATGACGCCACCGTTTGGCGACGGCGGCGGCGGCGGCGGCGCGGCAATAATCCCGGACGCCGCGCGGAGCATCAGCAGCGCGAGGAACGCGGCCATCGCGGCGGAGTCCGCGGCGTCGAGCGCGAGCCGGAGCATCGAGGAGCTTCGCTCGGAACTTCGCAGCGGGCTCGCGGCGATGGGCGCGGGCGGCGGTTCAGGCGGCGGCGCGAGGGGCGGCGGCGTCGTCCTCGCGTCCGGCGGCGGCGGCGGCGGCGGCGGCGGCGGCGGCGGCGTCGAGCTCGACAAGCTCGAGAAGTCCGTCGGCGACCTCGCGACGCAAGTCGGCAGCATCACGCGCATCCTCTCTCAGATGTCCGAGGCCCAGAGGATGTTCCAAGAGCGCTCGCAGCGCTCCATTCTCGGCCATCTCGAGCAGGCGCAGGCGCGGATGGCGGACCAAGTCGCCAAGGCGGTCAACGGCGGCGCGCCGAGAGTCGCCGCGCGCCGCGCGACGCCGCTGACGTCGTTCGCGCAGAGCGAACTCCCGCCGGGGTCCGCGGAGAGGGATGTCGCGCGGCCGACGCTGACGCGTCGGCCGTTGCGCGGGTCCCCGCCCCCGCCGCCCCCGGATGATACCTTATGATAA